GAGGTGAAGGAATGCAGAGCGGGTCATGGCGCAGATGTGGGGTAGAAAGGATAGTTGAGGATCAAACAAGACCCCAGGGTTCTGGACTGGCTTAGCAAGGTGGAGTGTGCAACCATGGATGGTGATGTTGTCAGCGCCTGAGGTGAGAAGGCGCTGACGGGAGCCAATCAGGAGAGCCTTGGTCTTGTTGACGTGAATCAGGAACTAAAGAGTACTCAAGGCATCACTGTCACTTACTTATCCCAAGTTCTCCCATTCCAGCCCGCAAATAGATTGCATTTTAAATGATGCGCCCAATTACTGCAACCGCTCCGTCTATTTGTGCAAAATAAACCACCTAATTGAAAAATACTTTCAAACGGGAATTGCACAGAAGATATGCATAATGGCAAACACACAGCAAGGAGTGAGTGTTTGTCATGCTAGTGTACACTGAAGGCTAGTTTAATTCCATTTATTGTCGTGTAGTTTCACCCCATGCTGGTTTAAACAACATGAAGGAAAAAATACATACTTTGTCATTCTTCCATTTAGAGCTGGTTAAGAATTTCCATTGGGACATCCATGTCCATACCTGTATGATTCCGTAGACCCTTGGAAAGATCAAGAATCACATACATTAATTGCTCTGTCATGTGAAATAGATTTCATTACATGGAACAATTATTCTGTCATATGGAATATCTGACGTCAAGCCTAGAATTATTAAAGATACTTTATTATTTAGATATGTCAATGAAAATTATCGAATTACCTAGTAATTAACTAATTTGCAAATTTGCAATATATAAAAATTGTAACATCTACTTTATTCTATTATAACATGTTTTTTTCTCTAGAGGATAAAACACTGAACTTGAAAATGTGCTTTTATACATAGAGGTGTATAAAAACTTAAATGGGATTGAAATACTTTAGAATACAGCAAAACAATGAAACAAGAGAACATAGATTTAAGGGAAATGTAAAGGGAAATTTCAGGACAGATACCAGGTAATTTTGTTTACACAGAAGGTAATTAATACCTTGCCATGAAAGGTGATAGAAGACAGAATACTGGATTAATTTAAAACATAGCTTGATGCTGTGATAGGGAAATGGTAGGGTAGGTGTTCTAGGCAGATGAGATGTGTTGGGAGAAAGGTGAGTGTTTGGTGTTTGCCCTACTTGCAAAACCTGCAAAAACTTACATTCCTCATTCCTGCAAAAAAGACACATAGAAAGCATAACAAACAAGATGTCTGCTGTTTCAGGTTAAAAAGGGGGAAATCTATGTGCCTACTTCCACCTTTAAACTATATCACTGTTGATGTTCCTACAATTTCAATCCTTCAAACTGGCAAAAGCTAAACTACTTTGATTACCTATTTATAGCTTTACAGTTTTCCATGAGCATCACTGTCAAACAAAACAAACGTTGGAGGCAGTTAGAATAATTGAAAATCTGCAATTTATTTTTGAATGTTAATAAATAAAAAGGAATAAATATTCCGAAGTATTACTGGGTCAAAGGAGAAAAGAGAGAGAGGGAGTTAATTTCATATCACTATTCAACCCAACAAAAAACCCAACCCAACAAGAAACTTTACCACAAGCAAGTCATACTCAACTCTCCACAAATAAAAGTTTAAGAATCAAGCCAGCATCCTCTCCACCATATTGCTAAGTGTTGTGGTTGAGTGTTGCTTTTGTTGTAAGTGTTTTTGTTGTCGTTAGAGTAGTGAGTGTTGTTAGTATTGTTAATATTGTTATAGACGTAAGTGTTGCTGTTGTAAGTGTTGTTATTGGTGTAAGTTGTTTGGAGTCCTGTAGCTCAGTGGTTAGAACACTCGTCTTGCAAGCGAGAGACTAGGTTCAATTCCCGGCGAGGCAAAATGTTGGGCATATTTCCTTACTCCACGTACCTCTGTTTACAAAGCAGTAAATAGGAACTCGGCTGTTAGTCTATTGGCAGCTCACTTTTCCAGGGGTAATAATTCCTTCAAAAGATTAACAATAATAAATTGGTCACTTCGATCCACGACTGTTTGTGGGACACTGCTGTATACTGCTGCAGCATTTCGCCCACAAAAAATACAGTCAATTCACTTTACAGTATGTTCTGTGAAGCGCTGTGAGACAGCTTGAAGATGTGATAAGGCGTTATATCAAATCCAAGGATTATTTATTATATTTATTATATGTGTTGTTATTGTTACAGTTGTAAATGTTGTGGTTGTAAGTGTTGTAAGAGTTGTTATTGTTGTAAGAGTAGTGGTTGTAAAGTATTATTGTTCTAAGTGTTATTGATATAAGTGTTGTGGTTGTAAAATATTGTTGTAAGTGTTGGAATAGTTGTTATTGTAAGTGTTGCAAGAGATATTATTGTTGGAAGTGTTGTGGTTGTAAAGTATTATTGTTGTAAAGTGTTATTGTTGGAAGTGTTGTGGTTATATGTGTTGTTCAGTTGTATTATTGTAAGTGTTGTTGAGAAATATAATCGTAAGTGTTGCTGTTGTAAGTGATATAATTGTAAGTATATAGTTGTAAGTGTTATAAATGATATAGTTGTGAGTGTTACTGCTGTAAGTGATATAGTTGTGCGTTGTTATTCTTGTAAGTGATCTAGTTGTGAATGTTGTTGTTATAGTTGTAAGTGTTATAGTTGTAAGTGTTACAGTTGTAAGTGCTGTAAATGTTATTGTTGTCAGTGATATAATAATAATAATCCTTGCATTTGATATAGAGCTTTTCACGTCTTCTCGACGTCTCAAAGCACTTCACAGAATAGACTGTAAAGTGAATTGACCGTATATTTGTGGGCAAAACACAGCAGCCAATTGCGCACAGCAGTGTCCCACAAACAGTCTTGGATTGAAAATGACCAATTTATTATTGTTTTGTTTTTTGGAGGGATTATTATTCGGCGTGAGGATTAGGAAACTTGCCCAAGGTTTCGCCCTGTCTGGAATTGTACCCAGGTGTCTCGCTTGTAAGGCGAATGCTCTAACCACTGAGCTACAGGTCTCCAGGTGTATATAGGTGTAAGTGTTATTGTTGTAAGTGATACAGTTGTTGTAAGTAATATAGTTGTGAGTGACATAGTTGTAAGTGATATGGTTGTGAGTGCTGTTGTTGTTGTAAGTGATATAGATGTGAGTGTTATTGTCATTGAAATAGATGTGATTGCTATTGTTCTTGTTGTAGGTGATATAGTTGTGAGTGTTATTGGTATTGTTGTAAGTGATATAGTTGTGTGTTGTTATGATATAGTTGTGTGTAAGTGATATACTTGTGAATGTTGTTGTTATTGGTATAAGCGTTATATTTGTAAATGTTATAGTTGTAGGTGTTGTTGTAAGTGTTATTGTTGTCAGTGATAAAGGTGTAAGTGTTATTGTTGTGATATAATTGTTGTTGTGAGTGACATAGTTGTAAGTGATACAGTTGTGAGTGCTGTTGTTGTTGTAAGTGATATAGATGTGAGTGCATTTTTGTTGTTGTTAGTGATATAGATGTGAATGTTGTTATTGTTAGTGATATGGCTGTGAGTGTTGTTGTTGTTAGTGCTGTGGCTGTTGTTGTTGTTAGTGCTGTGGCTGTTGTTAGTGCTGTGGCTGTTGTTGTTAGTGCTGTGGCTGTTGTTGTTAGTGCTGTGGCTGTTGTTGTTGTTAGTGCTGTGGCTGTTGTTAGTGCTGTTGTTGTTGTTAGTGCTGTGGCTGTTGTTAGTGCTGTGGCTGTTGTTAGTGCTGTGGTTGTTGTTAGTGCTGTGGCTGTTGTTAGTGCTGTGGCTGTTGTTAGTGCTGTGGCTGTTGTTAGTGCTGTGGCTGTTGTTAGTGATGTGGCTGCTGTTGGTGGTGGTGCTGTGGCTGTGGGTGTTGTTAGTGCTGTGGTTGTTGCTGGGCTGTGGCTCCGGGTGTTGTTAGTGCTGTGGCTGTTGCTGGGCTGTGGCTGTGGGTGTTGTTAGTGCTGTGGCTGGGCTATGGCTGGTGTTGGGCTGTGGCTGTGGCGCTGGCTCAGGAGGTGGGTGTGTTGTTGTGGCTGTGTGTTGGGCTGTGGCTGGTGTTGGGCTATGGCCGTGTGTGTTGTTGTGGCTGTGGCTGGTGTGTGGCTATGGCCGTGTGTGTGTTGTTGTGGCTGTGGCTGGTGTGTGGCTATGGCTGTGTGTGGGGCTGTGGCTGGTGTTGGGCTGTGGCTGGTGTGGCGCCATGGCTGTGTGTGGGGCTGTGACTGGTGTTGGGCTGTGACTGTGTGTGTGGGGCTGTGGCTGGTGTTGGGCTGTGGCTGTGTGTGTGGCTGTGGCTGTGTGTGGGGCTGTGTGTGTGGCTGTGACTGGTGTGGGGCTGTGGCTGGTGTGGGGCTGTGGCTGTGTGTGGGGCTGTGGCTGTGTGTTGGGCTGTGGCTGTGTGTTGGGCTGTGTGTGGGGCTGTGGCTCAGGAGGTGGGTGTGCTGAGCTGGAGCCCCGCCTCGCAGTGTCGGGGCGGCAGGTGAGCGCTGGGCTCCTGAGCAGCTCCAGCATCGCGGAGCCAGGTAGATGTCGGGCGGCGGCTGGTAGAAACCGGTGAGAAACTGCACCGATCTTTAATTAATTTTGCGCATGAACTTCTTTAACGCCCGAAAGAAAACAACGCAGGGTATATCCTGTCGAGGCACATGAGCAATTACTTTTTTTTGTGTGTGTGCAAATAACTTTGCAGGTTTAATTCTTTATGCAATGTCCCGAGGACAACTAATAATAATGATTTGTTTCTTTCTGGGACCTAGGCAACATATTGACCTTCGGGGGTGAAAATACAAACTCTTGGGAAATGTATAAAAGTTGCTGCTTTACAGAAAATACCACTTAACATGTATATGTTTGATACAGAACATTTCTTCTTCTGCAAAGTCTCCCAGCGGTGTACTGACCTGACCGCATGTTCTGTTTTTTCTTTAATGTTTAAGTCATTGTCGGTCTGAGTGGTCACAAAAATAAAGATCTCGCATTTGGAAGCAACACGCAGAAAAAAAACACCTTGAAGATGTCGCCTCTCCTCTGTGTCCTACTCCTAATGGGATACATGAACCCCACTGACTCCCTCCTGCAGTCTCATAGAAATTCTTTTCAAGGTAAGCAAGCAAACAAAACTTGGCTTTCTGACCAAGGACGCAATGTTTTTCAACTTTGTTTTCGTCTTTTGATTCAACCGTGTCGTTCTCTTTGCTTTTGAAGAATGCCCCGTTGATGTGTATATTTTGTTGGATACGTCTGAAAGTGTTGCGTTGAGAGCACAGCCGTACGGGTCTGTCGTGGAAAAGGTCAAACGGTTTGCTGTTGAGTTTGTCGACGCTCTGAAAGAAAGGTAAGTTGAATCTTTTGTTCTTAATCCGTATGCATAACGCCCGTTACACTTTAAAGTTGGCTGAGAAATTTCTCTTTCCCTCCACCCCTCTTGACTCCAAACCCCAGCTCAGGTACAAACCCTTGACTGTCCAGCGCCTTGGAATTTCCTCCCAACGTGAAAGGTGACATATAATGCGATGTTTCCACGAAGTTTAGCAACTTTGCCTACGGCATTGAAAATGCAAATCAGAGTATTGGTTTAGTATCCCAACAGTTTTCAGCCATAGGTTTGTTTTCTAAATGTTTGTGGGATATATTTTTTATTTTATTTTACCTGGATTTCGCTTTTGAAAGTGTCTGTATGGTGGCGAACAGTTCTACAATTGTTGCCAGTTCTGTTTCTTCATCTGAGTATCCTTTAGGAGTCTAAGCAGTAAACATCAGCTGCGGAGTATTGAATTTTGGGGGCATTACACCTGATCAGCTGTGCGGTGTTTCTTGTTTCTTTAAAGTTTTGTCCCTTGAGAGTTGCCATCCAAGCCAAATGATGCCATAACCACTGTAAAACTAAACAAACTACGGCCAAAATCAATGATTTGAGATAACTGATTGTTTGCTTTCAAAGGTATTACAGATGTGATCGGAATTTGACTTGGAATGTTGGAGCTTTACACTACAGTGATGAAGTTAAGATAATTAGTGAGATAACTAGTCTATCAGCAAATAAATTAAACCTGCAAGGAGCAATTCAAGGCGTGAAGTACATTGGCAAGGGTACCTACACTGACTGTGCCATCACTGCTGCTACAGGGCAGTTAATGTCCAGGTAACTACAATTATTCCCTGTATATTTTTAATGACTCTGTTATTGTGCAACAGTTCATCTTGTGATAAAACCAAGACCACGGAATTACTGAATAAAATCCAGTTCTCTTGCAAACCTTAATTTGGAGAGGGATGTTATTTCAATCTGGTTATTGATTGAAAAGATGTATGAGGTTGATAACTATATATCTAATACCACAACGTACTTGTATAAATATATATATTATTGTACTTTTAAAAAATTCTGTATTGCAGAATTAGTATTATGATAATAAGATTTGTATTTTAAAGTAATCCACATGTTGAATAACACATCAATTTTGTAGCACATTTCTTAAATGGAAATGATCTACAACAAGTCAATTTAGCGCTGTAAGATACTGCTCTATTTTAAAAAGAGAATAATTGTAAAAATAACTTGATGTGTGACTTGTACAGTTAAGAATAGATGATTATTATTCTCTATTGCCAAGAACTTTTCTACCAGGTTTCTGGCCTCTGCCACATTTTAGCCAGCCACTATGATGTACACGTAATTGGCCTGGTGATAACTCTCCCTCTGATTTTCCTTCCCTCCATATCTGGTATTTGATCTCAATTCAACTCATAGCTGAGCTCAGGAACTTGGTATAAAGTGCGTGGGATTCAGACATGTATCCCTTCACTCCATGGTGCCACACATTTTTGCATTAGGTTTACCGTTGTGCTTTCCAGACAGTAATATTATATTTCTAATTGTTGAAGATCATGGACAAATAATTTTGATTTTCTCTTTCAGAAATCTGTGCAGTCCATTCATGCATAAAGATTTGTAATTCACTCCTGTTTATCTGTGGTAGGGGTACCTACATCCATGGTAACAAATACATGGTGATTATAACAGATGGACACCCATCTGATGGATACAGAGAACGATGTGGGGGTATTTCCTTTTCTGTTCAAGAGGCCAAAGAATTCGATATCAAAATGTTTACAGTAGCAATTACCCCAAATCACCTAGTAAGTGTAATTACTGACCACATTACAAATGAGTGAAAACTGTTAAAAATATATAACCATTTTAATTCTGTATTGCATGCACTGTGGTATGTTTTCGACATAAAATATGATAATAAAAGATTCCATTCAACTTTAATAGTCTAATAGTAGACCCAGTTGCTACACCACTAATGTCTGTAATTCCTCCCTTTACCTCTCCATGGCCCACCCCCACCCCCATCTATCTTTAAATCATGCCTAAAAACATATCTCTTTAACAACATTTGCAGTCATCTCCCCGTGCCCTGTACTCCTCCACTTTTCCCTTGTTCTGTGGAATTACTTCAGTCATTCACTTTATAGTTGTTTGTGATACATTGGTGGTGCAAATTGCTGCTGTGTGCCTTCAAAAACAGTCCCATTGCTTGACTGAGAAGCACCTTGAGGCGCCCCAACATAATAAGGTGCACTGAAAACATCAGGGCCATTACATGAAACAATACGTTACCTTTATATGCAGAAAGTAATAGGCAAACTTAATATATTTCTAAAACAACCATTTGCCTGCAAAATTTGTGGCTTATTCATAGGATGCCTTGATTCATTTTTCAGGTTATTTGTGCTTCCAGAAACCAAAAGGGTTGAATTTGGATATTTCATATCCTAACAACTCTCTGTGCAAAAACAAATCCCCAGTCACTTTGGTTCCTTATTAATTGTCTTAAATTGTAATTTATATATGAGAATAAACTGTATACGATTTCTAGTAGTTTATGTTGCTGATGGCCACCTACTTAAGATTATCATCCTGTAATAATTATAGTCTGTAACTATTCTCTATCAATATAAACAAAATACTTTATAATAAGTTATCAAATAGAACATTTATTGTACTCCTAAGAGATTGTATTTGGGCTCATTTTGAAATAAATCTTGTATTCATCAATTTACCAAAAGGTATATTCTATTGGTACAGATTATTTGTCTCTGTCTTTTTTAGGAAGAAGGAATAAATGCAATAGCAACTGATTTTCACTACAGAAAGAATCTTTCAATGATGCAAGATGAGCAAGTTGTATTCCAAACCACAATTAGCTCAATTATAGATCAGATTGTAAGTATAATAATTCTTGCATATTTGACTTATTTGGGATTCCTAATACATTTATTGATTATTAATCAAACTTGATCACTTTATTGTCTTTGTTTTCCAGTACAAGGATTCTGAACCTTTGGTAAGATATATTTTAACCTCAATCGATTACGATTTAGATTTTTCAACATATATTTAATTTTATTGAATGGGTGCATTATTGATATATCTATATTTGTTTTGCAGTGCTGCATCTACAGTTGTGAGGTAAGATATGGGGTGTCTTTTTTAAAATATATTTTCCAATATTAAGATACAAATAGAAATTCAGATTAGGCAAAGGTACACTAACTAAGTAATTGCCAATGAAGCCTGCAGGCCATTGTATGGTTGCAGCTGAAAAAGCAAACAAACAAACTGAGACAAATTATTCATACCAATGATGGTTTCAAACTTTATAGAATTTACATTTGGGGAAATTAGGAATAAATAGAAATCAGGCAAAAATACTTCACACAAATGATAATTGATATAATGAATAAGTCAACTGAGAAGGCCAATGGATTGAATAATATAAATGGATATATTTCTGGAGAAAGATGGAATTGAGGGAGAAACTTTTCATGTTGCTAAAGCATAGATAGCAGCATATATACAGAGCACTGAAAAGGCAAATAGGCACAGTATTCAAAATCATTGCACTTAGTAACTTCAGGAATTTAATACCCCTAAATGCCTTATTTTCTTTGTAGTAATCCATTTAATAGTTAATAGAACACTGTTAGATTGTATGGATTTGATGCAAATAAGTGAGATAGTGAAATTTAAAAAACTTCCTACGTGCATTTAGTTTCTCATTTTCTTTGTCATTTTCCTTTTATGAGCAGGCTGATCATGGCATACCTGGAAGCCTAGGTGACCCTGGTGAAAGGGTATGAAACAATTTATTGTGAAGAACATCTATTTTAAAAATAATGGCTTGTACAAATACCTGAACACATTTTTTCTAAATGTTTAAAGGGCTCTGATGGAAGAAGAGGATATGTTGGAAATGCTGGAGGTGTTGGTTCAATGGTTTGTCATTTTTTGACTTATTAAAAAATTATGTTCACAGCAGTTAATGTATGTAATAGTTTGCCATTACATTAAAATATTATTCTGGAACAAATCTTTCATGTCGCACATCAAATGAATTCATCAATATGCATTGCAGCCATTTAACACCAAACACATATTTACTTGTATTTAGGTTGCCATGAGAATGGCAACTGATTATATAATACTTTCTCTCATTTTTATGATCAGTTATTAATCATCATTAACTTCTTTTTCACAATTAAGTCACAGTCATTATTGCATCACTATAACACTGTCAGGCAGCAACATGGAATGTATGAATTGGTGGCCTTCATCATAACCTCTGTCAGCAAAAACCCCACAGCAAATCCAGAATAAAATATTCTCAATCAACCTCATAGCATACATTGTTAATGGTTGAGTAGCAGTGATTGCAAGAAAATAACTTTATCAAATTGTTTAAATAATATTGTAAACTGTGAATGTGAAACCATTAGCAGTGGTTTACATTAGAGTTTAGCAATAATGAATGTGTGAGAGTATAGTTGTGTGGATTTAAGGTCGGCTGTTTAGTTGGTAGATAAGATGCGTCAGGTCTGGTTTGACAATCAAGCAGACAGTCTTAGTTCTGTTCTACTGAAAGTTCATTATTGATATTGAATCATCCTTTCATTTGGAAATTATGATTAGTTATGATAGGTGGATTTACCCGAGAAAGTTGCAATCAAAGGTCTTTCAATCGATTTTAAAGATATTTGTTCCAGTTGGCATATAATTAATTTCAACTGTACTTTAGATGAGAATTGAAGATACACAGTGGGCAATTTAGGGCAATTTCAAATGGATTGTGATTGAATGTTGATTTGTTCCTGCAGTCTTTTTAGAAATAGGTATTGGTCCTTTGGGAACCTGCTGATTTATTTTTTTTCTTTAGGGTGTTACTGGTGATATGAGTCCTCCTGGGCATGTAGGGGAAAAGGTCAGCTATATTATCACTGTGCATGCAGATTTTTCAGCATTTATCTTAAGTTTTTTCCCCTTTGAATTGAACTGTGCTGTGCAGTTGACAAATATTATATTTATTTCACAGGGAGACAAAGGTGCTCGAGGTGCAAAGGTATTGAGATGCAATGAATAGTTCCTCCCCTTCCCCAGGACATTGTGCAACTTTATCCATTTGGATTTATTTTCTTTGAAATCCACACTGAACCTAAAATGTAATATTCTATATACCCAAAGTGGGTTTTAAAACATTACTTTTCATAGCCAAACTCTTTAGCAAACAGTATTGAGTTTTTATAGAATAACATTTTCTTGTTTTCAATGTCATAGACCATTTCCAGCAGAATTGAAGACGTGTAAATTAAGAAAATGATGAAAAAAAAATATTCAGTAAATTAGGAGATTAGCTGCTTTATACTGTACATTAGTTATTAAACATGGTGTGTCCCCTTAGGTGTCAGTTGGTAGCATTCCTGCCCCTGAGTCAGAAGGTTTTGGGTCTCATCCCTCCATTGGGACCTTGAGTTCACAGTGCTGAAGGAGTATGCATTTTCAGTGGTGCTGTCCTTTAGATGAACATGAAACTGTAGACCCATTTGGCTGTTTGTGGGACATTACTATGTGCAAATTGGCTGCTGTGATCCATTCACTGAGTAGCCATTCTTCCAATGTTGAGCGGCGGATTCAACGTGCTGCCACACTGACAATACGCCACTTGCTGGGTCCACCACTGGAAGCCACTTTATGTGAAATTAAATGGCTTGTGTGGTGTGAGCTTAGTGCTGCTTCTAAACAGCATGCAATCTTCGACCAACGCAGTGCATTTAAATCCCTTGTGAGACCTACACTACCCCCAATACATCCATAAATGTTTTAAATAAACATATGCACAAGAAGACTCACAAGAAATCAGTATTGTGAAACTCTTTGTCATCATAATATCTTCGTCTGTAAAGTGTTTTACTGCAATACACAGAGGATAGCTGTCCTTGTCACCAGGTCCATTCCTTCTGACACCATTTAGTTTTATGCACTTCTTGTATGATTTGGTGTTGTTGCTGAAATAGTTCTGAATTCCTCAATATTCTTTAAATGATACTATTGACATGGTTTTGTTCAGGATAATAGTTTGTTCATTTTCAACAGGGTTTCAGAGGATCTGCAGGGCTGAAGGTTCGATAATTACATTTCCTTCTAAAAATGCATTTATAATAAATTCTGTAATTTTCTTTGCATACAATATTTATTTTTAATACTCAGGGAAATAAAGGTGCACCTGGTATTGAAGGAAGAGATGGGGATAAGGTATGGACAAGCTTCTTGCAATATAGTGTAATGGAATTAACCTTGGGGAGTTATATTTTGTTGTTTTTCTGCAATAGGCTTCATTGATCATTTTCATGAGTACTTCTTATTACTTTTTTTGATGTTTAACCCTAAATGATCGATAGGTGGCAGAAACCCCACTCCCAGTGTGTAATGTTTCAATTCTTTTCTGCAACAAAGGCTTGTTTAACATTTTTAATTAATCTTTTTTCTACATCAAATTATCGTCTCTTACCTTTTTGTTGTTTTAACATCAATATTTTTTAGATTTGATCGACTGAAGAGGGGCAAAAATCAAGCTCTCTCCCAGCCAAAAAATAAGATTGTACTGAATAGGCAGCCAAGGTCCTCATTGAGGAAAGATTAATTTTTGGTTAGGAAGAGAGTGGATTTCTCCCCCTCGATTAATCCTTTCTAATTGGTTAGAGCACTTGCCTTGAAAGCGAGACACCTGGGTTCAATTCCAGGCAGGGTGAAACCTTGGGCAAGTTTCCTTACTCCACACGCCTAATAATAATCCCTCCAAAACAAAACAATAATAAATTGGTCATTTTGAATCCACAACTGTTTGTGGGACACTGCGGTGCACAATTGGCTGCTCCGTTTCGCCCACAAATATACGGTCAATTCACTTTACAGTCTATTCTGTGAAGCGCTTTGAGATGTCGAGAAGACGTGGAAAGCGCTATATCAAGTGCAAGGATTATTTACAATTCTACGCAAGATATGTAGTTGAATTAACGTACTTCCCAGTGTGAAGCAGCAAAAAGCAAGGCAACCAAGATGCTGATCTATATTGCTAAATTAGTAGAGTTCAGATCCCCAGGTATACTCAAGGTATATAGTACTCTGGTCAGGCTGTACTTAGAGTATTGCATACAGTTCTCATCACCACATACTACGAGAGTTGCTCAGGATCTATAGTTAGTGCAGATGAGAGCAACAAGGATGATCCCCAGTTTTAGAGGAATGAGCTGTGAGCAAGAATTAGATAAGCTAAGGTTCTTCAGTTTTGAGAGAAGACAACTCAGAGGGGATCTCATAAGGGTGTACAAAATTTAAAATGGAATTAAAAATCATAACAAAAACAATGTTAGAATAAACAAAGAGGACATAAGTTTAGAATTACACAGGTCAATTTCAGGACATACACAGGGATGTTTTTCTTTACCCATAGGGTAATTAGTGACTGCAAATAAGTTGTGTCCAGGATGCTGGACTCAATTAAAGAGCAGCTTGATGGGAGGGTGGGTTTTCTGGAAGGTTTAATCAGATGGGCCTTCTTCATCCAAATTAGTCTAGTGACCATGTGATTAAAAATTGTTTCTTACAGAAGTGTGAAGGCTGCATTACTCTATTTTTCTATTTAGTGGGCAAAAGAATGTTTCTCCACATGTCCGGCAGTGTTTCAGTAAATTACATCTGTTGTGTAACCTAAGTAAATCATGGGAAGAAAAGCCATAAATGGTCCCTTGTCTTTCTAGGGTGAGCCTGGTCCAGCTGGTTTACCTGGCTGTAGAGGAGATGATGGAGATGATGTAAGTCGTGTCAGATTACTATTCACTCTTCTTTATTGAGAGTTAAAACTGGAATATGTTTAAGTAGTACCTGATTCATAGTCCTATGAAATAATCAATTGCATTAGCAGAGCACAGCAATAATTTAATACCACGAAGTTCGGCAACGGACTGAAAATTTGACTTTAATCAGTGTAACACAATTCCTATATGATCTTAGCCTAAGGGTAACAAAATTCCAAAACATTTACAAAGAGCTGGTCTTGTTTTGTCCAATTATGTGAAGAATAGGAATGTCTTATATTGCTTTCCCCCAAATCCATTGTTTGGAAGATGAAGTTGTTTAATTGGAACAATACGAGTTTTTGATGATTTGACTGGGAAAATGAATGATTTTGCAATAAAGGTAGTAAATAGAAGCAAAATATTTAAAACCATGGTGTCAAAATGAATCAATACTCTATGAAGATGTTTATACCTTTGCCAATTTGAATGTGTGTACTGTATTAGCTCAGTGCCAATGTTAAAAAAAAGCTTAGCATGCCCAGAAGGGTATTCTGCACCAATAGAGGACATTAATGTGAACTGAATGAATTTGCTTGTCATTCATAATTTTAGGGTGAACAAGGGTCCCCAGGGTTGAAAGGAGATCCTGGCTCCTTTGGCGCTAAAGGAGAAAAAGTAAGTCTTTATAGTGTGCAAAATATTATTCTCGAGAACTATCACAAATAAGTGAGTAAGCACAGCTTAGCGTTACCTTTATACCCAGCTTTCATTTTAGAATAAGATAAGCAGTGAAAATTGCAATTGTTTTGATTAAAAATGAAGAAACCAAGTAGCACTAGAGATTAGAAGATTTCCCCCTTGAGTAGTATATAGTTTATAACTGGTTAGAGCTAAATGTTTTATGGATTGTAGGGATGTAAATATGGATATATTCATTGATCAGTGATATGGCCATTGTTCTTCATAATATAAATAAATGATCTGGACTTGGATATGGAGGGTCAGTATCAAAATTAGCATATACACTGCAAAAATAGGGACCATAACTGGGTCTGAAGAGTTTGTTAAGGAACTATAGAAGGATATGAACGGATTAGTGGATTGAGCAGAGAGTGGGCAGATCAAATATAATGTACAACAACAACTTGCATTTATATAGGGCCCTTCACGTGGAGCATAGCCTTGGAGTACTTAAGAGCAGAGGAGTTTGACATTGATCTGATGAGAGGAGGGAGGTGACATTAGGCATGGTCAAAGAGGAAGGTCTTCTGAAGACGTGGAAGGAGGAGGCAAAGCAGGGGGATTGAGGCAAAGAGTTCCAGAGTTTGGGGGCTTAGTGGCTTAGTAGGCTGGAGCTAGCTGAGAGAAAGGGGCGGTTAGGAGATCATGAAATTGATCCATTCTGAAATAGAGAGCCATTGGAGACTGGAAAAGACTGGGATGTTGGAAGTGCGGAGTTTGGTGTGGGTGAGAATTTGGGCGGCGGAGTTTTGAATCATTTGGATTCTGTGACTGGAGTGCTAGAGAGGCTGATAAGAAGGCCATTGGGAAAATCGAGGCGGGAGTTGCCGAACGCTTCAATGAGGGTTTCAGTTGCGTGGTGTGTGAGATATAGTTGGAGGCAGGTAATGTGCCAGAGGTGGAGGAATACAGTTCTAATTAGGGACTGGATGTGGGAAGGAAGGACGGCTGAGGATTGATACTGACACCTAGGTTGCATGATCTATGTTGTGCGCAATTGTTCTGCTGCATTTGCCTACAAATACACGGTCACTCATAACCCACAGTAAATCATGTGAAGTGCTTTGAGATGTCCTTCCGACATGATAAGTCACTATATCAAATGATAGGCTTATTATTTATTCATCTTGCAGTAAATTTAACAGTAGAGACGCTTAGTTAAAATTCATATGCTGTCAAAAGTTTGTTCTTTAAGCTACATAGAGTGATATCCCACAGTAACAGGCCATTTGTCCCATGTCGCTAATACATTCTGTTTAGTACAGTATTTAGCACTCCAGGACACTATCCTGGGTGAAAAGCACTGTATAAATACAAGTTATTGTTGTGGTATTTAATATATTTAGCTGATAATACTAATGGAGTATTGCTGACTAATGCACCAATTGAAAAAAAAGATCATAAAGAACTTCTTTTAAAAATATGAAAATATCTTTTCTTAAGGGTGATGTTGGTCCCCCTGGCACAACAGGGTTGCCTGGAGTACCAGGAATAACAGGACGAAAGGTAATCTTTTAGAATCATTTATTTAATTAATGCCTTTAGGACTTTTGCTTGTTTTACATTGATTTATGGGATAATTCATTGCAAGTTTAAGTCAGTGATTTTATTTGAAATCTATATTAGTGATTTATCAACTGTGCTGAAAATGCAATGTGCTATTTGAATTGTTTGCAATCCTGTGTCATTTTTGATCTTAGGGTGTGCCTGGATCAATGGGACCTAAAGGAAGCAAAGGACAGAGAGGTGATGATGTAAGTACATAAATGAAAGGCAATTAGTCGGCTGAGAAACGTAATGTGTAAAATGGACCCAGAAATCAGGGCCATCATTTCAAAACGTTTTTAATGATATTCCATAGTTATGGAACAGAATGCTTTTTTTTAGGAATAACACAAGTGTTTACCAAAATATCACAAAGCAAGATGTTGTCTTCCACAACAGTTTCAAAAATACATGAAACTCTCACTTCTCTCACAATTGCAAAGGCAATTGTTTAAATTGTTTAAATAGATATGTCATGAAAGGCACTATTGAATTTTGTTGAGCCCAAAACAAAATATTTCATTACTAGAACAATTTTCTGTTTCCTTCTTCAAATTTTCTCTTCTCCTTGTCCTCCTCTTCCAAAGGCAGTTTTCTTTTCTACAAATGTAGCATGGTTACACAGGCATTAGGCTTCTCCTGGGACCTTGCCCCAATGGTCATTTTTCATATTTTTCAGGCTATTTTATTGCATAGGCACCACAGCCGTGCTTCTTAGAACCATTGAATTCACATCATATGTTGGTTCTTTGAAAGAGTAATCTTTCCAACGACAACTTGCATTTATATACAGCGCCCTTCACAAGGTGCTAGGTCATGGTGCTTCCCTTTATCCTGTACCCCTGAATCTTACTCATTTTTAGATATATATCTAGTTCCCTCTTGAAAGTGAGTATGAATTCTACCTCGATACCGGCAGCCAGCAAAGCATTCAACATTCTAACAATTCTCTGTAAAATAACCCTCTCCTGACAACTGCATCTTTCAGCAAGAGCAATTTCTCCTTTTTAACCAAAGTTCAACAAGGCCAATTGTTAGTGTCTTAGATGCTTCCTAAAGCCAACTCAGCTCAACTTAGAATTTGAATCTGCAGATTTCTACACTGTGTATGACACAGTACTGCATAAGATGGTATCCTTACTGACTTGGCCATCAGAGGAGCCGAAAACATTTTGATGTTGAACGCATATAATAATAATCATCCTTGCATGTGATATAGCTCCATGTCACGTCTTCAAGACGTCTCAAAGCGCTTCACCAAATATGCTGTAAAGTGAATTGACTGTATATTTTGTTGGCAAAACGCAGCAGCCAATTGCGCACAGGAGTGTCCCACAAACAGTCGTGGATTGAGTGACCAAATTATTATTTTTTAAAGAGATTATTACCCCTGGTAAAGCAATCCACCAATCGGCTAACAATCAGGTTCCAACTTACTGCTAGGTGAACAGAGCCTTGTGGAGTAAGGAAATTTGCCCAACGTTTCGCCCTACCGAGAATCACACCCAGGTCCTCTCGCTTGCAAGGCGAGTGCTCTAACCACTAAGCTACAGCACTTCAATGAAAGATTTTCTGAAGTTTGTTTTTGTTCTGTTAAAATGTAACAGCATTAAAGTATCACCAAATGTAAAAGTTTTCATGTGAGATATATGGGTAAAAATGTCCGATGAGAGTTATATGCAGTACCTTTGCCAATACACAATTTTAATGGGAAATCTCATTCGTAGCTGACATAACACTCACTGGAATAGTTTTGACAATTAATGAAAAACTGCACTTTATGCCTGCATGTATGTCCTACAGCTGGCTGCTTTGTAACTATAGAAAAAGAGGGTCACATAAGTATACACTGTAAAAGGTCGGTAAATTTAGTGATAGTAACACATCTAGAAATATTTCGATGTGTTCATAGTTGATAGCTAAATACGTACCAAGATTATTTTTTAAAAAATAACTTTTTTTATACACAGGGACTGTTTGGTACATCTGGAATTCCAGGACAAAAGGTGAGTGTATTTTCTTTTTAACATCTACAATCAAGAAATATCATGAATCTCCATTATTTTTATTGGGAAATAAACAGCAACGTTGACAAGCTTGAAGAGACAAGGATTAAATTAGTATTGTGCAACATAGCACACGCCAGGTAAACATATTACATTCAGCTAGTTTGACTTATCACTCCCTCTGTTGAATTGAACTTCCAAATCAATCAGGTTTAATTAATTTAATGCTCTAACTAGAAACAGTTTGGGAATGCCACAAGCTTAACAGTTTGTTGGCTTCTGGTGATAAGCAGTCCGGACATGAGTACCATTTCAATGTTGCTTACTTCAGGCTAGATCAACGACTATTTTTATAGTTCAGTCATGTGCAAGGCAGCTGGGTGGCAACAGCTGAGTATGCCTCCAGCCACAGAAACATACCAGTACTTCTGAAAGGAGCTAACAGTTTAATTGTCAAGTTAAATGTAATCAATTCACTTGGAACATCTATCACGAAAGCAGTAAAGTAATAAATTGGTTTATTAGGTTTAAAATTTGCTAAATCAATGATTTTAATTGCGAATACAGGTTAAATGATAACATAAGTTAGTTTTTAACAGATCCATGCTGTTAAACATACCAGTACTTCTGAAAGGAGCTAACAGTTTAATTGTCAAGTTAAATGTAATCAATTCACTTGGAACATCTATCACGAAAGCAGTAAAGTAATAAATTGGTTTATTAGGTTTAAAATTTGCTAAATCAATGATTTTAATTGCGAACACAGGTTAAATAAAAGTTAGTTTTTAACAGATGCATGCTCACATTATCATATTAATTTCAACCCGACATTTTGTGCAACTAATGTGCACTGTTAATGACTGTGAAAATTATAAGAATGATTTTTTCAATCATTTAAGCCTTGCAAATTGTGGGGATTTCTGTACAGCTCTGCTGACTGGCGGGAAGATAGTTGAGGAGACTTCTTGGTAATGGCTATGTAAGTAAAAAATTGCAAGGGACTGATGTCACAATTATTTTCAATGCTGCTGTTCACATCTGGAATCTGGATTTAAATCCAACCCAAACCATGAGATGAAAGCCTTGTCTCCATAGCTGTAGGGTTCTTGGATGCAATGAGTTTCTGCAGTCTTAATCAGGTTCTGTTCCAGTGGCTCAGAGAATGAGGTGTAATCAAGTGAAACAAAATGGCTAACATCTAGGCTTTGAGCGCTACTGATATCACTTCCTGTGTGTTGTATGCATGTGCACTATATACAAGGAGTGGAGCGAACATCATTCTTGCAGCCAGCTGTCATGCACAGCAAATAAGATGTAACATTAAATGGTGCTTCCTAAGATTTGCACACAAATGTAGTAGTGCACAGGAAGTGTGCATCATGCAGAAAATGATATGAGCAGTGACCTGATAACCTCAAAAGTTTGCCATGTTTTAGGACAAGAAGCCAGCTACTCAGTGCTGGAAGCAAGTGTACTCAGAGGTCTCCATAAAGTTTGGTCCCCACAACATGGGGTGGCTCCCCAGGCTCAAGAAATAGCACAGAGGAGAGCAACGAAAATGATGCCCAGAGTTGGAGAAATGAGCTATGGGCACGGATTAGACAAGCAAGGGATCTTCAGTCTTGAAAGGAGGTGTCTCAGAGTAGACCTTATAGAGGTGTGTAAAAATTTGAAATGGAATTACAAAGGAAAACCCAGAGCAACACTTCACGATGCACCACAACAGTAAAATAAGAGGACATGGGTTTAAAGTTGCAAAGGGAAATTGCGGGAAACTGGGAAGTATTTTTTACCCAATGAGTAATTGACAAATTAACAATCACGAATAGGTTGCCAAAAAGGGTAACTAAGGCCACAACACTGAATTCATAAAACAAACACTGATTTTTTTTAAGAAAAGCTTGATGCTGTGATGGGAAGACAGTAGGTGTTCTGGAATCATAAGACCGAAAAGGCCTTTTTGATTCAAATCAATCTTTGTGAAACCACAGTAAAAAGATAGATGAGCTTTTACTTCGACTTACCTCTGCTACAGTTAACACCAGCGAAATGAAAAATAAATGAAATAGATTCCAGATTACCAGTGGGACAAACTATTGTTAACCAGCTCATCTGCTCCAAAAGGTTCTGGTCATATTTCACTTTGGCAGACTTTGGTAGGGGGAATTTATAAAGGGAATCCAGGAGCTGCTTGCACTTCCAACTGGGAACCATTCCCTGAAAACCAGTACTATAAGCATGTATACAAGGGAAGAAAACCTTCGTATGGCATAAGTTTTCTAAAACAATTTAATATTGATATTTAAAAAAAGACAAACTCAAGTTCACTCAAGTTCTCTTTATAGTTTAAGAAAAGCAGGTCTTATATTCATTTTCAATCAAGTAGCGATCTTTTCTAATTTATAAAGCCAAGATATTAATAGAATCTGTTTTAATTAGCAACCTTCAAGATACTTTTTCTGCTGTGTAGTATAATATGTACTGATGCAATTGGCCACCCCATGTTGTGGGGACTAAACTTTATGGAGACCTCTGAGTACACTTGCTTCCAGCACTGAGTAGCTGGCTTTTGTCCTAAATCTAATAATAATGATTTAGTTTAAAAACTGTTACAGGTATATGATTTTAAACAATGCCTCTTACACTCAACCAATTTTTTCTAATATGCAAGTAAGATATAAATCCATTTTTTATGCCATTGTAAGTTTTAAGTGCTTGAATTTTGTCATTTTTTAAACAGTTTTATGGGAACTTGTGAAATCTTGTTTCTGTTTCACTTGGGTAGTGTTAGTGATAGATGTTAACTTCACTCAGATGATAGCACTCTTGCTTCTCGGGCAGAAGATTCTGGGTTCAAGGCCCACATTGGAACAAGCTCACATATTAGAAAGCACACATACTAGCACTTTTCATCAGTCCTGAAAAGTGCTGCATTGTTGGAGATATTATTCTTCAATGTGGTATTAGACTGAAGTCCCATCTACCTATACAAGCGGACAAAAAGGATGCTGTGACAAATAAAAAGAAGGAAGATTCTCCCAAAGCCTTTGCCAACGATACTCTACATTATTTGGCGATTCACTTCAAAGCTGTTCGTGGGACTTTGCTTGTACTAGTGACTGCTGTGTTTGCTTACAACAGCTTTGACTACATTTGTAGGTTAATTTAGAAGCCGCTTTTCCACAGTTCTTGAAAAGAACCATCTTCCAAATTGAGACCAATACTAATAAGTTTCCACTCTTCTCTATGCCCTTATATTTTAACACTAAATGGTTTGAACAGGCAAAGTCTAGATTGAAATTCAGGCCAGTTGGGTTTGGAATACTAGTGAAACATTAAAACTGTATCTGAACATTTTTTGCAGATTTTATATCAATGGAACTAAGGTTCTGGTTTACCAAAGTGGTACGATGACTCTTCCATAGTGTGTCCGAAGCAAAGGGTCATTTTGGAGATGGATCAGGCATTTCCAGAAAAATACATTTTTAAGCAGATCAAGGAATCTGCTGCCCAATGAAAATGACTGAAAACATTCAGTAGCGCGGGATTAGTGATTTGATTCAACCATTGGAAAATCTTTTCATGCAGGGTCCGAAAGGAGAAAAAGGAATGCGAGGTCCTGCAGGTGTTCGAGGAGTCCGAGGAGTCAAGGTAACAGACAATTAAATCAGATTATGGGAATGCTTGAAAATCAATATAATCAAGCTATACTACAACATTGGTTTGAGTTCTTTTTTCCCCCCTTTATTATTTTTTCAGTAATGCATTGTCCATCCATTTCTATCCAGACACCCATTTCCAAAGCCATCCTCCAACAGCCAAGTCAGTCGGCAGGCTTCCTATAACCAAATCTCTGTCAGCACTGTGAAGTCGGGCAGCCTGTGTGACAGCACTGTACAGGATAACTCAATTTAGTGAACATTGCCCCCTGCGAAAATACTGAATATTTCCCTCTGACAGTTGTCAAGATTAATGACTCTGCATCTGTATTGTGAATCACAAGTGAAAATCTACTTCTTTTGATTTTGTGGGACATTACATTATTACTAACATGCTCCTCAGAGCAATCATCCAAACTTCTGCTATCATTATTGGTAATATAATCTTTACGGATTTCATTGACATTTTGCATTAAACTGGAACAGATATACAGCAACAATTTACAATATACACATTATACTGTTTAATTACCCAATTATATCTGGCTAAAATTAGATTTACCACTCCATGAAGTATGAAGAATTATTAAGAGTCTTAACTGTGATGTCTTATTTAAAGTTCATAGAAACATCAGTTCTAGCCCATCATTCTGTGCTGCAATAATTAATATGATACAGGATATGTAAAGAGATGAAGAACCATTATGATATAATGTATCCTCTGCTTTCCTTTATTGATATAACAGCGAATCATGGATTTCATCCCTGTGTATGAAAGTAAAAGCCTTACAAATGTGATTCATATAATACAACAATATAAAATAATATAATAATCCAGTACAAATGTGAAGTTTCTTGAAGGTGAGGAGAGAATTTTGGATGATTTCCTTTGGGTAAATCAAAAATGATTTTCTCACCTTATTTCTATTACACCCTGTAGGGTAGCTTTGGACCTGCAGGAGCACAAGGACATGAAGGTCTTTCTGGTGAAAATGGCTCTCCTGTAAGCATTGGGTGAAATTCCTTCAATTTCTGATGATTATAACAATTTTGCATTTAATTATATTAAACACATTTATCATTATTTATATAGGGCTTTCAAGGTGGAAATGGTCTAAAAGGTTACAAAGGTGAACCAGGCATACCAGGAAGAGAGGTACGAATATTATGATGGAACTATTTAGCTCTCAAAAATACATTTGACATTGTTTTTTGGATTTACATTACATGTAATGAGGTTGACTTGTAAAATATGGTTAAGCCACATGATTGAATCTATATGTTACTTAGAAATCCATAATCTTCCATGCAGTTTTGATGACACCCACATTCAGGTGGAAATCTGGCACTGTTCTCAATGTTGATATCAATGAAGCTAGGCCATCCATCAAGTGGGATTGCAGTTTTCTTGCTAAAAGTATAATTCAACCAAAAAATCAGAGTTACATTTATATCTCGTAAACCAGCACAGGCTTGTTAGACTGTCGTCATCACTTCAGTAATAATATATTAATCATAGCCAGTGGTCAATATCATGCAATATAACTTTACATGTAAAATTATGTGTTAAATATATGATCTACTCTCCAAACAACTGAAGCATTACTCCTCATTCTATTAAATTTAGTTTCAATGTCCGTGTAATCGATAAAATTTGACATTAACAAGATTTGCTTTCAGTTTCCTTTGCTAATTGTGTTGATTGCTTTTTTAGGGATCCAAAGGAGCCAAAGGAGCTCTAGGTTCACCTGGTGACTCAGGCCCTGCTGGAATTAGAGTAAGGATCAAACTATAATACAGCAACTCTACGATAGATTACCTCAAATAGCCTTAAAATAAGTGTCATAATTTTTGCAACAAAGGGACAGTAAAACTGGGAGAACATCAATTTCACATATGCTTCACGGACATACAGTTCGTTTGTATGTTTGGCTCTGGCCTCCAGCACATCACTCGTCCCCTCCACTTCACCATCGATAGCCATGCTTTCAGCCTTGCCCCACTCCTGGTCCATCTTCAGATCATGCATGAAAACCTTCCTCTTCAAACATACCTCTTGTCACCTCACCTCTCTCCCTGGCTCAGGGAGGTAAAATAAATTAATACAACATAGACAACTAAGATGAGGGGAACCAACCAGATTGTTGTCTTACGTCAGTATGTGGGACTATTTTGGTGCATTTGTGCAGAAAATAGATGCATTCTAATGAGAAATACCAGTGTAAATGGGAAGTTAGTTATATTTAGTGAAGGTAGCTGTTTGTCTGGAACAAGACATGTTCCCTTGACCACCATAAATGAGATAAGTGATACAGAAATTGATTGGGAGCAGACTATCATTCTTGTTATTCTTTGATGATATGCAAATTATTGGATTGTATGTTAAAAAGTTTCACTGACTGAAAAAGTTTTGTTATCTTTCTTTGTTTTCCACCTTCACCAAACAATGCAATTTCCCCACAAATAGAAGGGTTAGATACCTGATTCCTAGCCTCTGCCACTGACTATATGAGTGATGATTGACTCACTCAGGGATGTGCTAGGTCTTCGGTTGCTGACTTGCTGCAGTGGAAAAACATAAAATTTAATTGGAAAATGAGCTATTAATTTGAAAGCCAAGTTGAAATATTTTGATAGACTATTGCATCTTATTTGTTAAATTATTACATTTTTCTTTACAAATAGGGAGATGATGGTGGACCCGGTGTAGGGATAAAAGGATATCCTGGATTCCAAGTAAGACATTTGCAGATTTACTGTTTCAGTTATGTGGATTTCTATAGAATCATACAGCACAGAAACTAGTCCACATTGGTGTTTAAGAAGCAGACCATTTGGCCCAACTAGTCCACGTTGGTGTTTATATTCCACACAAGCATTTTACTCTCCTATTCCCCTCTCCTATACCCCTCTATTCTCTTCTCCCTCCTGTACGAGTTGAGTTCCCTCTTAAATACATTGATATTCCTCAAGTAATCTGAAGGCTTGTGTTATATGTAACACCATTGACAATGTATGATTATACAGATCAGGGTGGCCCAACTGGTGGCCCGCGGGCCACATCCGGCCCATCAACCATTCCCAACTTCATTATCCGATGAGCAGATAAAGGCGACACACAGACCCCGAGCCAATCAGGAGACCGTCACCAGGGGCTTGCACGCTGCCGGCCAACCAGCGTAAAATATTGTTTTACGGCCCACGGACATTTTTCAAATCCAGCATCTGGCGCTCAGAGGCCAAAAGGTTGAACTACCACTGAATAGATCATCACAATTTGTTCCATAATACTACTTTTTTTAACTTTCTAGGGGTTTCCCGGATTACGAGGACAAACTGGCCCAAAGGTACTTGTAGGTGTCTAAATACAGAATTTACTAGATTCCTAGTTTATTTTGCAGTGTCGCAAAATTATTTTCTATTAACCCAACATAGGGTGTTAAAGGCTACGTGGGACAAAAAGGCGATAGAGGACAGTCGGGTATTCAAGGTGATGATGTAAGTTGCTGATCATAACATGGAATATAATTAATATGGAATGAACAAATGAAAATCAAGCAGCTATAGAATGAATAGTATTTGGAGGGGTCTTGCAATGTACCTCTATAGTTGTTGAAATTGTAATCCTTAAGAAAATGTGCTTTATAGAGCAAACTAGTTTATTTTTAAACTTTCACCAGCTACAGTCATAAAAAACTACATAAAATTGAATACCCATTGAAGTAATTAAAATTATGCCCATTGGAAATGAACCATCAATGCTTACAAGTTCCTTTAAATGCCTGTATTATTTTTCAAATTAATATTAAAACATTAAGCAAAAGCAAAATTCTAGTGTAAATTAGTTAAAATAAATAATGCTTTAAAAGTGTGCTTTGTTTCTTGATACAGAACAATTTTCCAGGAAAAGATGGTACCAAAGGACAAAAGGGTTACCGTGGTTCAGTTGGAGATTTTGTAGGTGTCTCTTTTTTTATGTTTTTCTCTTTTACCTTATCGGTAGAATTATATATTTATATGTATTTAAAATTTTCAAATAGAGAAAACAGACAAAACAATGCCGCAATCATAACATCAAGCAAATATAGTCTTAACTCATTCATGTTTTAATTCCAAAGGGTCTTCCTGGTTTAATAGGACCTCCAGGACCAGATGTAAGTAATAGTTTACAGTGTACACTGTAATTTTTTGATTCAGAGCACTTTGTTTCAGGGTATCTACAGGGTGTCATTCAGAACTCTGCAGCTCGTGTCCTGTCCCGCACCAGTGCTTCGGGACCACATCACTCCCACCCTCGCTCGCCTCCACTGGCTCCCCATCCCCCAGAGGATTGATTTCAAGATCCTCATCCTCACCTACAAGGCCATTCACGGCCTTGCTCCCTCCTACCTCTCCAACCTACTATCCCCCTACCTACCTGCCCGTACCCTCCGTTCCTCTGGCTCTGGTCTGCTCCACGTCCCCCGCCCCAACCGCCCTACCATCGGTGGTCGGGCCTTCAGCCTCTCAGCCCCCAGGCTCTGGAACTCCATCCCCCAGTGCCTTCGCCTTGCTTCCTCCCTCTCCTCCTTCAAGGCCGGTCTCAAAACCTTTCTCTTTGACCGAGCCTTCAGCTCCCCTCTCGACTCTCTTCCCCGTCCTTGCTCCCTCCCTTCCCTCCCCTCACCCTGACCATTTCCCCCTTCCTTGCTCCCTCCCTTCCCTCCCCTCACCCTGACCATTTCCCCCCTGCTCGGGTCATGACCCAACTGTGCAGCGCCTTGGGACGTCCTCCTGACGTGAAAGGCGCTTTATAAATGGAATCTTGTTGTTGTTGTTGTTGTATCTGATATATTTTTTAAGTCACATAATAATTACATATTCTGTGGAATATATTTTGAAGGCTTTAAGTTATATGCTTTAAGCTATATAAAGTATCATTTTTTGAAGTATAAATGTTTAATTTATATTATAAATGCAGATGACACCCAACTCTGCCTCTCTACCTCCACCCTTGACTCTAGGAATACTGCTGTCCCGACAGAATGTCTGTTGGACATCATTCCTGGATGAGAGCTAACTTTCTTCAGTTGAACGTCAATAAGACCGAGGCTCTCCTAATTGGTTCCCGTCAGCGTCTCCTTAACTCAGGCACTGACAGCATCACCATCCATGGTTGCAAACTCCACCTCACTGAGTCAGTCCGGAACCTTGGGGTCTTGTTTGACCCTCAACTATCCTTTCTACCCCACATCTGTGCCATGAACCGCTCTGCCTTCACCCACCTCCACAACGTCACCTGGTTCCGCCACCGTCTCACACTGCAGGCCGCCGAAACCCTCAAACATACTTTCGCTCCCTCTGCTCAGCGGACTCCAGCCCGCTATTGACGGGCGGGCCGTCCGTCACTCTGTCCCCACCCTCTGGAACTCCATCCCGCAATGCTTCCGCCTCGCCCTTTCCCTTGCCACCTACAAGACCCATCTCAACTACCTCCTCTTCGACCGTGTTTTCGATCTCCCTGATTCCCCCCCTGCCTTCCACCCTCCCCAACCCTGACCCTCAGCTCGGGTCTGTAACTCTGTCTATCCAGCGCCTTAGGTTATCCTCCCGACGTGAAAGGCACTATACAAATGTAATTTTGTTGTTGTTAATCGAATAAATTTGAAAATATTAATGATTATGATCACTTTATGCACAATCTATTACTGGGATTTGTTTCTGCAGGAGTGTGAAATATTAGACATCATTCAAAAACTCTGCTGTAAGTATTCACTGAATGTTTTCTAGAATTAAGCCCATTATTACATTTGGTAGGAAAGAACAGCTGTTAGAAAGTTATTTATTCCTTTGCAGTTGATACAGTTGCAGCTACAGTTATTATTATTATACAAAATAATTATGTAGCATTTCAGTTAAATGTATATAATTTTGCTATCTCTTCACAAGATTTATACAAGTATTTCAGAAACATTTGTATTATTTAGTTTGATGTTTTGTTTCAAAGTAAGTACAGAACAGCTCTGTTACCACACGCTTCACCATAGTACAAATTCACTTAACACTCTTTGGACTGTGGATTCCATGCATATGCACACATTCACTTCACACACATTGGTCTTTTTGAGGTAAAATGGCCAACTTCTAGGTCAATAGGCTCCATGAACATCATTTTCTGCTTGCTGCAAATGCGCAAAGAAGGAAGTGACACCAATGGCAACCTGATGAGAAGATTATTTCTAGCTTATTTCACGAAACTTCCGAGTTATCAGGTCATCCCCAACGCCACTTCTCACTTTGAGAATGCACGGAAAACAAGAATTGGCTTTGTGGTGATCCAATGAACTAGAAGTTGACCATTTTTTCTTTCAGTGCAGGAACCAACCAGGACCAGTCAGTTTTACACATACTATTTATTATCTATTATTGAGCCTCACTATTATGCAGGCTGGGATTTTATGGATCCCAAACCCCGCTGCACAGTAGTTGTGTGATTTATTTTCTCAATAGAATCTCTGCTGGCCAGTAAAGTCATTGACTTTGGAAGTGTGAACATTGGGATTTCCTTGTTGTTAGGCCAGGAAGGTAAATTTTCCAACTAGAAGAATCTCACCCCTCTTATTGATTTCTCATTGTACGCTCCTGTATAAAGTAACTTTAATCTTTGATCAAAATGTCATCAGATTCAGTAATGGGTACAAAATTAGCTGATCACCTGAACTAAAAATACTGATAATACCGTTCATTTTCTTATTTTGTTTTTCAGCAAGCTGCGGTAAGTATAATTCATTTGTTTCATGTAGGTAGGTAGCTCTAAAACCGTTTGCTTTTAGCTCTCCTGAATATCAAATATGTTTCATCACTCCAAATATGTTGTCTCTTTTCCTGATCTATATTTTATGATCAATTAACAAGAGTTTTGTCTTTCTCTTTTTCCGTCTCAGACAATGATTGTGGCGCGGTGAAACTGCTCTTTATACTGGATAGCTCTGAAAGTGTTGGTCGGCAAACCTTTACTATTGAGAAAGAATTTATCATCAGAGTCATTAACAAGATTATGAAAATGGATAAAATCAAGGTTTGTAACAGGGAGGAACACAAGGTTATCTCATTACCAGAAAAAAAACGCTGCAGGGTACAGCTTCCTGCCCATTTGCACTGATGCTCAGTAAATTACAGTATCCAAATAATGATCTTAATTTCATTTGTTAACAGATTCTGTGTTTTACATCCACTAATTAGAGATTGTGTAGAATGGACACATCTGGATAGATTTTACACTGAAGTAATATTAAGATTGATGGGGGTGCTGCCTAAACCATTGATCTATATTTATGTTTCCATCAGAGGAACAATTGCACAGAAAATGATGGTTTCTAAAATACTTATGTGGGTTTAAGCCCAGAAAATATAGTCAAATCACTTCACAGTATATTCTGTGAAGCGATTTGCGACTTCTCAACGACATGATAAGGTGCTATATCAGAATGCAAAGATTATTATTATTATTTTATGGCCATTAGACTTAAAGTATAAAATGTAAACCACAAAGGTCTAGGAAGGATTATGTATACTCAAGTTATTCTGTCAATTGAAAATTACTTGGAGTAAATATGTGTAATTCGTTCACTATGATCTTTTTTGTTAAAAAAGGTATGGTACCAAGTGTGGAAGAGTCATCCTCCAGTTTGTGTGCATATCTAGAAAATAGCTGAAGCTATAACTGAACTCAGACTCAAACTGAATTTCTTTAACTTGTATAAATTTACTTGTAAAGAATATTTGAACTATAAACTGTCTCCATCTCAATCCCATGGGAACACATGGCAGTGAAAATGGCTTCAATATCTTTATAAATTCCCAGATCTCAAAGTTTTTCCTTAAGACAAGAAAAACGCTCAGTAAACTATCTTAGACATGTAAACAAAGAGAACAATGTAAAATAGAAGGAAGGTGTAAGAATTAATCCTTCTCACACAGAGTTTTCCAGGGAGCTCACAAGTCGGTGTCATACAATACAGCCATGAACAAACACGTGAACTTGTGTCTATGGATGACCCCACCATTAAATCTCTCACACAGTTAAAAAGGTAAAAAAATCAAAATATTTTTGTTCAGACTTTTAAAAAGAAAATCTTGTATTTCATTTTTTATACTTAATAATTTGCCATTAAATTTGGAATGTTCAGCGCATAAGAAAGCTCTTTGGTCCGTCATGTTGTATCATCTAAATAAAATTACAAAGAGCAAATCACATTACTTAAATTAAAGAAAATTAGACCTTTTCCACCTTCAACTTTAAATATATAATCAGGATGGTGATGGGAGGAGTCAAATTGTGATTGATTGCCAGCAGACTCCAGCCAATCACAAGTGGCTGGAGTTGAGCTGTCAATCAGTGAGGGGGGGGGGCGGAGGAATGGGGAAGAACCAAGGGAGGGAATGGGAGGAGTTAAATTGTGATTGATTGACAGCTGGAACCACTTGTGAATGGCTCGATTGCCCATCCATTCACAAGGGACCCCAAGGCTGTCAATCATCTCAGAGCCGTGTATGGTTGTTGAGAAAAAATCCAAATTAGCTTTCAAGAGGGAACCAGATAGATGTCTAAGAAGGAATAATTTGCAAGGAATTTGTTTAGGGAAAGATAAGTAAATAAGACTGAATGGGTTGCTCTTTCAAAGAGCCAGCACAGATATAATGGGCCGAATGACCTTCTTTATAGTCTTTTATGGAAGACTGTTGGCCAGGACACCCAGAGAAACTATTTTCCATTAGTACCATGGGATCTTCATTGTCCATCTGAAAAAAACAGATGAAACCTCATCTGTTATAGCATCTCTGACAATGCAGCATTCCTCCAGAATTGCACTGCAGAGTCAGCTTAGTTCAACTTGTTATATGCAGCTCATAATGTTGTGTAGTGTTGTGACACGACCCCTTTAAAACTGTATGTCTTGTGGTTTCAGGGCTGTGAAAAACATGCGTTGGATTGCAGGAGGAGCATACACAGGAGAAGCTTTGGATTTTGCTAAAAAAGCTTTTGGCACATCCCAGCTTACCAACAAGGTTGCCATTGTGTTAACCCATGGAAGATCAGATATATCAAGAGATCCTAAACCATTATCTTCCCTGTGTGATGTGCCAAACCTAAGAGTAGGTACCCATTTGATCCTACTTTGGACCAAACCGAACATAGGTTAAGTCATGATACATTAATTACTTATTTATAAACCATCCAATAAATATTTCCAATTGTGGTTATTGTTCATTAGTATATTATGTTTTTATTAACTATTTGACCTCAAAGCAATATTTTAAAATTTGGTGTCGACCTGCCTAAGTAGCAATCTCACCTCTGAGTGAGAAGGTTGTGGTTTTGTCTACAAATACACATTATTACACTTCATAGTAAAATCCATTGAGGTGTATTGGGATGGCGCAGTGATGTGATAAGGCACTATATCAAATGCAAGGATTATGAGATGCATTTCAGGGCTATGAGATCATAGACTAGGTTAACAATCCAATTCAGTGTACTACTTATAGAGAATGTTAAAGAGGACTAAAAAGCAACAAAAGGCTTCTAATTTGAATTCTTCAAATCTTCAGAAGGCCTCGGCCAGTTTAGCTTTGGCTTGTTAATCTGTCGTGCTACAATTTACCTCACACTGATGCCATATATTCCATGATCCATTACTTTTCACAAAGCAGGTATGTTGCATTTATCGTGCAGAAAGAAATAAAACAGCTAAGTGAGAAAAAAACAGTCTCTTTAACATTTTGGGAATTATCTTGAAGAAAGGGTCTTTTGTGTCCTACAAAAAGCTATCAGTGCAGTGAAAATTAGAAATGTTGCAGTTAGAAAGGAGAAAGTTCAAAAATGTATCCCTGCAACAACAACTTGTATTTGAAAAGCAGAAATCTAACTTGTAGTCTCTTCTTATAGGTTATTGGCATTGGCGTAGGAGACATATTCAAAACCTCACCAAACAATCAGTTGATTCAACAGATTACTTGTCAATCATCACTTAATCCTGGGCTATATTTTCCTATTATGGACCATGCTCAACTTTTAGATGAAACATTATTTGAGAACATCACTAATTATATTTGTGGAGGTATGAAACTTATCATTTTTATTATTTAAAAAAAAGTTTATCACTCAAAGTCTGAAATGAGCATTGTGATCATAACATGTATCCTTCAAGATATGTTACCTTCTTTGATTGCATATTGATGAGGTGACGCTGTTATATTATTAATGTCTGTCCCTTAAAATCCATCATCCTTTTCAGATATAGTGTTGCATTAATTTGCATTGGCAAGGTCAGAGACATTTTCTTTTCATGAATAACTTCAGTCAAGTGTAATTAAACCACATACCTAACCTGTATTCCTTCTATAATGAATTAATTTACACACAAAACAATCAGACCCTAATATTCAGTTAGTTGACTGTTTTGGAAGGCCTTTATAATGACATAGTATATCTTTGTAACTATGTAATATATTTTTTGGATTTTTCAGATAAACATCAAGATTTCAGATGTCCAGGTAAGAATCACGCTTGAGTTTTACAACAACAATAACTTGCACTTATATAGCAACTGTAGTTTGGAAAAACAATTGTTTCCCCAGTGGTTTAGTGAATAGATTTACATGGCAAAAGACTCAGTTAAACAAGCAGAAAGGAAAGGGACCAATGCTGCTATTTGCTGAATAAGTGAGTCTCACCTGCAACTGTGGTGAGGGTGTAACCATTGGCTCAGGCTAGGAGGAGGGTGCGAAGAAAAAGGGCAACCGTAGTTCTTTCTTGAGAGGCCCAAAATTGTATAAATATGTTATGCACAAAATTTTTAGCATGCAACATAACAACATGTATTCTGTGTGCACTCAATTTAGAATGTTGTACAGATTTTATTCACTCGCTTTAGAGCATGACATTATTTAATAATTTGAATCACACTGTAGGTAAGTTTACGGAGGCCACTGATATTGCACTCGTGCTCGATGGTTCTACCAGTGTGGGGAAAAGAAACTTTGAAAGGACGAAGAAGTTTGTGGAGCAGGTAGCCGGAAGAATTCTTTCATCAGAGATGGATCCACTGAAGATCCTTCGACTGGCTGTGATTCAGTACAGCGGCAACAACCAACAGATCCTGGAAGTTCCTTTCACCAATGGAATTGAATTCGTAATCCCAAAAGTTAAAGCCATTAACTACATGGATGGTCCTACTGATCTCCCAGATGCATTGAGATATCTTACAGAATTTTACAAACGTGTAGCCCGCACTGATGTTAAAAAGAAAGCCGTGATATTTTCAGACGGTCGTTCATTATCGGTAGTTAGAGAGCAAATTCCTATTCAGGCAGCAGCCGCCATGACAGCTGGTATACAGGTCTATTCGGTGGTTGTGGGAGATGGATTTGATGAAGATGGTATCTGTCAGCTGGTTACAGGGAGGCAAAGCGGTTACAACTATACATTTGTTGAAGAAAGGGTGTTCCGTGTCCCACAGTATAAAGATTTAGCAAAAATAATCATGCACCATAGACTTATTCGCAAGGTATCACTGCAGTGAAAATCGGAAAATAGTACAATTACAAAGGAAAGTTGCTCCTAGTTGTAGTTGATTAAAAGCAAAATATAGAATAATTGATCATCAGCACAATTATATTCTAGAAACAACTAGATTGGTAAATATATTGGCAGTACCAGTTTAGATCAGAGTTTTCAAATCAAGATTCAGTGCTACTCTTATGTGTTTTTGGATGTTTATGAAAAGATGGGTTTTATATATGGCCAATTACACTAATTACAATGAAAGATATGTACTAAGGTGGAGACTGTTTAAACAAGACTGAATGTGGTAACCATCTTTACAGCTAATTGTTTCTAATGCATGCAGTGTTCACATTCACATCATAATGACCAGCAAGGGGATTTTGTTTTTTAAAAAAATACACTTCCAAGGTTTTCCTCGCCCACTCCTTAGCCTCCTTCAAGTCCCACCTCAAAACCCTCCTCTTCAACCATGCCATCGGTCACCCCTCTTCCACTCCCCTCCCTTCTCCCCCTTGATCCCAGCTCGGGTCTAAAATGCTGTACACTGTCCAGCGCCTTGTGACATCCTCTCGATGTGAAAGGCGCTATACAAATGTAATCGTGTTGTTGTTCCAAAAGTGCACCCAATGCACTGTAGATTTATCTATGTGTTTAATACAACACTAACATTTAATTGACTAATAGTTTTAAACAATTTATTATTTCACTCATCTTCCTGCTTCAAGTTGACCAAAAATCTATCATTTGTGATGACTATTTTGGTTGAAAATTGTGTTTTAGTGAAACTGATAACTCACCCTTGGGATAAGTCGGCAACCCACATAATTCATCAGTCACTCAATATTCTGGCTATTTCCCATAAGAAATGTTAATTATCATCTTCTGATAATTAGTCACCTGGATATCTCATAACTAGTCAGGTTTTCACACTTTTAAGACGGTATTTCCATGGTGCATACCTCTGATTACTTACCATTTTTTTGATCTTCAAATCACAAAGTGATTCAGACATTTTTAAAAGGCCCCAAAATAGTACTGTACTTCCCCATCGTCCTCCTTCTGCTAACTTCATCCACCCACATAGAGTGGGCATGGGTAAAATGTTACCTTTTCTGTGACTTTGCTTGGATTATGCTTCAGTTTTGTACTTCAGATCAATTGCAGCATTCTTATATGGTACCTATCACATAAAAATCCCAAAGCCTTCACAAAATATGATTGATTAGAAATGCAAGTGGATGTAATATGTAATGCGATCATTTACATTCCCAAAATTGTGGTCAAAACCTGTCTTTAATTACAATACCATATGGTTTGGAGTATGGCCACCCCACCATCCCCATTGGCATCAGCAAAATGGTTTGGTAGCAGCCTCTGGTCACAGCTTTTTTGTTTCTGAATCAGCCTGTTATCCCACGAAGCAGGAGGAAACAACAATGGTGGCAGCCAGAGACATTAGATATGTTAAAATATTTAGAGTATTCAAAGATGAGCTGAATATGTTTTGTCATGTTAAATGTATGGGTTGCAGTTTAAAAGTTGCTTTGCATGGCTGTCATTTGCTTTGTATGTGCTGACAAATAAGAGAATAAAATTAATATAGCAGCAACAATAAATAGCATATTCACATCAGTCACTATCGAATTGCTGTCTCATTTTCTCCCTTATAACACTGCTAATTCCAATCTCTGATTACTAACAAGTGTTGCCACAAAACATCAACAGCAGACTAGATATTCCCCCATGCGTTCAGTTTAATTTCATAATAATAATACTTGCATTTGATATAGTGTTATTATGTCATTGAGACGCCTCAAAGCACTTCATAGAATACAATGTAAAGTGAATTGACTACATTTTGTGGGTGCAATTCACTGCCTCCCTATTGTGGAGTCCTGTAGCTTAGTGGTTAGAGCACTCGCCACACAAGCAAGAGATTTAAATGGGATTGACAAATGGGATTGCCTCTATTCCCGGCAGGGCGAAACATTGGGCAAGTCTCCTTACTACGCACGCCTCTGTTTACCTTGCAGTAAATAGGAAGCCTGTCGTTAGTCAATTGGCGGATCACTTTTCGGGGGTAATAATTCCTTCAAAATAAATAAAAATAATTTGGTCACTCAATCCATGACTGTTTGTGGGACACTGCTGTGCGCAATTTGCTACCACGTTTCACCCACAAAATATTTACTTTACAGTATATTCTGTGAAGCACTTTGAGATGTCTAGAAGATGTAATAAGGGCATTCGGCTATCATAGCTGTGCCAGGAGTTCAATTGAGTTCAGATCACCATATACTCAAGCTATACAGTGCTCTGGTTAGGCTATACTTAGAATACTGCGTACAGCTCTGGCTGTCACAACGTAAATGGGTGACACAGGCCCCTGAGGCAGTGCAGAGAACATTGAGGATGACCCCCATTGAGGTGGTGGCAGACAAGGTAGGGCTTATCATTCTTGAAAGGAGATGTACCAGAGGGGACTTTTAAAGATATACAAGATTTTAAATGCGATTGACAAAGTGAGACCAGAATAATAATTTGGTTGCACCAAGACAACAGAACAAGAGGACACAGGTTCAGGGTTGCAAAGAGCAATTTTAGGAAATACAACAGGAAATATCCAGGATACTGGATTCATTTAAAAAAAAAGCTTAATGCTGTGATGGAAAGATGGTAGAATGGGTATTCTGGAAGGATGCAATCAATTTGGGCAAAGGGCCTTCTTCATCCAAACTGATCTTGTGAAGTATTATGTTTAAAATACCAGTAAATCATTAAACATGATGAACAGTTAACAAAATAAAGCATGGAATAAGAAGGGTTAATTTGGCTTATCAATGCACCTCTTACCACAAACCATGTAAAACACCAACAGGATCTGCATCCACCCATTCACCTTGGGAAAATTGGGTTTTAGTACTCCGTTATACCCGAAGGTAACATAACTAAATATATTTAGATGAATATTCACCAAACCCCACATCTAATTGTACATCAGTAGGATTCCTCCCATTCAGCTACTGTTAATCCTGCAAGTCAAAACCCTAACCAGTTGGGTGGTTTTAGCTGAACAAGTAGTAGGAAACTTGCCAAACAGTCCTTTCAATGGCAAGCTATGCGGTTTTAGCTGGTTAAACTCCAGCAGTACCTCAATGTACACCCTTGGGCTTACAAGTCATGGCACCCACCAATCTGATATTCTCCGGAATTAAGTAAGCATGATGCATCCCTTCAGGGATTCCATTCGAGATGCAGGGACATTTCCAAATGTAAGTGCCATACAAATGTGGATCTAGTTTGGATACTCTTAAGCAGGCTAATAGACTAATATATATCAGACACCAAGCTGACCAAAATAAAATCTTGTGCAATGCAATCCTCTATAGGGTCTTGCCGAGTCCAATCCTCTATGGGGTCTGGTCTCTGCCCAGTGAAGTCCGTTGCGGATTTGGTCTTGTCCGGTGCAGAGTCTGGTCTTTGTCTAGTACAGTCCTTTGCAGAGTTTTTCCCTGCCTGGTCCAGTGCTGTGTGGTCTGTCCTGTAACAGTCTTTGATCTCAGTGCTGCACAAGGTCTGGTCTCCGGTCTCAGAGCTATGCAGTCTCTGATCTCAGTTCTGTATCATAGTCTGGTCTCAGTGCTGGATTGGGCTGGAGTGTAGTCTGGGCACTGTGTTGGGGTGGGGTCTGGACGCTGGGTGGGGGGTGGGGTCTGGGCGCTGTGTCGGGGTGGGATATGGGCTCAGTGCTGTATTGGGAGAGGGGTCTCACTGTTGTGTCAGGGTGGGCTGGGGTCTCAGTGCTGTATTGGGCTGGGGTCTCAGTGGTGAATTGGGCTGGGGTCTCAGTGCTATATTGGGCTGGGGTCTCAGTGCTGTATAGGGCTGGGGTCTCAGTGGTGAATTGGGCTGGGGTCTCAGTGCTATATTGGGGTGGGGTCTCAGTGCTGTATTGGGCTGGGGTCTCAGTGCTGTATTGGGGTGGGGTCTCAGTGCTGTATTGGGGTGGGGTCTCAGTGGTGTATTCTTCAGTTGAACGTCAACAAGACCGAGGCTCTCCTGATTGGCTCCTATCAGAGCCTCCTCACCTCAAGCGCTGACAGCATTGCACACTCCACCTCGCTGAGCCAGTTAGGAACCTTGGTGTCTTGGATGACCCTCAACTATCCTTTCTACCCCACATCTGCGCCATGACCCGTTCTGCCTTACCCCACCTCCGCAACATCGCCCGGCTCCACCACTGTCTCACACCGCAGGCTCACACCTCATACACGCTTTCATTACATCGAGGCTCGCCTATCCAAACTCATTCCATGTCGGCCTGCCAAACGTCTCCCTCCATAGGCTGCAGATCATCCTGAACTCTGCAGCCGTGTCCTCTCCCGCACTAAGCGACCCTATCCACTTCCATCCTCGCCCGACTCCACTGGCTTCCCTTCACGCAGAGGATACAGTTCAAGATCCTGGTCCTCACCTTCAAAGCTCTCCATGGTCCTGCTCTCCCCTACCTCTGCGACCTCCTAACCCCCTACCATGCTGCCCGCTCCCTCTGCTCAGCGGGCTCTGGCCTGTTTCACATCCCTTACCTCGCTCGCCCCACTATTGGCAAACGAGCCTTCTGCCACTCTTCCCCCACCTTCTGGAACTTCATTCCGCAGTCCCTCTGCCTCATCCCTTCCCTTGCCACCTTCGGGACCCCTCTTAAGACCCTCCTCTTCGACCATTCTCTCGATTCCCCCCCGCCCTCCACCTTCCCCGACCATGACCCCCAGCTCAGGTCCGTAACTCTGGCTGTCCAGCGCCTTGGGACGTCCTCCAGACATGAAAGGCGCTTTACAAATGCAATTTTGTTGTTGTTGTATTGGTCTGGGGTCTCAGTACTGTGTCGGGCGGGGGTCTGGGCTCAGTTCTGTGTTGGGATAGGGTCTCAGTGCTGTGTTGGGGTGGGTGTCTCAGTGCTGTATTGGGGTAGGGGTCTCAATGCTGTGTTGGGGTCTCAGTGCTGTGTTGGGGTGGGGGTTCCAGTGCTGTGTTGGGGTGGGTGTCTCAGTACTGTATTGAGGTAGGGGTCTCAATGCTGTGTTGGGGTCTCAGTGCTGTGTTGGGGTGGGGGTTCCAGTGCTGTGTTGGGGTGGGGGGGTCCCAGTGCTGTATTGGGGTTGGGGTCTCAATGCTGTGTTGGGGTCTCAGTGCTGTGTTGGGGTGGGGGTTCCAATGTTGTGTTGGCGTGGGGGTCCCAATGCTGTATTGGGATGGGCGTCTCAATGCTGTGTTGGGGGTCTCGGTGCTGTGTTGGGGTGGGGGTCTCAGTACTGTATTGGGGTGGGGGTATCAATGCTGTGTTGGGGTCTCAGTGCTTTATTGGGGTGCGGGTCTCAATGCTGTGTTGGGAGTCTCTGCTGTGTCGGGGTGGCGGCTCTGGGCTCAGTGCTGTGTTGGGATGGGGTGTCAGTGCTGTGTTGAGGTGGGGGTCCCAGTGCTGTATTAGGGTGGGGATCACAGTGCAGTATTGGGGTGGGGGTCTCAGATCTTTATTGGGATGGGGGTCTCGAGGTTGTGTTGGGGGTCTCGGTGTTGGGGGTCTCGGGGCGGTGTTGGGGGTCTCGAGGCTGTGTTGGGGGTCTCGGGGCTGTGTTGGGGGTCTCGAGGCTGTGTTGGGGGTCTCGGTGTTGGGGGTCTCGGGGCGGTGTTGGGGGTCTTGGAGCGGTGTTGGGGGTCTCGGGGCTGTGTTGGGGGTCTCGAGGCTGTGTTGGGGTTCTTGGGGCTGTGTTGGGGGTCTCGGGGCTGTGTTGTGGGTCTCGGGGCGGTGTTGGGGGTCTCGGTGTTGGGGGTCTCGGGGCGGTGTTGGGGGTTTCGGTGTTGGGGGTCTCGGGGCGGTGTTGGGGGTCTCGGGGCGGTGTTGGGGGTCTCGGTGTTGGGGGTCTCGGGGCGGTGTTGGGGGTCTCGGTGTTGGGGGTCTCGGGGCGGTGTTGGGGGTCTCGGTGTTGGGGGTCTCGGTGTTGGGGGTCTCGGTGTTGGGGGTCTCGGGGCGGTGTTGGGGGTCTCGGGGCGGTGTTGGGGGTCTCGGGGCGGTGTTGGGGGTCTCGGTGTTGGGGGTCTCGGTGTTGGGGGTCTCGGTGTTGGGGGTCTCGGGGCGGTGTTGGGGGTCTCGGGGCGGTGTTGGGGGTCTCGGGGCGGTGTTGGGGGTCTCGGTGTTGGGGGTCTCGGGGCGGTGTTGGGGGTCTCGGTGTGGGGGTCTTGGGGCTGTGTTGGGGGTCTCGGGGCGGTGTTGGGGGTCTCGGGGCGGTGTTGGGGTCTCGGGGCGGTGTTGGGGGTCTCGGGGCAGTGTTGGGGGTCTCGGGGCGGTGTTGGGGGTCTCGGTGTGGGGGTCTCGGTGTTGGGGGTCTCGGGGCGGTGTTGGGGGTCTCGGGGCGGTGTTGGGGGTCTCGGGGCAGTGTTGGGGGTCTCGGGGCGGTGTTGGGGGTCTCGGGGCAGTGTTGGGGGTCTCGGTGTTGGGGGTCTCGGTGTTGGGGTCTCGGTGTTGGGGGTCTCGGGGCGGTGTTGGGGGTCTCGGTGTTGGGGGTCTCGGGGCGGTGTTGGGGGTCTCGGGGCGGTGTTGGGGGTCTCGGTGTTGGGGGTCTCGGTGTTGGGGGTCTCGGGGCGGTGTTGGGGTCTCGGTGTTGGGGGTCTCGGGCGGTGTTGGGGGTCTCGGTGTTGGGGGTCTCGGTGTTGGGGGTCTCGGGGCGGTGTTGGGGGTCTCGGTGTTGGGGGTCTCGGGGCGGTGTTGGGGGTCTCGGGGCGGTGTTGGGGGTCTCGGGGCGGTGTTGGGGGTCTCGGTGTTGGGGGTCTCGGGGCGGTGTTGGGGTCTCGGTGTTGGGGGTCTCGGGGCGGTGTTGGGTCTCGGGGCGGTGTTGGGGGTCTCGGTGTTGGGGGTCTCGGTGTTGGGGGTCTCGGTGTTGGGGGTCTCGGGGCGGTGTTGGGGGTCTCGGTGTTGGGGTCTCGGTGTTGGGGGTCTCGGTGTTGGGGGTCTCGGGGCGGTGTTGGGGTCTCGGGGCGGTGTTGGGGTCTCGGTGTTGGGGGTCTCGGTGTTGGGGGTCTCGGGGCGGTGTTGGGGGTCTCGGGGCGGTGTTGGGGTCTCGGTGTTGGGGGTCTCGGTGTTGGGGGTCTCGGGGCGGTGTTGGGGTCTCGGTGTTGGGGGTCTCGGGGCGGTGTTGGGGGTCTCGGGCGGTGTTGGGGGTCTCGGGGCGGTGTTGGGGTCTCGGTGTTGGGGGTCTCGGTGTTGGAGGTCTCGGTGTTGGGGGTCTCGGGGCGGTGTTGGGGGTCTCGGTGTTGGGGTCTCGGTGTTGGGGGTCTCGGTGTTGGGGGTCTCGGTGTTGGGGGTCTCGGTGTTGGGGTCTCGGGGCGGTGTTGGGGGTCTCGGTGTTGGAGGTCTCGGGGCGGTGTTGGGGGTCTCGGTGTTGGGGGTCTCGGGGCGGTGTTGGGGGTCTCGGTGTTGGAGGTCTCGGTGTTGGGGGTCTCGGTGTTGGGGGTCTCGGTGTTGGGGGTCTCGGTGTTGGGGGTCTCGGTGTTGGGGTCTCGGTGTTGGGGGTCTCGGTGTTGGGGGTCTCGGTGTTGGGGGTCTCGGTGTTGGGGGTCTCGGGCGGTGTTGGGGGTCTCGGTGTTGGGGGTCTCGGGGCGGTGTTGGGGGTCTCGGTGTTGGGGTCTCGGGGCGGTGTTGGGGGTCTCGGTGTTGGGGGTCTCGGTGTTGGGGGTCTCGGTGTTGGGGGTCTCGGTGTTGGGGGTCTCGGGGCGGTGTTGGGGGTCTCGGGGCGGTGTTGGGGTCTCGGGGCGGTGTTGGGGTCTCGGGGCGGTGTTGGGGGTCTCGGGGCGGTGTTGGGGGTCTCGGTGTTGGGGGTCTCGGGGCAGTGTTGGGGGTCTCGGGGCGGTGTTGGGGGTTTCGGTGTTGTGGTGTTTGTCGGTTTCCCTCTCGGCTCCGCCCCCACAACCGGATATAGTGCTCAGTGTCGGAGACAGAGAGAAGGTGTCAGTTTTGCCGCGAGACAGAGAGACAGAGAGGGACAGAGAGAGGGACAGAGACAGAGAGAGAGAGAGACAGAGAGACAGAGAGGGACAGAGAGACAGAGAGGGACAGAGAGAGGGACAGAGACAGAGAGAGAGGGACAGAGAGAGAGAGAGACAGAGAGGGACAGAGAGAGGGACAGAGAGAGAGAGAGACAGAGAGAGAGGGACAGACAGAGGGGGAAAAGGAAATAAAAAGCCACAAATATCAGTCGGAGAGAGAGAGAGAGAGAGACAGTGAGTGAGTGACAGAGGGTCGGAGAGAGTGTGAGAGCTGTAGCTCCAGAGAGAGGCCGAGGCCGAGGCCCGTCTGAGGGCAGATCCCGGGGCCGGTGTGAGGGCTGAGGCCGGGGCCGGGGCCGGGGTCGGGGTCGGGGTGAGGCCGGGGCCGGGGTCGGGGTGAGGGCTGAGGCCGGGGCCGGGGTCGGGGTGAGGGCGGATCCCGGGGTCGGGGTGAGGGCGGATCCCGGGCTCGGGGTGAGGGCGGATGGACCCCTCGGCGCTGGAACAGGACGCGGTGAAGTTCGCGCAGTTGGCGGTTGGCAGCGACCAGAGCGGTCACTTCACCAGAGCCGTGTTTTACTATAAGGTGAGAGCGGGGACCACACCTCACACTCACACACACTCACACCACACACCACACCAGGCCTCACACTCACACACTGACACACTCACACCACACCACACCTCACACTCACACACACACTCACTCACACCACACCTCACACTCACACTCACACACCACACCTCACACTCACACACACTCACACACACTCACACCACACCTCACACTCACACCTCACACTCACACACACTCACACCACACACTCACACCACACCTTACACTCACACACACTCACACCACACCACACACTCACACACCACACCAGGCCTCACACTCACTGACACACTCACACACTCACACCAGGCCTCACACAACCCACACCACACCAGGCCTCACACTCACACACACTCACACACTGATACACTCACACTGACACACTCACACACACTGACACACTCACTGACACACTCACACACTCACACCAGGCCTCACACAACCCACACCACACCAGGCCTCACACTCACACACACTCACACACTGATACACTCACACTGACACACTCACACACACTGACACACTCACTGACACACTCACACACACTCACACACACTCACACACTGACACACTCACTCACACACTCACTAACACTCACACACACTGACACACTCACACCCTGATACACTCACACTGACACACTCACACACTAACACACTGACACACTCACTAACACACTCACTGACACACTCACTAACACTCACACTGACACACTCACACTCACTAACACTCACACCCTGACACACTCACACACTGACACACTCACACACTGACACACTCACTGACACTCACACACTGACACTCACACACTGACACACACACACACACTGACACACACACACTGACACACACACACTGACACACACACGCACTGACACACACACACACTGACACACACACACACACACACACAAAAACACACACTGACACTAACACTCACTGACATACACACACTAACACTCACAAACACTCTCACTAACACCCTCACTGACACACACTCATTCACTAACACACTGACACACTCACTGACACTGATACACACACTCACTAATATACATACTCACTAACACACACTAATATACCTACTCACTAACACACACTAATATACACACTCACTAACACACACACTACTTCACAAAAATACACAAACTAACATAATAGCACACTCACTAACTTACCCATTAGTGACACACACTAGCACACTCACTAACACACTCGCTAACATATGCGCTAATACACTAACACTTGCTAACACACTACCAGACTTACTAACACACTAGCTAACACACTCACTAACATACTAATGCACTCACTCATGCACTAACACACAAACATTTGTTCACTCACTCATACTAACACATTTACACTCACATTCTAACTCACATTCTCACTCGCTTACATACTCACTCACACTTACTAACTCACTCACACGCTAACATACTCACACTAACGTACTCAATCACACACACTCACTCACACATACTAACTCACTCACACGCTAACATACTCACACTCACACTAACGTACTCAATCACACACACTCACTCCCACATACTAACTCACTCACACGCTAACATACTCACACTCAAACTAACGTACTCAATCACACACACTCACTCCCACATACTAACTCACTCATATTCGCACTCACTCACACTCTCAGTCACTCACGCATACTAACTCACTCACTTAATACACACTCGCATACTTAACTCACAAACACACCCACATACTGACACGCACTCACTCACACAGACACTGACTGCCGCTCTCAGAGGCTTTCTTCCCATGGACACTGTGTGTGTGTGTGTTTGTGTGAGATAGACCTCGACAGAGAACCCGGGGTCAGATGGCTTCTGGTAACCAGCGAATGCGCTGCTTGTTCAGATGACGTTGACATGGAAAGTCAGATTCTAGATCAGTGCTCGGTGTCTGTGCCGCCTGAGCGGAGAATAAAAACAGAAACCAAACAGTTTACTGGGAACCTGAACCAAAAGCGAATGTTGGAAATGTACTTTTGTAGCCAGGCCACTCAGTCTCTGATAACCAAACCTGACACCAATGTTATTTTTTGGGGGGGTGACCTGGGCAGTCCCCTGGTCTGCATGCGATTGATTGGTAAAGGGAGTTTAAAAAAAAACGAATGCTAGTAAATGAATGCGCCATAATAAAATTTGATGCAGCACCGATAACGTGGGAACATTTCAACGAACTTTATCGGTAATTCCTATCAAGTGCCTATTTGTTTGTCGTTACCCTGGACAATTTTGTGCATAACTTTGCCCCATAAAGCATTAGCAAAGTAAATAACCACTTCACGTGTTATTTATTTCTGTATTTATTTATTTATTTATTATTTATGTGGGCCAGGACACCAGATAATCTCCCTTTTTGAAGAGTGTCGAGGGATTTTTTTTAAAAACGTGTCCCAATTTTGTTTTCTAATTTTCTACCCGGCACATAATAATAATAATAATAATTCTTGCATTTGCTATATCGCCATATCACATTGTCAAGATGTCTCAAAAGCGCTTCACAGATTATACTGTAAATTGAATTGACTGTATATTTGTGGGCGAAACGTGGCAGCCAATTGCGCACAGCGTTGTCCCACACATGTTATTGCTTTTTATTCTTGACGGATTATTCATTTCATTTCATTTCCAGGCAGGGCGAAACCTTGGGCAAGTTTCCTTACTCCACACGCCTAATAATAATCCCTCCAAAAAAACAAAACAATAATAAATTGGTCATTTTCAATCTACGACTGTTTGTGGGACATTGCTGTGCGCAATTGGCTGCCGCGTTCGCCCACAAATATACAGTCAATTCACTTTACAGTGTGTTCTGTGAAGCGCTTTGGGACGTCCTCCCGACGTGAAAAGCGCTATATCAAATGCAAGGATTATTATTATTATTATCAGGCGTGTGGAGTAAGGAAACTTGCCCAAGGTTCCGCCTTACCGGGAATCGAACCCAGGTCTCTCACTTGCGAGGCGAATGCTCTAAACGCTGAGCTACAGGACCCGTCTGCTCCTGGACTGACCTTTTCATGTTTGGGTGTCGTTCCACGGGTGTTGGTTGCATTCCTTGCCCAAGCTGTCACTGTTCACGTGTGAGTATCAGCGAGGCTGCTCGACTCTTCAAGCATCACTCGTGGAGTCCTGTAGCTCAGTGGTTAGAGCACTCGCTTTGCAAGTGAGAGACCTAAGTTCAATTCCAGGCAGAGGGCGAAACCTTTTGCAAGTTTCCTTACTCCACACAGAGCCTAATAATAATCCCTCCAAAAACCAAAAACAATAATAAATTGGTCATTTTCAATCTACGACTGTTTGTGGGACATTGCTGTGCGCAATTGGCTGCCGCGTTCGCCCACAAATATACAGTCAATTCACTTTACAGTGTGTTCTGTGAAGCGCTTTGTGACGTCCTCCCGACGTGAAAGGCGCTACATCAAATGCAAGGATTATTATTATTATTATTATTATCACAGCCGAGCATCAAGCTACCACACTTGCACAACTAGCAGAGGGTGCAAAAGTGGGAGCAGGTTGATTTCTCCTTCCCCCTCGCCCCCCGGTTATTATTATGGGGAAGCTGGTGCTAATTTCGCCTTCCCATGCAGCCCCACAAAGACGTGCAATCTCAGCACAAGCTGGGATTCAAACCAGCAAGCTCTAGCTCTATACACAACAACATTCGGGATTGGACACCATGTCATCGGATCTTTGATTTCCATCTAAATAGGCAGATGGAATCTCGGTTTCATTTTAAGGTCTCATCCAATGGCTGGCACCTCTGATAAACCAGTACAAAATCACATTCGTATAGAGCTTTTGCACGTCGGCACGACGTCCCAAGGTGTGGATAATACTGCAGTGAAGCGTCAGCTTTTAAAGTCCCGACGCAAGTCCTTAATCTTTGCACTCAAAGGCAGGAGTGCTACCAACTGAGTTAGCAGACACCCCGACGCAAGATGTTGCTCAATGTTTTTGTGAAGCATATTGTGAATAATTGGAACTGTATAAAAAGGATTCACAATCTATAACTGACCCATTAGTGATCCCATTGCTTTTCTGGGTATTTATATTTGAATAGATTTTTTGACCATGTGGGAATCATCAATTTTCAGCACTCTGTGTTCAGAGTGAGTTCAGCCACAGCATCCTCACAAAGTTTTTTTTGGTTGTGGATTGGTTGGCGATAATAAGTTTTGCTGTGGTAAGAAGATCAGCAACGTAAACCTGGCATTACTTCTAGGGAAATTTCTGACTTTTTTTTTTCTTTCAGTTTTACAATGAATTGCTTGTCTTAATACAAAATACATTTGTTTGTTTCTTAGGAGGCTGCTCAAGCATTAATCCACGCTGGCATGGCTGGATCAAAGTTGGATAGTATTCAGGAAAAAATAACCGAGTACCTGGACAGAGTACAAGCTCTTCATTCAGCAGGTTTGTGTGGTTTGTAGTGAAAAGTGAGTGATGCAGTCCAATTTTTTTTAGATTAAATGGTTAGCTTTAGTGGTCAATTTGCAGATTCTGTTAATTCGACACCTTGTCTTTTATTGTTTATGATTTGGAAGGCTGTTTAAGTGCCGTACATCTGTCATGGGCGGGTGTTGTCACAGCATTTTATATAAGATTACATACTGTTCAAAATAATTTTTTGGACTTTGAATTCTCAGGTTTGTGATGTCTACGAATTTGCTTCATTTATGACGCTGTCTGAAGGTGGATCCTCAAATGTATTTTGTATTAAGACAAGCAGTTCATTGTTTAGCAGTTTTGTGCTGAAGAGCTACCCAACAGTATTTTGTAGACTTATAGTTTGTGTGTTGAATTACCGAATAAAAGGGCAGATTGGTTTGGTATCTGTATGCATATTTAGTGCTGTTTAATTTTAGTGTTTTTTTCAAAACAGTATTGATCTTGAAAGAAATTGGGTCGTAGTTAATGGCTAAGGGAGATTAAAATCTGTTACACAAAACAAAACAAGTACTCTAAATCAACATTACATAGCACATTTGTGTTCGTCACTTACCTATTTGATTTTTTAAAAAATAAAATTCATTTACTAAATGGTTGCTTTTAAATTGTGGAAGGGAAATGCTACTTGCAGGGTCTGTTTCCAGAGCCTTTGCAGAATTTCCTTTCAAGTCTGATAGTCATTTACAGCCCTTCTCTATCTCTTTCGCTTGAATTTTTAGATCTTGCATCCGAACTCTTAATAACTCAATAGTTATTTTCACTGAGGCAGTCTGACAGAAACAGCAGCAATAGCTGAATTAAGTAACTTTCTTAATTGCAGTTCTGCTGCTATTTCTGTCACAGTGTCCATCACTAAAATAACTTAAAAGTGGCATTGTCACTCAGTATTCAATGAGTGTTAAGTTATGAAAGTAGTTGTGAAACCTTGCTCAGTTTTGCTGAGCATCACAAATATAATTGACATCTTCTGCTGAATATAAGCTGATTGATAATGGAGGTCACTGCTAATGAAATTTCATCTGAAAATGTATTTCATGTAGGATATTTGTTACCTTTGCAAATAAGTGCCATGATTGTGAGCTAGATACCCATAGCTTTCCACTCATCTGTGTACATTTTTAATCTTTGTGTTGCTCGCCATTCTTTTATGCATTAGATGTAATCTGAAACTAGCCTTACCCTTTTATTACATGACATTTTCTTTTTTGCCGATTCCCCTTTTCCTTGCTCCTCAGGCATGCCCTGCAATGAAGCAGTTAGACTGGATTTGCATTACAGTAAAGTAAGATCAGAAACATGGTTTCCTAAGCAGGTAGATGGGTTTGCAAAACAGTAAAATATCAGGAACATGGAAGGTATGAGGCTTAATCCTGTATACCATGCACTGCATGGTGTTGCAGTGCAATTCAGAGTGCCACATAAATCCTTCCCAAGCATCTGGATTAATATTATACACTTCATTGCAACCAATTGTAGAGTTTAAAAACTGGCACAAGGTAGGCACACGTTTACAATGTTGCAGGGTGATGGATTGACACATTAACAACAATAATAATAGGCCTTGCGTTTGATTTAGTGCCTTATCACGTCTCAAAGCGCTTCACAGAATATACTTAAAGTGAGCGGACTGTATTTTGTGGGTGAAACGCAACAGCCAATTGTGCACAGCAGTATCCCACAAACAGTTGTGGATTGTGTGACCAATTTATAATCATTTTTTAATTTAAGAAATTATTTAAAAAATTGATAAACTAGTCCCTATTCCTGATTGTTAGTGATTAAATCCACCTGGTTCCGTAACTGAAAGATATAGAATTGTTTCAAGGCAAATGTTGTGCAAGAGCCATCCACCTCACTTCAGGCCAAACTCAAATACCCGTGGAAAGTGAAAAATAATAATATAATAATCCTTGCATTTGATATAGCGTTATTCACGTCTTCTCGTCGTCTCAAAAGCGCTTCACAGAATATGCTGTAAAGTGAATTGACTATATATTTGTGGGCGAAAAAGGCACCTTTCCTGTCAGTATTCAGTTTAAGTGGCAGATTCAGCGCTGAAGTAACTACGAGATCCAGATAATAATGATAACAATGTGCATGATTTTCACGTGGCTTGTTTGTATTCTGCTGTATCTTGAAGTTTGCCTACACTATTTTTTATTGGTAAACTGTTTTGCCTTTCATTGTAAGTAAGAACAACAAAACTTACAATATTTGGTAAATGTCTAAACATAATATTTTGGGTTTTAGAATGGATTTGTTTTAATATTATTGAATTAACCATCTTGCCAATTTATGAATTAGAAAGTCTGCATTGCTAAAGCTGTGAAGAATATCACATACTCCAGATTGGTAACTCCTATCCGGTGTGTTTTAGTTCAGGGACAGAATAATGCAGGGGACCCTCTGAAGACAAAACAGCAGATGGATCTGGAGCGTGCTCACTTCTTGGTGACACAGGCCTTCGACGAAGACGAGAAAGGCAGTGTAGACGAGGCTGTAGAACTGTACACAGAAGGTGTTGAATTATGCCTGAAAACCGTAAGCAAACTTTCTATTTCATAACACTGAAATTTTTCAATGAGCTGTGTAACTTTTTGTCTACAATTTTGAGGGAATACTTCTAAGGAGAACAAAACGCCACCTTATAAATGCTGTTTTTGAATCGGGTTCTGCAGGTAAAAATATTGAGGGGGATTCTGCTGGTTTTGTGAATTCTCCCTTATCTTTATATCCTCATAAGGGGACAGCAATGAGCCAAGCTAAAACTATGCTTCTTTTACCCTGTTGAATGAACTGTGATGTGTACCTGCCCATTATGTAACTCAGTTGTTTGAGTATACATTAAAGATCCCATGCCCAATATTTGAACAGAGAAGATAGTTTCTCCTGGCAAACAATCCTCCAGACAAAATTGTTCATGGCTATTTGTGGAATTTGCTGTGCTTCTACAAATACAGTCATTACAATAAAATCATGTGAAGTGTTCTGAGATGTTTCATCAGTGTAATAATGTACAATGCAATGATTGTTGTTATTTAATGGAAAATAATTGTTATTGTTCACTTAGTTCTGAATGGTTTCTGGGCGTGTGGATAGGGAACGAAACTTATGGTTGTATTTTCACCCGTGTCATCAGTTTCTGACTTATTGTGCAATGGCTGCTATAATGTTGGGAAAAAACATTACTGTTCAATTAGACGTTAAGATCAAGTATTTGGCTGAGATTCTATGACTGGATTCCGTTCTCGGCAAATGGTTTCTCCTCCTGCCCCCACCTACTCACCTGCAGGGTACCCCAGAACTCCATCCTTGACTCTCTTCTTTTCCTTCTATATATATTATGTATATAGACGATGTCATCCGCAGACACAGAGTAAACTTCCACATGTATGCGGATGATACACAAATCTACTTTGCCTCCTCCAGTACCAACTCCAGGTCCACCGATCTTCTATCAGCTTGTCTGGATGAGTGCAAACTTCCTGCAGCTGAGTGTGGACAAGAAGGAAGCCATACTCCTTGGCTTCCGTTAATGTCTTCACTCCTGTGGATCTAAACTCCTCAACTTCCCTGGGCTCTCCCTCACACTCACCGAACCAGCGCGCAATCTAGGCATCCGGTTCGACTCCCAGCTGTCCTTCCTTCCCCACATCCGGTCCTTGACCTAGACCGCCTTCTTTCATCTCCGCCACATTGCCCGCCTCCGATCATAACTTACCCCAAATGCAGCCGAAACCCGTGTGCATGAGTTTGTCACCTCCCACCTGGATTACTCAAACGCACTCATCGTTGGCCTCCCCAGCTCCACCATTCAAAAGATCCAGCTCATTCAGAACTCTGCTGCTCGCATACTGACCCGGACCAAACTCTGTACCCCCATCTCACCAGTTCTGACCCAGGCTCCACTGGCTCCCCATCACCGAACAGATCGACTTCAAGATCCTCACATTGTGTTCAAATCCCTTCACTCCCTGGCAACTCCCCACCTCTCCGACCTCCTCACTCCCCAATCCACCACCCGGCAACTCCGCTCGATTGGCACCGGCCTCCTGCTCGTCCCTCGCACCCTCTACCCCACCATCAGAGGTTGCGCCTTCAGGCACTACGCCCCAAAACTCTGGAACACTCTCCCTCAATCCCTCCGCCTTGGCCCATCTCTCCCCTTTTTCAAGTCCAGCCTAAAAACCTTCCTCTTCGACCGTGATCATGGCCACTTCCCCTCCCCACCCCACCCCAGCCTCAGAGTCAGGTTCTGCAAGTTATTGTTGTTGGATATAATTGAAAGAGTTCAATGCATGTTCATTTTTTAGGCAAACGAAACATCTGACGAAACCCTGCAGGTTAAATTGAAGCAATTAGCTCGACAAGCACTTGACAGGTGAGTTCCTGCTTCTATTGTAGACTGGATACCTTTTATTAGAGTTAAAATTCTGATCTCTTTTTGGATTTGTTATAGCCATGATATGTTCACTTGTAGACGCGTAAAATGTACTAATCATGACGCAGGCTTTTCGTGCAGGGGAATAAATAGACTTAGCTGGATTCAGTTAAAATCAATAACCATCGAACATTTACAATGATGCGCAGTCTAGTGCAAATACTTTATCAGGAATGAAAATCAATATTTTATAATGCTGCAAGGTGAAGAATTGAGGGGAAAAATGGCTCCACTGGCTTCCCATCTCCTTTCTCTCTTGCTCAGCATCTAACGCCACCACTGTGCAGTGCTCCAAGACATGAAGGGTGCTACATAAGTGCAAGTTGTTGATGCTTTTGTATATTGTACTTCATGTTTGCTCAGATAATACAGGATGCTTTGTCCTTTCCCATTTCCTCCCCCCACCTCCATTTTAAATGTTGAAGTGACAGATGAGCATTTAGAAGGAAATGTGATGGTGTTGGCTTGAAAAGTACAAATCCTTTTACGGTTTGAAAAGTTATGTTGAAAATTGTGCTTAATTTTTCATCGGCCCTCTTTCATTTAGAGCCGAGGCGTTAAAAGTTTCCATGTCCAAAACTTCGCTAGAAAAGAAGCAAAGTACAGGTAAACCTAGCATGCCTGGGCGAACCTTGCAGCCCTTGGGACCTGACTTCTCTCTGAATAATAAACCACAGCTATCCAGAAATCAGCAGGGCAGTGAACCATCCCCTCAGGGTCAGAGATACACTCCAGAGGAAATTCAGGTACTCAGGTGAGTATATCTTAAAAGTTGGAGCAGATAATTGGACACGTCACACACAGTAAAATCAGCCGGAGGAGTCACTAATATTCTTTGTTATTTTTGTTAATGCAGGGGAGTAATGCTTGTTAATACAGCGGAGTTCTGAATCAGTGGTTGGGATCCAGAAAATTATAAATCACATTATAACTAGGCTCGATAGCCAGTTTCACTCTGCATTGCACGCGCACAGCCGACCAGCTCACTTCCCACCTGTCAGCCAGTACACTCACTTTTTTTGAAAAAAAGTTTGATCTTTAGATCATTAGGTTGTCACCAATGTTAGTTTCTGCTTGTATATGCTTAGAGCAGAACTAGTGTTAAACGACTTGATAATCCATAAGTCGGCCTTTTCTTTAGCACAGGAGGCTGAAGTAGCTTATTCTAACCATAGCATTGATATGTAGAGTTGACAATATGCCAGACATCTGTCACATTTCTAAGATAGTTGTCAGTTAATTATGTGTTGGAATCCTGCTGAGCTGTCTAAGTTGTTTCACCACACTTATAAATATTATCTAAACTTTGGGATGTACTATTTTGAAATACATTACAATTAGTTCTTTGCATTTGCAAATCTAGTAATTTTTTTGAGTTTAATATCCTTCTGTTCCATGTGGACACCAGGTTCTCAAGATTGAATAACTTGATTCATATGCAATGGTAGTGAATTTTATTCATAAATTGCAGTGAAATACTATAGTGTAACATGGATATACTGTATTAAGCGACTTGCACCCTGTTATGTTTTCCACCTCACATTAGACAATCAGTTACTTTGTAATCTTAACTCTCAGCATTCATGTATTCCATTACAACGAGGCAGTTATTACAACTACATATACAGTTTAAACTTGTATCTATCGCTCATGTCAATTGTGCTTTCTTGCAGGAAAACATCTAAGATAAATGGAATTGAATATGTTCCATTCATGAGTGTTGACCTTAAGGAGAGATTTGCCTTTCCAATGCCATTCTCGTAAGCTGAATCTTTTCCGAAATATCCAATATCAAACCACTGATTATTGAAAATGTAGTATTTTACCCACTGGGTATTTTGAGCATACATTTGTTCGTGGCATCATGTAAAAAATCTGTTTAAAAAAATACATTTTTGAAATTATAGCGTTGCTGATAAATTATAGATTTATTTTGTTTTACAATTCTCTGAACCAACTAATTTATAAACCAACGCTGTGTTTTTAAAGAAGTCTTTGCACAATGTCTTCAATGAATGAATGCTCAAAAGGTATCAATGCATAAAATAGTAAATTTTAAATAATTGTTATTTGGTGACTTGGTAGTTCCTTTAATCCCAGTAATGTTATATATAATGGTTGTGAAACATTACTTGCTGAAGACGGACAGTTATTTTGAATGCTTTTTAATTGAATTTTCATGAGCAACAATGAGATAAATTAGGCCTCTCTGTTTTAAGAAAAGATGCCTCAGAGAGGATCTTTCTAGAGGTTCACATTTCACCCACAAAATGTTCAGGCATCCATTTTACAATATATTCTGTGAAGCGCTTTGAGACGTCTCAACGAAATGATAAGGCGCTACATCAAATGCAATTATTATTAAATTATGGAGGTCCCAATCCCCAGCATTTCCTCATCTTTACTTGACTTCAAATTGCACCTAAAGACTTTCCTTACCTTCATAGAGGTAACATTTTAAATAGGATTAACAAAGTAAAGCCAGAACAATATTTTCGAATTGCAAGAGTACATAAGTTTTGAATTGCAAAAGGCAATTGCAGGGCAGCCACCAGGAAAATGTTTGTTTCCCATGGGGTAGTTAACAATGGAAACAAGTTGCCTGGAAGGGTGGTTGAACCCAGAACACTGGAATATTTTTTCTAAAAACAAACGGCTTGATGCTGTGATGGGAGAACAATGGGGTGATTATTAATAATAATAATCCTTGCATTTGATAAAGTGCCTTATGACGTATTCGAGACATCTCAAAGCGCTTCACAGAATATACTGTAAAGTGAATTGACTGTATATTTTGTGTGCTCAAATTGTACTTGACAAATTGTTCTTCAGCCCCTTTGTGGTCCAAAAGAATGAGCAGAGATTTATTCCTGTTTCTGCTAAGTAGCCCATGTGCTTTAGGGGACATGCCCACTGTAACTAGTATGCTGCACTCATTTTCTTACTCTAGTTAACAAAATAACGATGGAACATCTAGTAACGTTTGAAAAGGAAATTTGAAAATCATCAGTTGCTAAACTAACATTTTTCATAAAATAAAACAATATTTAAAATGTTTGCTTTTGGAAGGAAATGGTCATAGTAGCGTTGTTTTGGACACTTTTGGGAAACTGCCCCCATTTACCTGAGCAAACTCATGTATTCTGTGATATCAAATCAAAATATTCATTATCTATGTTTTTTGTGCATGTAATTGTTTTTAATAATGTTTACTTTGATTTGCTAGAGACCGGGCTGGCCAATTGGTTTTGTCACCAAAACAGAAAGCATTATTTTCTCGCTGGGTTCGACCTGATGAGCTGAGCAACAACCCTACAATGATCTACACAGTGTCTAGTTTTAGTATAAAGCAGGTGAGCTCTCAAATACATTTTTTTTTAATCTATAGTTTAAGTTCAAGGTCACCTCTCATTTCTAACTAACAATCTAAGATGCTGGAATCTAAGATGAGTTTCAGTAAAGTGCCATCAGCATTTTGCCTTTGATAAGCACTAACATTGGCGGGCCCACTCCATTCTGTATAGATGGCTCTTTCATGTGTTTTTCTTTAGGATGATAAATTTGTATGAGTTTGTCAGAGTCTGCAATTTTGAAAAGACCCGACCTGCTCACACCCAACTCCTCTACCTGCCCCCTTCACTCCAGCCAGCTCAGGCCTTTTGTGCTTCTCCCAACCTCTCCTGTGCACTGTCGGTGGCCTTACCTTCAAACACCATGTCCCAATCCCCGGCATTTCCTCATCTTTACTTGACTTCAAATTGCACCTAAAGACTTTCCTCTTCGACCATGCCTAGGGTCATCTACCCTTTCTCCTCGGCTCGGCATCAAACCCCAGCCCCAGACATCATTCAACACTCCGAGATGCTACCCAACATTAAGGATGTTCTTTTTGATAGATTTCCCAGTACACGAAATGCTTGAAACCGCTTAAGATGTAAGAATGTGTCCCATATAGAACCAGTTGCAAGCCATCCACTTCCTCATCTCTCTTGCCTCTGAGTCAGAAGGTTGTAGGTTCAAGCACCATGTCGGGATTTTTAAACTCAAAGTCTATGCTGAGGGAGGTGTCTGCTTGTTCAAATGGACGTCAGATACTGGGTTACTTTTTCAAAATAAGTTTATCCCAGTGTCCTCGCCAATGATTCCCCAAAGGAAAAAAGTCATTCACTTCATGGTTGTCTGTGGGACATAACTGTGCATAAGGTGACTGCCACTTTCACCTACAAATGCACAAAACTATACTTTATAGCAAACTCTGAAGCATTTTAAGATGTTTCAATATGATAAAGCACTGACACTGTTGTTACTGTTCCATACTGCCCTTTGGTATTGCCCAAGTACCATTCTTTATGTAGAAAACTAGACGTGTTTTTTTTAGCAGAAGTCAGTGGACAGCGGTCAAGCAGGAAACCTAATCAATTTTCTTCCTTGCCCCCATTCTTGTTTTTGGAGAGAGAGGAGGGGAAATGAAACCCTCCAATCACCTACCCATCAGCAAAGAGTGGAATTTGAACCTGCATCTTTCTAATTTATTGCTGATTTATTATTGTTTCTTGCTTATTATCATTCATTTTACTACAATTGAAATTGATCCTGGGCAGAGGAGTCTCTAGGACTCACTACTTTATGAGGTACAGTATTTGGGCAATTATTTAAATGAGATGCACGAAGCTTGTACCTGTGAAATTTCATTTTTATTCCACTCGCAAAAAAGAGTTGCATCAGTCAAAATTCACTGCTTCTTAGTATAACTTAAAAGCTCTCTGTAAAGTTAAATTAGTTTAGCCAATTCTGCAAAACACAGATAACCATTACTGCTATTTCGAGTAACATAGTCAATTTCTAATCTCTCTCCTCATGTGCTAGTCTATAATCCAATTTTGCAGGGTTTTGCAAAGTTCTTATAAAAATACTACTGATTTTAATGCAATTTGTACGTGTGCATGTTTTAAAGGATGTGTGTTGCACACTAAATTGCTTTTTATTTGCAATGACAAAAAAGGATTCTGACTTTAATTTGCATCAGTTCAAATATAGATGGTTCATTGAACCTAGATAAAGCATATGACTAGTAGTATTCTCTCCAAATCCCAAACAATGGGCAGGGTGATCTGTTTAATTTTTTTGCTGAAATGAAGAGCTTTAAATAGATTCTAATTTAGATTATTTTGACACATTCCATTTTCAGACGGTAGTATCGGACTGTTCTTTTGTGGCATCTCTCGCCATCAGTGCTGCCTATGAAAGACGTTATAATAAAAAGTTAATCACAAGGTAATTGTTACATCTATTCACTTGGTCATTGGATTTTTTTATGTTTCAGGAATTGTTAGGAGTACAGATCTTTAATATTAAAATCATGTTGATACTTAGTAACTGCGTAATTAGGATAAGAATACTGCTTTGTTCTTCAACCTATACCCTCAACAGAATATATTCGATTTTTACACGAGTTTGTGTTGAAGTGGTTCAGTATATTGTGACTTCAGTACAGATGGTAAGATGCAGAATCGTTTGGATATATTCCTGAATTACATTGCAATATCTAGAGAAAGTCCTGATAAGAAGTTAGATGAATCCCAGTGAGAAGTAAAGAAGTGGGAAATACACAACACCACTTTGACACATCTTTTAGCAGTTGGTTAGAGCTAGATTGTCTACTCATTTCTTGGCTGAGAAGTTCAGGGGAAATGTAGAACAGTGAAATAGAATAGATTTTTCCAACAAAACCAAACCTGTTATTTTGCTTAGACGTTGACATTATTGACAAAGTATCACATTATTTTGCTGAGACATTGACTGTTCTATACTTAAAAAAAAATTTGTTACCAGGGATTTATTTTTAACATATGTACATTTCTTTCTTGCATTTACAACTTTTACCGTTGGATTTTCAGCATTATTTATCCTCAGAATCGAAAGGGTGAGCCGGAATATAATCCATGTGGAAAATACATGGTAAAACTTCATATCAACGGAGTTCCCAGAAAGGCAAGCACAAAATCAAACTGTTACCGCTTCAGTAAAGTTAGGCGCTGACAGCATCAGCATCCAAGGCTGCACTCTCCACCTCTCAAAGCCAGTCAGGAACCTCGGGGTTCTGTTCAACCCTGAGCTGTCCTTTCTTCCTCATATCCGCGCCACAATTGGCACCACCTTCCATCACCTCCGGAACATCACCAGACTACGGCACTACCTCACCCCTCACGCTGCTGAAACTCTGGTCCACGCCTTTATCACCTCAAGGCTGGACTATGGGAACTCTCTCCTCACCGGCCTTCCCGCCACCTCCCTCCACAAGCTGCAGGTCATTCAGAACTCTGCAGCTCGTGTACTGTCCCGCACCAGGCTTCGGGACCACATCACTCCCACCCTCGCTCGCCTCCACTGGCTCCCCATCCCCCAGAGGATCGAATTCAAGATCCTCATCCTCACCTACAAGGCCATTCACGGCCTTGCTCCCTCCTACCTCTCCGACCTACTATCCCCCTACTTACCTGCCCGTACCCTCCGTTCCTCTGGCTCCAGTCTGCTCCACATCCCCCGCCCCAACCGCCCTACCATCGGTGGCCGGGCCTTCAGCCTCTCATCCCCTAGGCTCTGGAACTCCATCCCCCAGTGCCTTCGCCTCGCTTCCTCCCTTTCCTCCTTCAAGGCCGGTCTCAAGACCTTTCTCTTCGACCGTACCTTCAGCTCCCCTCTCGACTATCTACCCCCTCCTCGCTCCCTCCCTTCCCTCCCCTCACCATTTCCCCCCAATGCTCGGGTCCTGACCCAACTGTCCAGCGCCTTGGGACGTCCTCCCGACATGAAAGGCGCTCTATAAATGCAATCTTGTTGTTGTTGTTATGTGGGTCTTTTTGTTGCAGGATATATTTGTGTAACAGTGGATCATAAATTCAAGCGAAATGCTATATATATATATATATATTTTAGTATTTTAAAAATTGTTTTAACTTAATGAACTGTTTAAAATTTATAAATTTGCACAAGTCATATTCCTCAAGTTACAAAAAGTCTGTTGGAAAGCTTGAACGCATCGTTTGAAATTGTGATAGTATGGTGTAGAGTAGTTGTGAAAATGCTGGCAGCCCAGAATGCACTGTCCTATTTGCTTTTACAGTAAAGCTCCATTATAACTTGCTTCATTATCGTGCAGGTTGTTTGGTAACGTGTTTGGAATGTGGTCCTCAACATTTACTTACCAGAATACATTTTTGAAAAAAACAGCTACAGGCTCCATTGGGACTTCAACACGCTGTTGGGTTCACAGGAAGCACTGGGGTCACAGCCAATGTCACTTGGACAGCAAATATAGAAGTGATAAGTAGTAATGACGACCCATTACAATTACAGCACTGATTGGGACTTTATTGACTCCAATTAGTGTGTTATACCTGCACTCCACAGTGTATGTACTGTAGTTGCTGATCCTCCTCGCCACACAACTTTCTTCAGCCTGGGAAATGGAGACTAAGTGGCACACTAAGACTTAACTGTATATTGGAGGAGTTGAGTGGCAGGATTGGAATTTTTATCTATATGGTGCCATAATTTCATATTTCCGATACCTGTTAGATCCAAATTAAAACGTTCTTCAATAATACAGATCTATTTGGACACAGGTTCATCTCCTTACTTCGCATACAAAAGCTCCCTAGATTTCCTCCTAATTTTGACCCAATCGCTCCTACATGGATTCTTATCCAACCTCAGTTTAAACTCTTAACTAGAAATGGTCATTCAGGTGTTTCATCCATTACTACACCCATCTGGGGTTAAATGAAGGTTCACCATGATGGGTCCACTTAGATCTTCAGTTATTTTTTGTGTGCAGTCTTAAGTAAAAGTCTTGTTTGCAATTTATGGGCTTCATGCCAGGGAAAAAAAGCTGTCCAACCATAAACTAGCATAATGGATGCTGAAATATATTCATGACTGTTATAATATTGAACTTCTGTGTAGTTGAGCATAAATTGAGATTACCCTCCTGAACTAAGGCAGCACAGCCAAATTTAGTAATCACTGAATAAATCACCTGTGCCTAATTTTGCAGGCTAGTTCAGACAATTGCTGGTCCAAAATGGTTTTATTGACATCTGAAATTAATTTGATTTTTTTTTCCTGATCTCCTTTGGAACAGGTGATAATTGATGACTATTTGCCTGTGGATTACAATGGAGAGTTGTTATGTTCCTATTCCAATAACAAAAACGAGCTTTGGGTGTCTTTGATTGAAAAGGCATACATGAAGGTTATGGGAGGATATGACTTTCCAGGCTCCAACTCTGTAAGTCTTTAATGATACAGGCCATTATTGTATGGTTTTCAGAAACTACAAAGTTAAAATTTAACCACTATATTTGCATTTTTATTGATGATAATCCTTGCATTTGATACAACATCTATACCGTCAAAACATCTCAAAGTACTTACTTCATAGGTAATAGCTACTGTGGAAATGGTGGATTGACTACTGAATTTATAAGCAGGCTGATCGAAAGCACAGTCGAAGAGGAAGGTCTTGAGATGGGTCTTGAAGGAAGCAAGGGAGGGGGCGAGGCAGAGGAACTGTGGGATGGAGTTCCAGAACGTGGAGGCAGGGTGGCAGAAGGCCCTCCCGCCAATGGTGGGGCGGGCAAAGCTGGGGATGTGAAGCAGGCCAGAGCCCGCTGAGGGGAGGGAGCGGGCAGGTTAGTAGGGGGTTAGGAGGTCACAGAGGTAGGGGGACCAAGACCATGGAAAGCTTTGAAGGTGAGGACCAGAATCTTGAACTGTGTCCTCTGTGTGATGGGAAGCCAGTGGAGTCAGGCGAGGACGGGGCGGTAGGTCACGGAGACTGGTGCAGGAGAGGGCACGGGCTGCAGAGTTCTGGATGATCTGCAGCCAATGGAGGGATGAATTGGGGAAGCAAACAAGCAAGGAGCTTGCATAGTCAAGCCTCGATGTAATGAATGCGTGTATGAGAATTTTGGCGTCTTGCGTTGTGGGACAGTGGCAGAGTTGGGGAAGGCAGAAAGGGTCATGGGATACAAAGAATAGTTGAGAGTTAAACAAGACGCCAAGGTTTCGGACTGGCTTAGCAAGGTGGAGTGTGCAACCATGGATGATGATGCTGTCAGCACATGAGGTAAGGAGGCGCTGACGGGAGCCAATCCGGAGAGCCTCGGTCTTGTTGATGTTCAACTGAAGAAAGTTAGCTCTCATCCAGGACTTGATGGCTGACAGACATTCTGTCAGGACAGCAGTGGTCCTGGAATCAAGGGTGGAGGCAGAGAGGTACAGTTGGGTGTTATCCGTATACATGTGGAAGTTGATCCCATGTCTGCAGATAATGTCACTAAGAGGGAACATAAAGATATTGAAGAGGAGGGGACCAAGGGCAGAGCCCCACGAACACCGCACAAGACGGTGCGGGGGCTAGAGGAGAAACCGTTTGTGGAGTGAAGTGGAGGTGGTGTGAGAGGTACGATCTGAACCAGTCAAGTACAGAGCCGTGAAGGTTGAGGTGAGAGGAGAGGCGGTGGATGAGAATAGAGTGGTCAACGGTGTCAAAGGCAGCAGAGAGGTCAAGGAGGACGAGGAGGCAGAGGGAGCCCCGGTCACAGATGGACAGAATGTCATTTGTCACTTTGACCAGGGCTGTTTCTGTGCTATGGGCGGCACGGAAACTCAATTGGAGGGGTCCGTGAAGGGAGTGGTGGGAGAGGAAGGAGCGAAGCTGGGAACCGACAACTCGTTCTCGGACCTTGGAGAGGAAAGGGAGGTTGGACATGGGGCGGTAGTTTGAGAGCAGGAATGAGCCCAGAGAGGGTTTTTTTAAGGATAGGAGTGATGACAGCATTAAATCAGCTTGTACGCAGTGTCTCCTTGGAGCTGAACTGGCTCTTTGGTGACCTGCTTGACAATGGAATGTCAGAATATAGCCCTCTGTGGCGGTCTCAATAGTCCGGATACTGAGCCAGGTTGGTCTGCAGTATTGCAGGGCACTGCTGATGAGCCACCCTGACCAGTCACTGGGGACAGAGTGTCATCCCACTCAGCTCCTGTTAACCCCGCAAGCCCAAGCCCTAATGGTAGGGGTAGGGTGATCATAGCTGGACAAGTAGTGGGAGGAGTATCCCAATGCACACGCACACATGTTTAATAATATCTTCACCACCAAACCACAACTACTTAGTTCCAGTGTTCATTCAAATGATAGACAAATGTCACAAGGAAAATAAAATTAAAGTAGATGCATAAATATGTAAACTATCTGAAAATTGTTCAAAAAACAATATTCAAAATTAGACTATTAATAATGGAGGATTTGTGTTCATTTGTGACCCTTGATTCGTGATGATAGATGCAGCTAAAATGTAATAAATCACAATAAATTGGAGTTGAGAACAAAGAGTGATATTACCAGATTAAAATCATTTGTAACCCTATTGGAAAAACTTGAATTGAGTCCCAATTAATGAACAAAGTGATGACAATCTGTGGTACTTTAAAACGAATTAAGTTATGTTGAATTTGGTGTCATAAATTGTTAACAGATATGAACAAATTATTTGTGAGAGCAAAGAGTTTCTAGAGTAATCTCATTCACAAAAATTTGGCGCATTCTGCATTGAGATTCGGATGCACAGATTATTTTTAACAAAACTAGAAGGGCCATGACCTGACAAATAGAAAAATAGAAGCTCCCAAATTCTCTTAATGTCCATTGGTGGTGTTTGCGTACCACAGTCTCTGCACTTCATAGTAAATCGTACAAAGCACTTTGAGACATCCTCCAGATATGAAGAGCGCTGTATCAAAACACAAGTAATATTTATTTTAAAATAGATTTTCTCCTGTATATTCTCATTTATCCAAAATTACTTTTGAGTATTTGGTGTATTTAAGGATGTATCCTGATTGTATTTTTACACTAAAATGTTGCTGAAGCAGAACAGATTTGGCACAGAAATTGTAATACAGAAGCATGTAACTTCACTCCAATTTGATTGTACTATTTTCTCTGAGCTTGGCTTATTTGTTTTAGTACATGTTGAATTGTGCTGATTTATGGTCTGATTTATGGTCTATCAGCAGTAGAATTTATGAAAATGTGGGCTAGGAATTAAAAACACTTGCAAGTCACTGCGCCGTCTGTTATTTTATGTAATCTTTAATATTTTATTTATAGTTTGTGCATTTTAAAGCAGTTTTGTATTGGGCCAGCCTTACTCGGTTGATAGCACTCGTTTCTAGATCAGAAGGTTGCGGATTCATGCCCTGTGTCAGGACTTGAGATCATAGTCTGTAGCTGACACACATTGTACAGTACTGGGGAAGCACATATTTGTGGATTAGATTTGAAACTTGGGTCCCATCACGTATCATCAGGTGAATATTAAAATGTTGTTGTGTTCAAGAAGAGACGGGAGCTTTTCTCAGGTGTTCAGGAAAACAATCCAAATTAATTAGCCATTCATCTCACAGTTGTTTGTGGGACCTTGTTTTGTTATAAGCAAAATAGTGGCCATATCTGCCTATGACAAATGATCAATACAGCTTTTTTAATTAAAAAAAGCACTTTCAGATGTTTTGACATGAAAGTCACTCTAATTTCTTTCTTTCTATATGGAGACATCTAAGTGGTGCCTCATTTAAAGGCTTTGACTATGAAGGTTTCAAGTCTTATAATCTGGGCCAATAGAAAGCTGCAGAAATATTTGCCCCAAATTGCAGGACATTTGACAAATTTTGCAAAAAATTGCAGTGAAATTTGGTTGGTTTTGCGAAGGGTTTATTGGTGCTATTGAGTGAAGCATTTTATGAAACAACCCAGCTTATAACTATAGGCATATTTCCTGAAAATGTAGTTATGTTTAAAATACTAAAAATGTTAATTTGAATAGTACAATACAGGTATTTACCAAGCTTCCGTTGCAGGAGCTCAGTTTAGGCCAGACGTCAAGCAAATAGACAGCAATAGGACACAGCTGGTATTTGTAATGTGGCTCACTCACTGTAGGCGAAGCTGATTTCCTGCTCGTGCTGCTTCTGTGATCCCAACACTCTCCACGCTGCGCACGTGCGACCAGAGCCCACAGTAGCTGCGTTGAGCAAACAGCGCTCAAAGGCTCGGGCCTAGCACACTGTGTGTGCCGGTTTGTAGCGGAGGGGTGGGCGTTTGTATCGGTTTCCGCGGAAAAAGTGCACTTTTCTATTAGCCCAGCTTATAATTAACCAATGCTTGAAAGTCATTTTGTGTGTATAATATTTCAGAATATTGATCTCCATGCACTGACTGGCTGGATACCAGAACGAATTGCAATGCATTCAGATAATCAAACGTTTGATCATGAGGGCACTTTCAGGATGCTTTACCAAAGGTATACTTCTTTTACAATTATTTTTGATGGTGATATTTGGGGTATACATTACACTTACAGCATTTGATCATTCCTAAATCCAACAGGTTCCATAAGGGAGATGTTCTGATTACAACAGCAACGGGGATTATGAGTGAAGAAGAAGGCGAGAAATGGGGCCTGGTGCCTACACATGCATATGCTGTCCTAGACATTCGTGAATACAAGGTAACCCAATGGTTCTTTTCATAGCACAGAAACACCTAACAAAATTACAATGACAGTCTTAATAGAGGAAGATTATTTGGGTCACTGGTGAGACCGATGGTAAACTTGGACCTCTGTCAATTCTATGGCTCAGCACAGCTGAACTTGACAAGAAGGACTAGTGCATGTAGAAGACACTAGCACCACTTCCATAGCCCTAAAATCCTCTTGTTTTAACTACTGGGGTGACGACTTGTCTAATCTTAAAAACTCTACAAATTAACGTAAGACTAGAAACTAATCAAATACTCAACTGAGACTGAATTTATTGTAAACCATATTCAGGATTACAATTTGTTTAATTGTTAATCATTTGGAGGATACTTTGCATGTCCATTCAGAACGGAAGTGAAGTTTTCAAACTTACAATTTAACTTTATGATTCACTGGCTCCCCATCCCCCAGTGATATGAATTGAACATTCTCGTGTTCAAATCCCTCCAAGGCCTCATCCAACCTCTCTTTGTGATCCTTGTATCCCTCTGCTCCATCTGCTCAGTTTCCCGTTTTATCTCTGAATTGCTTTGAGAGGTCATCCTAATTTGAAAGGCAATATCTATATGTAAATTGCTGTTGTTGGTGCAATATAAAATTTGTTGTGGTCTACAGCGGCTCAAATTTCTTCAACTTAAAAATCCCTGGAGCCATTTGCGATGGAAAGGACGGTACAGTGATCGAGACGAAAAGAGCTGGATTCCAGCACTACAAAAATATTTGAACTTTGATCCCAAAACAGCACAGAAAATCGACAATGGTAAGTTGCTCTTTCTTCTGTTTTGCAGGGCTGGGTTGTATTTTGTATAAAATTAAGCTTCTTGATTATCATGTCTTCAACATAATAATTCTTGCATTTTTAAAAATAGTAATATTAAGCCTTTAAGACCAATTATATTTCAAACCTCAGCTTTATTAAGCCTCAGTTTTTGTTTCTTCAGTTCTAATTTTTTCTTTTGAAATCCTATAATCAAGTCTAAAATGAAAGTCAACACAACTCAGTACAGTAAAAGAGACCTCCGTATTTGACTTAAAATTGTTTGATTATTGCTAAAACGCAAGCACTGGGGTTAAAAATTCTGATCATTGTTATGTGCATTGCTGTGTGGTAATATTGACCCGAGAATACATTAGAATATACAGCACAGAAACAGGCCATTCGGCCCGACTGGTCTATGCCGGTGTTTAGGCTCCACATGAGCCTCCTCTTGCCCTTTCTCAGTTAAGCCTTCAAGCATAATCTTCTATTCCTTTCTTCTTCATGTACCTATTTAGCTTCCCCGTAAATACAACTGTGCTATTTGCCTCGAACAACTCCTTGTGGCAGCATGTTCCACATTCCCACTACTCTCTGTGTAAAGAAATTTCTTCTAACTTCCCTATTTGATCTACTTGTGACTATTTTATATGGATGGCCCTGGCTTTGGTCTCCCCCATAAGTGGAAACATCTTCCCTATGTCTACCCTATCAAAACCTTTCATCATTTTAAAGACCTCTATCAGGTCATCCCTTACACTCCTCTTTTCAAGAGAAGAGTCCAAGCATGTTCAGCCTTTCCTGATAGATATAAGCTCTCAGTTCTGGGATCATCTTGTGAATCTCCTTTGCACCCTCTCCAGTGCCTCTACATCCCTGTAGCTCAGTGGTTAGAGCACTCGCTTTGCAAGTGAGAGACCTGAGTTCAATTCCAGGCAGGTCAAGGCGAAACCTTGGGCAAGTTTCCTTACTCCACACAGAGCCTAATAATAATCCCTCCAAAAAACAAAAAAAAACAATAATAAATTGGGCATTTTCAATCTATGACTGTTTGTGGGACATTGCTGTGCGCAATTGGCTGCCGCGTTCGCCCACAAATATACAGTCAATTCACTTTACAGTATATTCTGTGAAGCGCTTTGGGACGTCCTCCCGACGTGAAAAGCGCTATATCAAATGCAAGGATTATTATTATTATTATTATCCCTCCTGTAATGTGGGGACCTTGAATGGGATTTCCCGGCTTTTGTGCTGCACCATGTAATTTGCCCAACAAAGCATGGCACCAGGCTGTTTATATCAATGCAGCAAAAGCTTTTGCTAATGTGTCACTTAAAAATTGTTTTTCTTAGAAACTTGGCCTCTTGTTACTATTTGTAATCTTTGTAACGCTTGATTCCTTGATTTCTTTCTTGTGACAGGAGTTTTCTGGATTAGTTGGGAGGACCTTTGCACATACTATGATGTGATTTATTTGAGCTGGAACCCTGCTTTGTTCAAAGAATCAACATGTATTCACAGGTTAGTTAACTACTTTTGCAACCAAAATTTCTTATTCTTATAAACATTGTCTTAAAAATTTAAGAATGTCAGAATTTTGAAACATTCTTCAATTCAATCTTAATTTGGGAGCTATTTTTGACTTTTTTTTAAAAAAGTACCTTTAAAGACTTGATTTGTTTGCTTCTTGTTGTTTCCACATTCCACGTGCTTTCAACTAGGATCAACCTACTTAATCTCCCGAGGGAAATTTCCTTAACTTAGGGATCTGCAGTAATGCCGCAGCTGAGATCAGCTAACTCCACAACAAACCTACAGCCTTCTAGGCGTATTTGGGTGGGGGGAAACCAAAACGTTAAGCAAGGAACATTTTTTAAATTCAATTTAGAATGCAGTATTGCTGGCATAGCATATTGCTGGACTAACTCACTGTTTATGATATCAATTCATATCATTGCTTTCCTCCACATGGTAAATTCCTTATTGCACGATATTGTTGGGAGGCACTGATCAGGCCTTAAATTTCACATTAAACCAAGAGTTAACATAATAAAACATAAATCAGCCCAACCCTCTCTTTTACATGCTGGGTTTCTGATTGCCTCAAGAAGAGGAAGAGGTCCAGAATTTATCATCTCAATGCATAATTATGAACAATTAAAGGGATCTAACAAGTACAACTTACATTTATATAGCGCCCTTCACACTGGTCAGCGAATCAGAACACTTTACAATATATTCTGTGAAGCGTTTTGAGACGTCGCAAGACGTGATAGCAACAACAAATTACACTTGTATAGGGCCCTTCACGTCGGAAAGACGTCCCAGGACACTGAGTGTGGCGGAGCCTGACACCGAGCCGGGGTGAGGGAGGAGGTAACCCTTAGCACGGTTGAAGAGGAAGATCTTCAGTTGTGATCGAAAAGAGGGGAAAGAGGGGGGCAAGACGGGAGTGATTGAGGGAGAGGCTTCCAAAGCTTCGGGGCGTATTGGTTGAAAACACAGTCGCCGATGATGAAGGGGTTGAGGGAAGAGCAGGGGGCCAGAGCCAGCCGAGCGAAGGTAGTGGAGTGCGTAGAAAGTCAGCTCGGAGAGGTAGAGAGGTGCCAGGGCGTGAAGGGATTTGTCGACCTAAGGAAACACAAAGGAAGTTGACTTGTTTTCCGATGCAGTTTTATCATGTGATGAATATTTTTTGAATCGGAGTTTATGTACATTGCTAGTAAGATTTAGCAAGGATAAGCTTATATTTTTTTCTTCTTTAGTACTTGGGATGCAAAGCAAGGTCCTGTGAAAGATGCGTACAGCCTAGCTAACAACCCGCAATACAAGCTGGAGGTTCAGTGCCCACAAGGTGGTGCTGTAGTTTGGGTTTTATTAACCAGACACATCACTGACAAGGTAAGAAATCTGTGGAAAGCATCAGTCAAGTTTCCCCATCGTATTGTGTTGATCGGTGGTGAGGTAAAATTGTAATGTTGCATTTGGGAATTTCTCACATCACATAATATTTTAAACACAAGACTTTATTGATTGTTGAACTGTTCATCCACAACAATAAAAGAGCAAATGGAAAATGGCATAAGTTATATTAAATGTATGGTCCCAACTGATGTGACTTATGTGAGGTTTACTATATTCCCTATTTATTCTACAGAATGGAAGCTTTCTCAAGAAGATGAATAAGATTCTCTGTGTTATTATAAGCACCTATAATGTCAAAACATAGATAATTGCTGTCAAGGATAATGATGGTGTATTTGTTAAAACAATGACCCTGAAATTCCACCCAAGTCTGTTCCCATGAAACGATTTTCTCTCCTAAAATTTGAGATTGTGAAATATTCTTAAATGCGGTCATTGTTTGGAGGCTCGTTTTAAGCACTGTGGAACACTGGCTTTTGAATTCATACAAGAATGTTCCACAGTCCTGTGCAAATTTACAGTGTCAAATTACAGGCTAAGACAGGGGGCCAAATGTTTCTTCTTCATTCTAAATATCCTCTACAAATCAGAATTAAATTTCCTTCTCCCTACCTTAGTTCCTGAATTCAATAATAATCCTTGCATTTGATACAGCGCCCTGGGACATTTTTCTGATGTGAAGGGCACTATACAAGTGTAATTTGTTGTTGTTATCACATCTTGCGATGTCTCAAAACGCTTCACAGAATATATTGTGAAGTGTATTTTGCAGACAAAACTTTAGTCTTTTAAGAGATTTCAAAAGGGCACTTCCCCTTAAAGAAATTCCTGTCACTGTGTCATGGTAACATCAGTGTTAGAGATCCCCTGGCACTAACTCAAAGAAGAGAGTTCCTTCCTGTATTATGGCCAAGAATCCCCTAAATTCATTGCTGATATTAGTCATCTCTGTATGAAAATTAGTTGCAAAATACACAGATGCTACACTTCACAGTAATCCTATAAAGCTCTTTGTGTTGTCCTCCTGTCATGAAAGATGCCATGTCAAATGTAAATATTATTTTTATTATGCCCATTCTTATTCTGGGTGTATAATGTACATATTCTCTGCTCCTCAGTTCTCATGACTTTGTGCCTTTATTTCAAAATATTCTAATTCCTATGAAAATGTGCCACAAGAAGGCAAGTACGTACTCTTTAAATACTGTCTTGTGCAACCATTTACAAATCTTGGGTATCTTAAGTACAAGGGGACCTGCCTAGGTGGGAATTCCTCAGACAGGCATTTTAATCGTCAATGATTTGCGCACCTCTGTCCTTCATTAAAGCGCAATCGAATTAAATTCAAAGGTGATAAAGAGAAGAAAATCAGGTACACTGTGTGAAAATTCATATCAGCATTAACAACAACAAAATTACATTTATAGAGCGCCTTTCATGTCGGGAGGACATCCCAAAGCGCTGGACAGTCAGGGGTCAGGACCCGAGCATGGGGGAGGGGTGGGGTTTTGAGCATGCTATTAAAGCATGTCACTGTGTTCTCTTCAAAGAAATTGTAATATGCAGGTTTAACCCATATAAAAAAAATCTACCCAACTGCCTTTGGTCAGTGTTGATGGTTCACAAAAAGAGGCTTCTTTCAAATGGGCACTGTCATTCCAGTAATAATCCTACATTTGATAGAGCGCCTCATCACGTCATTGAGATGTTTCAAAGGGCTTCACACTGCTACCCACATGAAAAATGCTATATAAATTCAAGTTGCTATTGGTGCTTTTTGTTTCAGCCCCCAATATTGTAGGCATTAAGATGAATAAGATGACAAAAATAGCTGAGTGCAGAGTCCAGCACTTAAAATACGCAGCCTGATGGGGGCCTCACGTAGGTATGACAAATATGGTATGACAGGGAGAGAAAGTTTATAAAGAAGTCTTTCTTTGAATGCCCCAAATTCTGGATCTAGATGGCCTTCACCCAATGGTAGGTGGAGGATCTTATTCATATTGGAGGATTGAAGAAGATGCTGTGAGTTGGTAATCTTTTTATTGATAGAGTACACAGATGCTCACATTCTTGGCTTTCAATTTTACTGATTCTCAAGACTTGAACGAGGATGTAATCTATGAAACTCAAAGTCACTAATCTACAGGGTGAAAAAGCAAATGCAATGGTTGCCTTTTGTTCTTGTACAGTATTAGTGAAGCATGATAACTGTAGGAACTCTCATCAAAACCCCAAATTCATATTTTAATTACAGGATGACTTTGCTCGCAATCGAGAATTTATAACCTTGGTCGTTTATCAGACTGGAGGAAAGAAAGTTTATTACCCAAGTAAGTACGTGTCGTTTACAAAAAGGACTACAGAGTTACATAGTGCTACTGCATGGAAACAGGCCATTCGGCCCAACTAAATTGTACCAATGCTTATAGTCCTGCATTGTCCAGGGAGGGGTAGAGGGAAGAATTCAAAAGGTTAGAAACACAGTAACTGAAGGCTCTGCAACTGATGGTAGCACAGAGGGGTGTGAACACGCCTTGATCTAACCGAGCAGCGGAGTGGGCTAGGAGATCAGGTATGTTGAAGCAAAATTAGAGTCGGACAGAATGAACTGGGGAGAATGGCAGAGAGTAAGAAAGACTTGCAGTGTAGTGCTATGTGACAGTACAATTCCCGATGAAGAAACATTTTGGTTCGTACTGTAGCCAATTTGTATTTTACATGCTAACTAATTGAACACAATGGTGCCAGTCCCAAATAGTGCCAAGAATGAGCCCTCTCCTGTACAGATACCAGGAATCTAATATTATTAATGTTCTTAGACTTAAGATCAGTTGCTTTAAATTTGGAATCATGCAGAATTTTAGAAAACGACTTTAATTTGAAAGCCAAATTGTCTGCACTGGAGGATTGTTATGATAACCTAGTGTTTTATATAAAAATGGGGGTATTATGGTCCCGGATATTAAAGATCAGTTAGCCTGCAGAACTGCAAAAAGGCCATGTTACCACTTCATTTTTATCCTAATAATACATCACTTCCTCTTTAACTAGTATGACAGCATTATGCTGTAAATATGTTTGCACATATTATTAATTTAACAGGCATTGCCATTTCAATAATAATAATCCTTAAAGACATGAGATCTTGGTTTCATAAAATAATTCATTCTGAATTTGTAATTTTTCTTTGTCCATCAAATTATGATGCCATTATGTTACCATTTTAGTTTTCCTTATTTTCCCTCCTCCCCCCCCCACCCCCTTAGCATACAAAACAAAGCATTAGACTCTGTGTAGACTCATTACCCATTAAATGATTTTGTTGGATCCAAGAACATATTGGTATACCATTCCCGTCTGTTTAACCACATCATGCTGAAACAAATCCACAGCAGGAAAGCCTCAAGAGATTGTGAAACTAACTGATGTTCAATGTTGATTTTCGAATGCTGGAGAGACCTTTTATCATTGCTACTAGTCAGCTCACTATTTAAAGATTGGTGACTTGAAATGTTGCACTAGAGGAATTTCTGATAAGTACCCATACAAAAATACTGCGTAAGAGAGAGGAAGATTGTTTTGGGTTGGTAAAGTTTAGATGAGGTGCAATAAATTCCTCTTTAGAACAAAGCAGCTGTATGCAAATTATGCTATAAATTCACCATCTGTGAATTCACCCTGATAGTTGAATTCTGTCATAGCTTAAAAGGAAATGAAGAGATCAAAAAATAGAATAATGCTATCTGAACGCAGCACAGGAAATAGAACTGCTTATGAAATCAATGTAGGTTTGCAGAAAATTTTGACTGTAGTTTATTGCATGCTAGTGATCTCCATATGCTTTCATTGAATCTAAAATCTGACCTACTCTGAACTCATTGATGTAATGAGGATTTAAAATTCTGTAGGAACTAATAAGTGGACATTGAGCCTGATCCCTTTTTGGTTGAACAAGGTGAAAATTACAATGAATGTTTAAGCTTTGCAGTGCTGCAGATCTATAATCTAAAAAAGTGGTTACCAAGATCTACTTAAAGACACAAGATCTTGATTCAAAGTCATTTTCATAAAAGTAATTCATTCTCTTCACTGAATTATAATGGACAATAACTTTGGATATTCTTTAGCTACTTTTTTGCTTTACACCAGTGGAACTAAGTTCACAGACTAATTTGGAATAAATTATTGCAAATAAAACTGAACAGTTATTGAATTAACCACTCAATTACAGGTCTATTGATAAGAACAATGTGGATGGGTCTTTTCACATTGCTTCAGCAAACACTTATTATGAAACATCAATCAGATATTTCTTAGATAGTTTTATATATTTCAATACTCCCTATATTATATTGGTCCAGGTAGTGTAGAAGACCATTTGGCTTATCTGCTTTACCAATTCTGCACCGTTCATTCTGAGAACAAGTCCTTGGCTGAAGAATGAATCTTGTGCTGGAGGATGATCATTCAGATGACATTTCTGTGCAAAAGCCTCAAATTATCAGTGAGGTTCATCAATCACGAGGGAATTTGTTTATAAATTAAATAGATGGTGCAGTACGAAACATACTGTTCAGCCCAACTACTCCGTACCGGTCTTTATACTCCACATAAGTCTCCATTACTCCTTATTCCCTCCCATACCCTTCTATTACCTTTCCCCTATGTGTATTTTTTTTTCACACGTTAAAGCAAATTATTTTAACCCTAGCAAAACTGTTCGGAATATTGTGTTCATAATTTGGTAAAAAATAAATGGGGTTCAGAGAAAATCGTCTGAACATTTTTCCTCGACTGGGGTGCTTAAATAAGACCTCCTAGAAGTGAATCTAATAGTGGGAGGCTTGACTCATGTACATGTGAACAAGTTATCTAACTTGTATTCTTGAACTTGTGCCATTCCAATAAATATATGTAGAATTTCCATGTGTAGGTGGGATGCTCTGTTTGGTTTGGATACTCTTAAGCATGGTGAAGGGTTTCTACATGTGTCATACACAAAATGAATCAGATTAAATCTCAGTTTTTTGAGAAAGATGGATTGTGATTTGGTAGACTGGGAGCTAATTTGTTAAAATTATGAAAGTTGGAGGTATGAAGGGGTATGGAGATTGGTGGGGAAGTGGAATTGAAAGCACCACTTGCTCTGAGAGTTGATGAGCTGAATAACCTTCTGATGCCATAAAAATGTCTATCATTGTATTTAGATGTGAAATGTTTCTTTCAGGTGATCCTCCTCCACTCATTGATGGAATTCGAATAAACAGTCCTCATTACCTGACTAAGATCAAGCTGACAAAACCAGGGTCGAGCACATATACATTAGTGGTATCTCAATATGAGAAGCAGAATACCATCCATTATACACTCAGGGTATGTAGATTTACCACTTAATCTTTCCTTTCTTGGTTATAGTCCCCACTAAAGATTATAATTGCAACAAGTAAATAATAGTCAGTGGTACATGTGTATATTTGTTCTTGTATATTTAAATTAAAGCCAAATTTACACAGCGGGGTTCCACTTTGACTCTGCTCGGGTCTGAAATGCTGTACACTGTCCAGCGCCTTGGGACGTCCTCCCGACATGAAAGGCACTTTACAAATGTAATCTAGTTATTGTAAACCCTCATTCACTAACCTGATATGGTTGCAATTAATATGTATTGAGATTCATGAAAAGTTGATTTATCTTTTTTAAAAAAAAAGCTAATTGTAACAGCTAGAGCCTGGAAAGAAAAAGAATGAGCCTTTCAAAATGCAATGGTATTCTCACACATCCAATGTCCGGCCATCTGACCCACACTGTAATAACGGCTTTCGATCTTCCTCTTTCTTCCCCGCCCGCTTCCCATCACCTCGGCAATAGTTGAAGTTTTGAAAGGCATTCACTATCTTGAAGAGAAGTTGGCTTCAAGGTATTTCTGACGTGGAGAAATAGTAAGCAGTTGTACTGCCAGTCATGCTATTAGATGTATTTAGGAGGGAAACCCTTAGAGCTTTAACCCTTTATAAACAATATACAGGATTCTGTAATGATACATTTATTACGCTCAGCATTTGTATCCCACCTTCCCTCTCCACTACCCAAGGCAACATCTTAATAATGCCATCTAGCATCAAACTTCCAGAACATGACCCTTCATGGGGATAACAACTATTAATTTGTTTTGATTTGTAGAAAGTCTCCTACAAAGCCCTCCATGCCCTCGTCCCACCCTGCCTCTGCGATCTCCTAACCCCTTACCAACCGCCTGCTCCCTCCGCTCAGCCGTCTCCGGTCTGCTCCACATCCCCCAACTCACCCACCCCACCATTGGTGGGAGAGCCTTCAGCCATTCAGCCCCCAACTTCTGGAATTCCATTCCCCAATCACTCTTCTCGCCCCTTCCTTAGCCTCCTTCAAGTCCTCTTCGGTCATGCCATCTGTCACCCCCCTTCCCCTCCCCTCTCCCTCCCTGATCCCAACTCAGGTCTGAAATGCTGGTCACTGTCCAGTGTCTTGGGACGTCCTCTCAACGTGAAAGGTGCTATACAAATGTAATCTTGTTGTTGTTAGCCTTAAGGCTGCCATGCATAAGCAGGAAGTCCAGTTCTTCTCAAGTGTCACCAATGAAATTGGAAATGGCGAAAGGGGACTTGCTCTTTGACATATACTGATTTCTAATTTAAAAATTTCTAATTCCATAAGATCTATTGAATATTTAATTCAGAAACTAAGACTAAACAAAGTAGTGCTGAATGATTTTCTCCAAATATTGATTTTTCTCTGATCTCATTTGCTTGATTTGTAATTAATTTGATGTTTGTTCACATTATAATAAACTTATGATTTTTATGCTAGGTATATTCAATGTGCAAGTTTACATTCTCGAAGATCCTTTTTCCGTACATCCATTACAAACGGGTGAGTGCTCTGAGCATAGTAATGTGCACAATTCAAATTAAATATGTAACATTTCGTTTTCAAACGTCTTTGCATATTTTATGGGCTCTCCGAGGAGTTCATACTTATCAAAAGTCATACTTATCATGGCCACGTCTCGTGCTCTCCTCTCCTGTTCTTACACTCAGCTTCAATCCACAACTGTTTGTGGGGACGCTGCCATGCACAGTCGGCTGCTGTGTTTCGCCCACAAAATACACAATCAATTCACTTGACAGTATATTCTGAGACGTCTCAATGACACAAGGTGTTATAGTTGCAAGAATTATCATTAATATTATTATAATAATAAAATTATATTAATCTGTTTATTATATTAAAGATTAATAATAATTCCTCCAAAACAAAAAACAATAATAAATTGGTCATTTTCAATCCACGACTGTTTGTGAGACATTGCTGTGCGCAATTGGCTGCCGCATTTCACCCACAAATATACAGTCAATTCACTTTACAGCATATTCTGTGAGGTGTTTTGAGACGTCGAGAAGACGTGAAAAGCGCTATAATCAAATGCAAGGATTATTATTATTATAAAAACTTGCCCTGTCGTATTTAAGAAGGTTGTGTGTCAGATAAATTTACAAAAAATAAATAAAATTCAATTGAAGAAACTTATTGTGTTAAAAACTGTCTCAGATTTGTGATCTACTTGGCAAAGCTGGAAGTCAGATTGCCAGCAACCTATTGAACCAGAATTCGGCCATTTATCCCAAAAACCACGGCATGTGAGGCATGCACTGGGTCTAGCCACGTGTATGCACAGTAAATGGTTCCCACAGTGCAACCCCATTATATCCAATTATATTGGGTAATCCAATTCAGTAGGATAAATATGATTGTTATTACTGATGCCATAACCTGAGAGTGATCATTGTTACTAACCACTGGTTGTCTTGCCAACAACAAAAGATTTCTCTATCAAATCTCATTGTTTACAAGACAAAAAATCTTAAATAATTGGATGACCAATGATCAGTTTCACTATAAATTAATATAACAATCTTATATAGCAGAAACATAGTAGAAAGTTAATGTATAGGGAACAAGATTGTATCTACACAAATCATTGAATATCTTGACTAAAGTCTATTTGAATGAGGAGAATTCAGTTTTTGTGATTTGAGTTCCATAGGATTGAATAATTGAAATGTCATCCAGTTCTATTACTTATAATAATCCTTGCATTTCATATAGCGCCTTTCATGCTAGGAAGATATCTTAAAGAGCTTCACATGATTTACAGTAAAGTGTAGTGACTGTATTTTGTAAGCTAAAGCAGCAATCAATTTGCGCACAGCCTTTGGTTACCTAGCAATAAGTAGGAACCCGGTTGTTAGTCAATTGGCAGATGGCTTTTCCGGAGGTAATAATTCCTAATGGAAAAAAAATTATTTGGTCCCTCAATCCACGACTGTTTGCGGGATGCAGCTGCGCGCAATTGTCTGCCACGTTTTGCCCACAAAATATAGTCGATTCATTTTACTGTATATTCTGTGAGGTGCTTTGAGACGTCCTGAAGATGTGATAAGACGCTATATCAAATGCAAAGATTATTAATAATGTCCCCCACAAACAGCAATTGAAGTGAATGGCAATTTTTTATGGGTGGAATTGTTGTCCAGAACATCAGGAGAATCTCTCTTCACACATTTCTGCACAGCATACATATTCCAGGCTATAAAATAACCTACTATCCATGTAGATGCTATGGGCATATTGCTAGTTTGAAAATAATTGGATGTCGTGTGTGTATATCCATTATCTGGGACTAACGCTTCAGATGAATATCCTTGATCGGTAGGACATACAAGAGATAAAAGGCTGATTTTTGTTTTGCTGAATTTGCTTGCAGTGTTAAAGTGTATTTTCTGAAACTTCCATCATGTGCTTCATCAAAGCATTTAAGCTCTGTATTCTTGTCCCAGGTAAATGGTCAGTGGAAAGGTCAGACTGCTGGTGGGTGTGGAAATTACAGAAATACTTACATGCTGAATCCAACGTACCAGATCAATGTCGAGAAGTCTGGGCCGCTGCTGATTGAATTGCGTGGACCCAGGTCTGTGAACTAATAGTATTTGCTTTCTTAGTTTCTTCTCTGCTCACTTGCTTTTGATATTTAGAGAGATCTGAAGTGTCTTTAATGTTTATTTGATCCTTTAAACCGTTCTGGAATAGAACACAGTTGATATAAAAACCCTGAGGTTTCCTCAGCATCTCTATCCCTTTAGATCTCAATCCATCAATACAGTGAGGTTAAGCAAAGTACATCCTGGCCAAAAATAAAAAGTTGCTGCTCATTTTAAATGTATACAGTGGGAGCCCAGTGAGGAAACCTTTTAGGCAAGAAGTTGTGGTTTTGTTCTTTTTATTATTTCAGATTTAATAATTTATTCCCTTCTCTTCAGGCAGTACAGCGTTGGATTTGAATTGATAGTTGTCTCGACAGCAGGAGAGTTTTCGAAAAAACCCAGTGGAGATTACAGGTAGAGTTGCATGTTTTCTTATTCTGTGTAATTTTGCCGTGGCATACACTCCCTCTACCATAATAAGTAAGTCTTATGCCTTTTGTATCTCATCACTTGTAGTACAGCTACTTTAAAGCATCTTAGAAACCTGTACATGTAAACAGCTATTTTATTGGGCTGTCCTACAGAATTTATTTGCTGCATTTGTTTTCAATTCATGCAGTTCTTTTGCAGGTCGCCTTAGACTTGTTTTCTAATTATCTGTTGTTGGGGGAGGATTCCCAAGATTTTTTTTAAAAATGATCTCTTCCCTTCTCACACCATTACGTAGGAGAGTTGTCTTGTTCCCCAGTTATTGCTTATTTGAACACAAGTGGCTCAGGAGATTGCACCAGCAAATATTTATTTGAAGTGATTTTTAAAAATATATTTAACGGGTCTTTCTTTGTCTGTGGAAGCTGGTTAAAATCTAATCCAGATTTTTGGGAAGAAAGACTCCTAAGTGAAATGTTTTGAAGTACTAAACTTTTTTTTAGGTCCATGTGAGCACACAGCACAAAACTGCCCTAAATTTATTGCTGAAGTATCAATCTCACGTAAAGGCCACAAGAAAATAGAAATGTATGTATGACATAGTGGGAGGTGCTTTTCTAAGATTTGTGTTAAAAACCCATTGGGGCAGATTAGTGGGAGCATCTGCACTGCGTCCACTGTGCTTCATTCATACACTCTCCATAGGATTAGGTCCCATAGAATCATAGAAATTTTCAACACAGAAGGAGACCATTAGGCCCATGCACAAGATCTCAGAGCAAACTATCCATTCAATCCCACTACTCCGCCCTATCCCCAGACCCCTTTTTGATGTGGACTATTTGCTTAATCATGACAATGGTTGCCAATGTTAGAAAATTGACCCATTTTCTAGCACTAAACTTGTTCATTTTGCAGAGCACAGCACTTATAACATAAGTATGTTACTTAAAGCTCCACACTGGCTCAGCGAGTCAAGGCATTGCCAATCTACTGAGTCATTTTGTCCCTGACTCTGCTAACTTGCCAACTCTAATTCCTGGTGTGTGCTAAGTCTGCTGTAAATGTGATGCAATGTCTTTGCAACTCTGGGTCTGAGAGGGAAAAATCAGCCAGGGTTTTCACTACCAGGGCTGCTTTTTGATCTGATGTCTGAAATGCATTATTCATATGGGAGCCCAGACGATGAGTATATGCAAGCAATTTTACAGCATGACATCAAACAGTAGAGCCTTGTTATAATGCAGTAGTTGAACCATAAAATCGCAAAAAGCTGGACAGCTTTCTACCCTAAAAAATGAACAATCAGATGGCTGCCAATGTCATTTGCTGCGTACTGCACGCAGAAAGCAACCAGTTTCGCTATGTGTAACGTAACCTAGGTTAGGTTATGAGGTCAGGTCCTGCCAATGCACTGTGCTCAGGAAGTAATGTCGGAGGCAGGGGACTTGACGACCTGGAGATTGGTCATATTTTAGAGAGCAGGGAAGCCTTATGAGTGAAGTCTGCATTAAAACGAAGCGTGTTGTAACTGGATTCCACTTCATATGTACTTCCATAAAAAAATTACAAATGGGATTAAAACTATGGCACTACCACAGTGGATGTGCCTCCAGCACAACTGCCTAATTGCTCTTTGATACAAAAATTCCTAAATTTAACCTGCATCCTAAGCCACTGTATCGGATCCCTTGTGAAGTGTGGTCTCTGAGGCAAGATACAAAATGGGTTTTCAGAACCAGTGAAATTGTATAACGAGATAAGTTGGCACTTTCAGGAGGGGAAAGGGAAAAACTAAATACATTTTTTGTTTAAATTTTAATATTTTATGAGTATTGCTTTAAGTATTTTAAGGTTTCTCTTCCCCCCCCCACTGACAGGAGCAGTCTGACTTCTTCATGTCCAACTTCAGTCCAACTTCAACTTCAACTCCAAGTGATGTCCAAATTACTACTCCATTCAGTAACCTTAATTGGGAATAAATAACCAATGATAAAATTCAGTAAATTTAGAACGAGCGGATCTAAGTTTGCTGCTTTTCAGAGTGAAGTTAGTTAGCCAAACATGAAGAATAAAATTAGATGCAGATTGAAATATGTGCATAACCCAAAACTAGTCTTTCATTGCTGCCATAAGCAATTATAAATTCTATTCATTTATTCTATAATATAGTTCCTTCCAGTAACTGAGTGATATGATTAATGGTGAATACAATGATGTTTAATTATAAAATAATCCTTACATTTGATTTAGTGCCTTTCACATTGGGAGGATGACTCTTTTAAGCACTTCACTAGATATACAGTAAAGTATAGTGACTGCGTGTTTTGTGGACGAATATAGTAGCCATTTTGCACACAACAATGTTCGGAAAAACTGCCATGGAGTCTGTTTTTTGTTTGGTAATTGTTGGCCATGACGACAGGAAAACTCCCTTCTCTTTTCAAATAGTCTAACTGGGTGTTTACAATAACAGCCACAAAATTACATTTGTATAACGCCTTTCACATCAGGAGGACGTTCCAAGGCGCTGAACAGTCAGGGTTTCGGACCCGAGCTGGGGGTCAGGATTGGGGAGAGTGGAGGGCAGGGAGGGAAGCAGGGTGATCGAAAGGCCGGTCGAAGAGGAGGGGCTTGAGATGGGTCTTGAAGGAGGCAAGGGAGGGGGTGAGGTGGAGGGACTGCGGGATCGAGTTTCAGATGGCGGGGGCAGAGTGGCAGAAGGCCCACCCACCGATGGTGGGTTGGGCGAGGTGGGGGATGTGAAGCAGGCGTGAGTCCTCTGAGCGAAGGGAGCAGCAGGATGGTCGGGGGTTAGGAAGTCGCAGAGGTAGGGGGCAGCGAGGTCATGGAGGGCTTTAACGTCCATTGAACAGGCAGGTAGGGCCTCGGTCTCCAAAGTACGACGTCTCCATCATGCAGCGCACCCCCAGCATTGTTTCAGAATGTCACTATAAATTTGAGTTTCGAGTCACAACACAGGGCTTGAACTCGCAACATTCAGCACTAAGGCAAGAGTTCTACTGACTGAACCAGGCTGACATAATTCACAAAGGTCAATTTACACATGTCTACATGAATTATTCATTTTGCCCTAAATTAATCTTGGGAGTAAATGTTCATAAACTGAAATGTTTGCTGTATGACAAATGATTTCTAACCCAAATCATCAATCAAACCATTTGAAATACAGAAACATCACTTGTGCCTTGTATCGGCCAAATCTGGATCACACAGGTGCTACAGAATGAGCTCCGATAAGATCTTTTGTCAGAATTCTTGCAAGGCGAATTTCCTGCAGTAAACATCCAGAGGCATTTTTAACCTGTGCCAATTATGCTTGCTTGGAGTTTGCATTTAGGATTTTCAGTTTTTTTTTGGTCAGCTGTGTGTCTGACACATGTGGAAACCCATCACCTGCTTAAGAGTATTTCCATGCATCCCACCTACACATGGAAATCCCAGAGATAGATTGTTGGAATGGGATGCGAACTCTCTCCCTGGAGGGACACATCCCGCTTACCTAATTCCACAAAGTATTAGGTGCAGGTTAGCAAGACCCAAGATTTGGAGACCCCAGAGTGTGGAATGGGTACTGGTGGAATCTAACCAGCTAAAATGGCATAGCTTGCCTTTGATATCACTGTCTGGCAAGAGTTCCTGCTGTTTGTCCAGCTAGGACCATCCTACCCATTAGAGCTTTGGTTTGCAGGGTTAACAGGAGCTGAGTGGGATGATTCCCTGCCCCCCAGTGACTGGTCTGCCCTCCCAGGTCCTGCCAAATGAGCCAGGCTGGCTGTGCTGTCATCAGCAATACTGCAGACCAGCTTGGGTCAGGAACTGGACTACCGAGACCACCACAGAGGCCTGGCTCGATTCAGACATTTCATTGTTGGGCATGTGATCTTGGAGCCAGTTCAGCTCCAAGGAGACCTTGCTTACCCACCCTCCCTTGAGGAGGATAGTCACTAGTTGATCGTTCAACATCCAACAAGCGCAGGTTTGAGCCCTCACTAAATGGTAGGTATAAGGTACTCCCTGCGAGCTTCCGGTGGGCAATGCATCTCAGCATAATGTAACCAGTTCTACTAAACGCTTAATTTTTAGTAACCTGTTTGAGAATTGCAAATGCAAGGAATGTTTTGCTGATTGTTTCAGAAAATCACCTGCTCTACAGTTTCATTTTAACAAATGCATCTTATTTCATACTTGGAAATCATATTGTATTTTCAACCTGGCTTTAGTCTCCTCAGTATCCAAAAGGTTGAATGCCTCAATTTTAAAATAGATGACCTCTCTAAAAAAAAATCACTGAATAAAGGTATTTATCATGTGATTCCTCTAACTATTATTGTAAAATACAATACACCATTTGACGCATTGCTTTAATGTTGGTGTTTGCTCCTCCAGTGAAGCCATCAATACTAATCCCTGCTATGGTTTTGTGCAAATTGTTTGAATGTGCTATGATAATGGGTTTAGGATATGACCTGGTGATGTTTGAAGCTGCTGAAATGTGCACTTGTTCTTTTACAGGTGTGGATTTTGCTACTTGGAAGTTGACAATGTCCCTGCAGGAGTTTACAATATCATCCCCACAACCTTCCTTCCTAATCAAGAAGGCCCCTTCTTCTTAGACTTTCACAGCACAATTCCACTCAGGATTACTCAGTTGAAATGAGCTAAGGAACTCTTAATTAGCATTTTTTTCTGTCTCAGGAGAGAATTGAAGAATCCTGTGTATGCCAGTTAATAGGAATGATGTGTATGCGTTTTAAAGGTAACATTAGCTCTGGCACGATTTATTAGAAGTTTCTGTATAGAAATTTGGGGGATAATGAAAATCTTTTGCTTATCATTGAAATTGATTTCTTCCAACCTGTTCCTTCCTATAGGAAAAGAGCTTTCTTCTATCAGCAGCAATGTTAATGCACTAGCAAGAAAACACAGCTTTGGTTTACATTTCTGATGTACTTAAAAAAGGATTGTATAAATCTTTCTAAAAAGCAGTAGGCATTCCTGCTTTAATTCATTTTTTTAAAAAAAGTGATGGATGGAATGGGGGCTCCGGGAATTATATTCATGTGTCTGTACCCACTATTACATTGATGTAATATGTATTGTATTTTCTTGTCCAAGCTCAGTACGTTAACTGGATTTTCTTGGTGCATGTTCAGATTGCAGTCAGCATTCTGCGCAATATATGTTGACTGAATGATTGAAAGGTTTGTCTCCCTCCCCCACCCCCCAGGCTTTTAAGCTGTAGTTTGCCTGAAATCTAACCCGCATTCTTACCTATTGGAATCACTTTGCAACACATGGAGAAAAATGTGCAGTTTATATTTTAAACCAAAGACTAATTGGTATTTGTAATTGGTAAAATCAGGCTTGTAAAATGTATCTACTTTATATAAAAGAAAGTTCACTACTGGCATAGTGGTTATATTCTGAATTTGGCCAAATGTATTTCTATTAAAGATTGTTTATTTTTATGAATTTCTGATACCTTAACAGGATTGAAAACAAATTATGCATTTAAATGAAAATTTTAACTTAAAATTTATAATTTATTAGTATTGGATTGGTATAGATCAAAACAGGATGTTTTGAACTGTTCTGGGATGTGGGTCACAACTAAAGTAGTATTTGATAAAGAATGAAGTGAAGAAAAAATGTATTTCATTAATGATATTTAATAATTGGTGACACTATGTTGTGCTGTTAAACTTGTGTTCTCTCTGCATGACTATTGTTTGCATGTCCAGCACATATTTCATGATCAAGAAGCTAAAAATATTACGTGGGTGAAAACTTGCCTTGCTGTTCCTGCCACATACTGTACTGTAGCGAATCTGACAGGCAAAGCTGAGAGTGTTTATCGGACAGCTGGTATCGACTTCTACCTCCTATTTCAGAGTTTTGATACTATTCTGATCAAATGCAAGTCAATACAACTTGTGAAATATGGGAAGAATTAGTAGAATGTGCAGAATTACAGAAAAGACAATTGCAGGCTACCTGTCTGGTTCCCAAACTTCCATTCACCACAAAAACAATGTATATATTTTTTCTAATAAATCCTGAATTCAGTCTTTTCTATGAAGGGGAATGTATCCATACTCAACTGTTTAAAATACACAAATGCATACTCTTGGTACAAAAAAAAATAATTTGTTTCTCAAATCTGTTACTTTGTAAAATAAGTTTATATATTGTCTCATCACAAGCTGTGTAAAGATTTAAGACAACTAAAGATTCATTTTTTAAAAGTTCTAAAGATTAATGGTGTAATCCTGAAATTTAGAAAAACAGTAATCTGCAATAAATAGCAGAATGCTTGATATGCTCAGTAGGGGTATCAGCCTGTGGAAGAGAAAAATAGGTTAGTGTTTCTACTGAGACCCTTACAATAATAATAATAATAATAATCCTTGCATTTGATATAGCGCTTTTCACGTCGGGAGGACGTCCCAAAGCGCTTCACAGAACACACTGTAAAGTGAATTGACTGTATATTTGTGGGCGAACGCGGCAGCCAATTGCGCACAGCAATGTCCCACAAACAGTCGTAGATTGAAAATGACCAATTTATTATTATTTTGTTTTTTTGGAGGGATTATTATTAGGCTCTGTGTGGAGTAAGGAAACTTGCCCAAGGTTTCGCCCTGACCTGCCTGGAATTGAACTCAGGTCTCTCACTTGCAAAGCGAGTGCTCTAACCACTGAGCTACAGGACTCCACAACCATGTGCACTTACCGGCCAGCTGCAATGAATCGCGGGAAACATAGTCTTGAACCATTGCCTGATGCGCAAAAGAACTTCCATTTCCTGCGATTCAATGCTTGCTGGTAAGTGGGCATGCTCCAACGGGTAAGATGCACTGAAATCAGGAAACGTAGCCTTGACTCGTCACATGCACACTTACCGGCTCCAATGACGAGGTACCACATGCACACTTACCGGCTGCATTAAATTACTCATGCGCCGTGCAGATTATTGATTAGATCGTACTTATTCGATTTGTAGTTTGCCCACAATTTGGATTTCAAAAAGGACCCTTATCAGATCCCTGCTGATCATCAAGCTGTGCATTCGCAGCAAGTTTTATTTTTATTACAGAATCCTGGTATCAGCACTCACAAAATCTTCAGAGTATTGATCTGGATCCTCTTCTACACAGAGTCCCTTATGCCTAGGGGACATTTGTATTGCTTCTGAATAAGCCAAACACAAGTACTTAATCATGATGTGCTTAATCAATGGTAAGTTACGGTCAACAAAATCTTGTTGGCCTTACTCATCTACAACAAAACCTTGTTTATCTGCAATTCAGCTGAAGTTGTACTTCGACAATTTGGGTTAGCGTTCGAGCTTTTAAACCAATTACAATCCTTGCTCAGTTGGTAGCTTTCACTGCTGAGTCAGAAGGTTATGGATTCAACATCCATGTCAGGACTTTGAACTTTCCATTAGCAAGTGCTGCATTGTTGCGTGGGGGGGTCACCATTTGGATGAGATATTAAATAAAAGTCCTGTCTGCCTGTTCAGGGGACATAGAAGATTCCCTGATACTCCTTGAAAGAGAAGGTTGTTTTGCCTGCTAATCTGGACAACAATTCCCCCATATAAAATTGATCATTCACCACATGGCTAGTAAATTGGCTACCGCATTTGCTACAGAATTCAGTCACTAAATTTTACAATAAATCCTGTGAAATACATTGAGGCATCCTCCTATCTCTTTATGCAGAGGTTAATTACCAACTGGAACATGTTGCCAGGAAGGATAGTTGAGGCCAGGACACTGGACTTGTATCTTGATGCTGTGATTGATGGTGCTGGGGGGATGGGTGGGTATTCTGGAAGGATGAGAGCAGATGGGTTAAAGCATCTTCTTCATCCTCGTCAATCTTGTGACATTATCAAACTCAAGGATTATAAAACACTGCTGTTGATGAATCACAATATCATTCTGGCCTTTGCAGCATTTCTTCAATTTTTCTACATGTATATAAAAACACAAGAACCGTGGTGAGCTGCATCTGTATTCAGAATATTCAGACATACAAGCTTGGTTTGGAAATTACAGTACATAAAAAATAGTCAAAGCACCATACATAAATTGTTTTGTAATACCAAAACGTATATAAAATACTAGCTTAAATTTCTAAGTGCTACACATACATATTACAGAACTATCCTAAAACACAAAATAAGGCATGCAGGCTACGACTGGCTACTTTATACACATGAAATATGTAAAAGTAGCATTGGCACAACAGGTTTGAGTCTCTACTGTAATAAGTTATTGTAGCAATACTGACAAAAGGTTTTCCAATTTGATTACATCTCATTGCAATCCTTGCTCAAGGCAGCTGACCTGTTCGCACAAACAAAATGCATGATACACAGCAGTAAAGATCTGTAAATGCCTGTAGTAATACAGATATATGACTGGCCAAAAAATCTAGCTCAACGGATTAAAAAGGCAGAAATATCATAAGCAACCACCCAATTTCTTCAATCTGGGTAGTCACCTTCAGCTTCTGTTCTACACAAGAAAAATTCAGACGAATGATTTAAGTCACAGACCCGAGAGCTTGGTACTAGGTTAGCTACTCATCAGTGTAAGCTACTAAGGATAGCATACAAAGTTACACACAGGAAATGAAGTGCTTCTGCTGGGTCCGTTGTTTGCTCTTTTATATTTGGAAGTTCTTGCAGATGATTGGAAGAATGGAAATATCGTCAAGGTCTTTTTTCAGTGGGAACCAAAATTAAAGACTGTCATCAACATTGATCCAAATTCTTAATGAAGACTGCAGCCCCAACCCACTGGGAAGTTGGCAATGTCAAAAGCATATACAGTATTGTTCTCAACACAGTGGTGCACATAACCAACACAATGTGAAGCAGCACAAAGATCTCTGCTGAACTCTACTTGTGCACTTTAAATAGATCTTCGCTCATGGAATGAAAGAGAGACAGTTCACCTCGAGTTTAGCAATACTAATTGGCTACAAGTACTTTCATTATAGTCTGAAAGCAGACTGATAAGTATAAACATGGTTAATGTTCCATTGCAGATTTTATACTTTCAAAACAAAAGTTCCCGTCAGCAATCCCAAACTGCTCATGTAGCTTTTTTCCTGGTATTACAAAGACCACTTCGGCTTTTCTGGAAACTTTCTAGTGATTTACACTCTAACCAAAAAGGCCAAACCAGTATCTTCGGATCAACAAAGTAAGTTCCTCGGCATATTTAGGGCAAGCTTTGTATTCCCAACATTTAACATGCTGGTGACTGAGCCAATCCGTGGACTTCCATTTTTGCAATTTTCTTTTCCTTGGACTCCCCACGTTTTACCGAAAGTTGTGTTATTTTAATTTGTAGAGTTGTTTCTTCAATGGTCTTTTTTTTAATCTGTTTGTCCTTTATTTCATTCTCAGCGCCTTCTGCTCGGTCCCCTGTGTAAAGATTAAATTAAATGATCACATTATTCTGAAGGGAGGCTCTTATAGGACAGCTTTAACCTGTTTGTCAATGACAACACTTCAATGGCTGATTCAATGGGATTGTTCACCAACAAATAACAACAGATTACAGAATGTTATAGTGGGGATCACTGTTCAATCTTCCTTCTCTCTCAACATCAGTGGTTACTTTTAAAACCTTTTTCATCTCTCTGATGTATTGTCAGAGAAACTGCGCTTTTTTTTTGGTCAGCCGGGTGTCTTGACATGCGGAAACCCATCATCGTGGAGTCCTGTAGCTCAGTGGTTAGAGCACTCGCTTTGCAAGCGAGAGACCTGAGTTCAATTCCAGGCAGGTCAGGGCGAAACCTTGGGCAAGTTTCCTTACTCCACACGCCTAATAATAATCCCTCCAAAAACCCCAAACAATAATTAAATTGGTCATTTTCAATCTACGACTGTTTGTGGGACATTGCTGTGCGCAATTGGCTGCCGCGTTCGCCCACAAATATACAGTCAATTCACTTTACAGTGTGTTCTGTGAAGCGCATTGGGACGTCCTCCTGACGTGAAAAGCGGTATATCAAATGCAAGGATTATTATTATTATTAATGTGCACTCTCTCCCTGGAGGGACACATCCCGCTTACCTAATTCCGGAAAGTATTAGTTGCAGGTTGGCAAGAGCCAAAGTTTGGGGACCCCAGAGTTTGGGTTGGGGTACTGCTGGAGTCTAACCAGCTAAAACCGCATAGCTTGCCTTTGATAGCACTGTTTGGCAAGCTTTCCCGCTGCTTGTCCAGCTAGGACCACCCTAACTGTTAGGCTTTAGCTTGCAGGGTAAACAGATGAGTGGGATGATTCTCCCCCAATGATGAGCCAGGTTGCCGGTGCTGTCATCAGCAGTGCCCTGGAGTATTGCGGACCTGCCTGGCTCAGGAACTGGACTACTGAGACCGCCACAGAAGTCTGACTGAATTCCGACATTCTGCTGCCAAACATGTCACCTTGGAGCCAGGTCAGCTCCAAGGAGACCCTGCTTACTCCCCCACCCCCCCCACCCGCCATCCACCAAGGTGAATAACAGCAGTGTCCTTTCAAACAGGTTGTTTCTCCCTAACACACTACACTAGTCACAATACTTTAAAGTGAAATCCTGTGATAAGTCCTCCCAATGTGATGGTACTATATGAAATGCAAGGGTTGTTATTGTTACAATCTATGAACGAATGTGAAACTGCTTCATATAGACTTCAGTGTTACTGTTCTGAATTAATTGGCAGTGTCCCTCACCTCGTTCAACATCACATTCAGGAGACGATGCGCCACTACATTCACTACGGGGTCCCAGAGCAGTGGAGCTTAGTGTGAAGTCAGAGAGAGACTCGGGACTCTGCAGCGTTACTGGAGGATAAGAGCTGGGCACATCCACAGGACTGGTTGAGCAGGAACTCAAGCTGGACTCAGATTGGGTCTCTGAATCCTCTTCAGAGATGTTGCTGCTGCAGTTATCATCCTCAAACACTTCAGATGTCACTGCAAATGAATTAAGAGACATCATTGCACACACTTAATAGTAATTGGCTTAAATTCATTACAAAATCAATGGCCAAATGTTCTTCAGCCTTATTAAATTGGAGAACTTCATTCATTCGAAAGTCAAATTACATTTCTAATCAGGAGTAAGTTACTGAAAGAACTGCTTTCTAAAATGCTTGAATTTTATGGATTGTGAAAAACATTAGCCCCAAAAGCAGAAGTTGGAGAATCAATTGGGATGTTTAAACGGGATAGGTACGTAGCTGAGAAGTATAGGAATTAAGGAAAATAGAGAAAAGGCAGCGAAGTAAAAGATATGCCATTTTATCTGAATGGTGCAATATTTATGTAATAAAAGGACAGAAGTAGCTAAATGAGCTCATTCCTGTTTTACTGGATCAAAATTACAGTATTAAACACATTTAGTTTCTTATTTGTGGAATGTGGTTTGAAATTCCTCTAAGCAGTGATAGGACCGAGACTCTCCTGACTGGCTCCCGTCAGTTGTTTCTCCACAACTCAGTTGCTGACAGCATCACCATCCATGGCTGCACGCTCCACCTTACTAAACCAGTCTGGAACCTTGGGGTCTTGTTTGACCCTCAACTATCCTTTCTACCCCACATCTGCACCATGACCCGCTCTGCCTTTCCCCACCTCCGCAACGTTGCCCGGCTCCACCACTGTCTCACACCGCAGGCTGCCAAAGCCCTCATATACGCATTCATAACATCCAGGCTTGACTACGCAAACTCCCTGCTTGTCGCCTCCCCAACTCTTCCCCTGACAGGCTTCAGATCATCCAGAACTATGCAGCCAGTTTCCTCTCCCACACCAGGCTCCTTGACCCTCTCACCCCCATTCTCGCCCGACTCCACTGGCTTCCCATCACACAGTTCAAGATCCTGGTCCTCACCTTCAAAGCCCTCCATGGCCTTGCTGCCCCTACCTCTGCGACCTCCTAACCCCGTACCATCCTGCTCGCTCCCTCCGTTTAGCGAGCTCCAGTCTGCTTCATGTCCCCCGCCTTGCCCGCCCCACCATTGGCAGGCAGGCCTTCTGCCCCTCTGACCCCTCCCTCTGGAACTCCATTCCGCAGTCCCTCCGCCTTCCCCCTCCCTTGCCTCCTTCAAGGCCCATCTCAAGACCCTCCTCTTCAACCGTTCTTTCAATCACTCTGCTTCCTCCCCTGCTCTCCACCCTTCCCAATCCCAACCCCCAGCTCGGGTCCAAACACTAACAGTCCAGCGCCTTGGGACATCCTCCCGACCTGAAAGGCACTATACAAATGTAATTTTGTTATTGTAGCACTTGAAACCGCTGAAAAGCCTCGGAGGTACCATCTCGGATTCCAATTTAGCCAGGATCATTTATGAGGCCTTTTTGAACTTATTTACCTCTGGAATTCCATCCCCAATCACTCCGCCTCGCCCCCTCCTTAGCCTCCTTCAAGTTCCGCCTCAAAACCCTCCTTTTCGACCATACCATCGGTCACCCCCCTTCCCCACTCCTCCCTTCCTGACCCCAGCTCGGGTCTGAAAAGCTGTACACTGTCCAGCACCTTGGGATGTCCTCCCAATGTGAAAGGCGCTATACAAATGTAATCTTGTTGTTGTTATTCAGGGGACACTATCCTATCATAATGTGAGTTAGAATTCAATGTAAGTTAGGACATTAACTCAGAGACTAAGCCCTGAGAGGCGACTATTTGAACTTGCAAATGGCAATGGTCTCACCACAATCCTTAGGTTCACACAAGCTATGTTCTGTGATCAGCTAGAATCAGCCCACAAGACATCAGCGTGTATCCTGCTATGAGCTAAAACGTCCAGATGATTAATAGCATTTCCAGACAGCACTCTGTGTCGAGTGATGATAAAAGTGGCCTTTGTTGCATAGCCATGTCAGATTTTGTTTCATATAAAACATGTTTTTGCCCTGAGAACATACTGAGATTTTCAGATCTACACATTACAGATGTGTGCAGAATTCTCAGATGCTGTTTGACCATCGTTTCAATTAAGCTTCACTACTTCCCTTGACTTTCCCACAAACAAGTGTTCTTCCTCATTATCAAAGCTTGCACGTTAGATTTCAAAATTCCTCTCAGCCAGCAGGCAGTTTGTGGCTTGCATGGCATATAAAGGAAGAGAGAAAAAGGGAAGGATTTCACAATAATAATAATAATAATACTGATACTAATCCTACATTCAGTATAGCGCCTTTCACGTCAGGACATCCCAAAGCACTTCACTGGATATACTGTGAAGTGCAGTGACTGTTTTGTGGGTGAAATCGGCAGCCAATTTCTGCACAGCAATATCCCACAAACATGAAGTGAGTGACCAATTTTTATTTGGGGGATTGTTGGCATGGACACCAGGAGAAACTCCCATCCCTTTGCGAATAGGACCATGGGATCTTTAACATCCACCTGAACAAACAGGGCCACAGTTTAACATCTCATCCTAGTCTCCCAACAATGCAGCACTGCATTGAAGTGTCAGGCAGTGAATCAAATGCAGAGATCATTAACTTAAGCAAACAACAACAAATTAACTCCCAAATGCCACATTATGAGGCCTAGGCCTCAGTTCATGAATTCGACTCAGAGTATACCCCCAGCACTGCACTGGAATGTTAGCTCAGACTATATGAGTCCAAATCCTGATGTAGGGCTTGAACTTTCTGACTCAGAGGAAAGAGTGCTCCTAACTAAACCAGGGTAACACAAAAAACATAACACATGTTACTGTGATTTTTTTCTTTAAAAAATGTCATGGCTGGAATAGAATATTTCCTTATTACAATTCCTTCAGTTGCTCTAAAGGAGGACACGCATCAGATTAGATGAACTTGACACATGTCCTCTGCATTCCCCCCAAAACATACCTAAAGCTCAAAATGAGCAGAAAACCAAAATGCCTTTTCCAACACCAGCCATCCTTATGGATTGGCTCAGATTGTCCAGTTTATTAACAATTGAGTCTATTTCTGCTCATCTACCAGAAATTGGGTTAAAATTGCTCAATTTCAACTCATCAAGGACTGTCATAGCTAATATACTGTAGAGGGAATTTCATACCATTAGACCGGGCTGATTGTGAGCTCATGTTGTTGAGCAGAAGAAGTGTGGTAACTGAAAGCACCACCCAATCCCTGACTGAACAAAACCATGGCAACCTTTCCTTAATACTTAAAAGCCAAAACTGAATATAATGGCACATGATCTTTAAAGTAATGAGACTTTAGATCTTTTGCAAAAGTGGTCTATTATGTACCGATTGCTTAAAAAAGGGATCGTTTCAATCCTTTTTGATCCCTATTTGATTTTCTCATGACCCATTTTGTGCTGCATATAGAATGAGCCTATTACTTCGCTATGGCACAAAGTTAATTATAGAGCAGTCGTTCATGGACCCATGAGTTTGGTCGTCAGTTTTCCTACGTGTCCAGTCATAACTTCCTGAAATGTTAGCAGTGGCAATTGTTTCAGGAACTGATGCAAGCTGCACTTCCTGCATGCTCTGCAACATACACAGCACGCAGGAATTGGTGTTGTGCCAGCTGTTTTGACTTTGTGGCATTATAACACAATATTTATATGCTTATGAACCTGAAACAAGATCTTATAAAGAGGTTCTCATGTACTTGTTTAATTTAATATTTGCTAAGTTACACAATTTACACTAGTTGCTCAGTTAAAAGCTTCATATGTCAGCCCAGCTCAGTTATTAGCTCGCTCACTTCTGAGTCAGAAGGTTGTGGGTTTCACGCTCATGTCAGCATTTTGAGCTCACAGTCGAAGTTGACACGAATGCGGTGCTGGGGTTGCGCTGCTTTGTCGAAGGTGCAGTCCTTCGAATGCAATGTTAAACTAAGTCCCATCCGGCTGTTCAGATGGATCCTAAATATCCCAAGACACTACTCAAAAAGAGAAGGGAGTTTCACCCAGAATCCTGTCCAATACAACAACAACAACAAGATTCCATTTATAGAGCGCCTTTCACATCGGGAGGACGTCCCAAGGCACTGCACAGTTGGGTCAGGACCCGAGCAGGGGGGAAATGGTCAGGGTGAGGGGAGGGAAGGGAGGGAGGGAGCGAGGAGGGGGTAGAGAGTCGAGAGGGGAGCTGAAGGCACGGTCAAAGAGAAAGGTCTTGAGACCGGCCTTGAAGGAGGAAAGGGAGGAGGCGGCGAAGGCACTGGGGGATAGAGTTCCAGAGCCAAATAATCCACCAAATAAAATTTGTCAAAAGGCCATATACTGCAAATGCTGGAAATCTGAAATAAAACAGAAGTCACTGGAATACTCAGGCAGCATCTATGGAGAGAGGAAAATGGTTTAACGTTTTACTCACTTTCCTCTCTCCCTAGATGCTGTCTGATCTGCTGAGCGTTCTAACCATGTCTAAATAAAATTGGTCATTCACTTCATGACTGTTTGTGGGTATTGCTGTGTGCAAATAGGCTGCCATATTCATCTATGAAATACACATTCACTACGGTTTACATTTCCTGTGAAGCGCTTTGAGATATATTCTTGACGTGGAAGAGTAATATCAAATCAGAATTATCATTATGTATTAAGAAATATTGAACAAATGAAGGCTATTCCTTCAGCAACAACAACAAAATTAGATTATATAGCGCCTTTTACATCAGAAGGATGTCCCAAATCGCTGCAACTACCATCATAACGTTTACTACATCCACAATGTGCTGGGAATTGTATTACATAGGACCTCTGCTTAACATCTCAGCCAAAGGATAGTGGCTTTAATAATGCAACATTGCCTCAATATTGTACTAGAGTATCCATGTACATTCGGAGATGAAATTTAATGTGAAGAATGAACTCCTAACCTTCTGTTCCACAGACAAGAATGCTATTACATTGAGCGAAACTGACGCATGTATCCGGAAAACAGTGAAAGCCTCATTTGCCCTTTAAGATGCAATAGATTCAAATTGGTTCTGTGAAAAGTCTGGAGAGGAATGCAATCTGCTTTTTATTCTCAAGCACAGCTGAAATTAGGAACCCAACCCCAAACAACAAACAAAAATTTCTACTTTTTCTTCTGCATAGCTGCAGGACTGTAGTGTGCTTGGGTGCTGGCTGGCTACATTTCAAAGTTATCAAAAAACAAATTTAAAGACTAACCCCAATAATCTGCCTTGGTCTGTAACCAAGTTAATTGGATTTCCTTTTTTTTAAAGAAGGACTGTTGCTCGAGATTATTGGCAGAAAGTTATTTATAATTTCTCAAGAGTAGGCTTTGCTCCCTGCCTGCTTCCCTCCCTCTAGAGTCTGTGGGTGGTTACGTAAAATATATCAGATTGTTAAACAGTTTAATTTTCTTCCTGTAAACTAGCAAAGTGAATGCTGCTGTTATACAAGGAAATAATGGTGCACGTCATTTCATTCAGACAAAATGGATATATTGAATGAAAACATGAATAAAAATTATGTGCAAATCTGTGTTCAGACAGCTTGAATTACAGAAGCCAATTCCAAACAAGTCACAATACATTGCATTGTACATGTGACTTTATCTAAACACTAGTGAAGAAAACCATAAGTAACCCTCTCCATCTCATAGCATTAAGCATCAAAATATTCCTTTCTCACTTCTATTATTAATTACATTTCAGTGGTTAGTACGTCATATGTTAATGCCTCTACATTCAAAATACACACTTAAACCATCACTGTTGTTGAACTGGAGCAAAAAGAAAAAAACACCTAAATTGAAAGCAATTGGGCACAACCCTGAAAATATGTTATCACCAGATGGTACTTTTGTCATTTTGTTTCAGCAGCTTCTGTAGTCTGTCACTCTCAGCGATTCTTTCAGGTATGTCAGCTTCACAACACAAGCTCCTCATTGGGACTGACTGAAGTCTCACATCGTCAACCCTCACCTCCCTCTTCCACCCATTTCTCCACCGATCACTTACTCGAACAACTTAGCAACCCCGACCGCCCCTCCCCACAACCACTAGATCTGTTGCACTCTTAAACTTTGATACCTACTGCAGAAGGCTGAAGGGCATTCCTGTTACATCCTCCCTCCTGCCCCACTGCCCTCCTCCATCCCCATCTCCCTCCCCCCCATTTATAGCTGCACAGAGGAAGGAAAGTGTTATAATTAATCAATTTAACACAGTTAATAAAAATAATCCTTGCATTTAATATGGTGCCTTATCACGTTGTCAAGGGGTCTCAAAGCACTTCAAAGAATATACTGTATAGTGAATTAACTGTATATTTTGTGGCCAAAACATTTTTTTCTGTTGATTCTGAAAGGATTGATTCTGTTCTTGAAGTGTTGTCCTTTAAGAGAACTTGTGGCAAAAGTCACATCCTGTTTTGGAAAGTCTATCACTGTCCAAGAGAAAACATTGTGGCCAGTGCATTTTCTGACCACCAACTGTGTGCACCCATGTTCCCTATAGCACACAGTTGGATTATCAGTGCAAGTATTTTGCCGTTGAAGAGCTATTCATGCATGGCTGTTACAGACACAAGGTAAAAAAGGAGACTTAAACAGAAAATAGGGCAGAACTCCGCTCCTACCCGTGTCAAGTTTAATGCAAGTAGCAATGGCGAAGAGCTGAAGAGAATGATATTCAGGTTAATGTTACAGTCATCGATCGGGGGCACTTTATCAGTAGTGACACAAGTGGAACATAGGCTTTCCGAACCACAAGAGTACGCTGTAAGTGCAGGTTGTCATACTCACAGGACAATGCATCGAGCTCTGATTTCAAACTGGATAAATCTTCCAGCGAGTTTTCATTCCCTTCAGCACCTACACCTCTCCCTCGGGGACCCATTGCCTTGGAGCGCCTTCTTTCATGAATCTCATCGGAAATCATCTCCAGATTCTTCAAGGCAGTCTTGTATTCTCCTTTGGCTGCAGAAAGCTTGGCCTGGAGCTCATCTACATTCCTCTTTAAATGCTTCCAGTGGATAAAAAGGGAAAGTCACACTTTCGAAGATAGCACAGAAATACATTTAGTGCAAATTTTAAATGTGGAACCTGGATAAGCGAAGGGGCTAAACATGAAAGCTTATAATAATAATAATCCTTGCATTTGATATAGCGCTTTTCACGTCTTCTAGACATCTCATATATTCAACAATAACAATTTGTATTTATATAGCATCTTTTTCACCCTTATTCAGTGTATTTAGGAGGAAACTTGGTGCAAGAGAGCGAAGGGAACAGAGGGATATGGGGGAAGACTAGGGAAAGAGGATTAGAACCACAGGAATTTATGGCCCAGAAGAAAGCCATTCGGCCCATCGTATCTGTGCTACCTCCCTCAAGAGCAATCCGTTCAGTCCCACTTAACTACCATACCCCAGATTAGAATGGGTGGAGACTCATTTGAAATATAAATAGCGGAAAAGACTACCTGAGCCGAATGTTTCAGTCTGTAGATTCTATGTAAAGCTCCTGGAAGGAACAAGCTATTTCCCCTTTCCACAGACCTTGCACAACTACACTTTGATGGGCTATCCCACATAGAAATAACAGAACTCAAAGAGACAATTAATATAATAATTCTTGCATTTGATATACCGCCTTATCACATCATCAAGACGTCTCAAAATGCTTCACAGAATATACTGTAAAGTGAATTGACTGTATTTTATGGGTGAAAGCAGCAGCCAGTAGCACACAGCAGTGTCCCACAAACAGCCATACAGTGAGTGACCAATTTTATTCTGGTTTTTTTTTGGCCAGGACGCTGGGAGGAATTCCCTTCTCTTTTCCAATAGTGCTAATATGGGTCATTAACAGGAGAAAGATGCTGAAGTGTTTTGAAGTGATCTGAAAGCCACTATGTCAGTGTATATTGTTCTTGCTGTGGCAACTACAGTGATCTCTGAAAATCAGCAATTGATTTGATATGATATAGTAAAGTAAATAATTTCTATTAGCTCTGCATTGAACAGCAGAAATAATCTTGCTGCTGGACTGATGTTTTCCTGCTGTATAGACTCCCCCTCCGCCCCTCCACATCTGGGTAAATATACTCTGATTGTACCACAGCATTATCTGTGTGTGTGTATGTGTATCAGCCTACCTCTGTGGTACACTCTCACCACTGAGTCAGAAGGTTATGGGTTCAAGCTCCCACCAAGTCGGGACTTAAATTCACATAGTCTAAACTGACAATCCAATGTAGAGCTGGGGTGTATTGCATTGTTGGAGGTGTCATCCTTCAGATGAGACGGTAAACCAAAGTCCTATCTACATGTTCAGGTGGACGTTAAAGATCCCATGGCACTATTTGAAAAGAGGAGTATCTCCTGGTGTCCTGGCTAACAAATCCCCCAAATAAAATTGGTCACCCACTCTATGGCAGTTTGTGGGACATTGCTGCTGCATTCACCCACAAAATACACAGTTAATCCACTCTACAGTGAAGTGCTTTAAAATGTCTCAACAATGTGATAAGGTGCACAAAGGATTGTTATTACGATTATCATCATCAACTATACTTCCATGATTTTTATTATTTGTTTCTCTTGAAGTGTTAGCCTCCAGAGTTTCTTTCCCAATAATCCAGAACCCCTGGATAAAATACACACTGACATTTCTGATGAAAACTCACCTCAAGCTGAAGGTAGTATTTTGCTTTCATTTCAAAATAAGGCCTGCGGAGAAAAAAAAATTAGGATTGGGTTACCACATTGACGGGCACACATCAAAGCAAAGCTGCTCCTTTCTGATGAGCTTCTCACTGATAAATGAGACACTCACACAGTCAAGAAAATGATTTACAATAAATTTACTTTCCAAGTGATTATTTTTTAGCTGAAGAGCTAAGCACACACTCAACATGGTCCGATCAAGATTTTTCTGATCTCACAAAGAACCTAGAGGCTGTTACTTGCTTATTTATTGAACATGAAAGGCTAAAGTCAATCTCCTTTGATTCTGACAATGAACAGTTGCAGATGTAGCAATCCAGCAGTTCCAGAGGCAGTGTTATCCTTTGAAACATAACACTCCCATTAAAATGCACAGCCATGAACCACAGAAATATTCTGACAGCAAATCATGGGTTGATTATTTCATAGGTGAAGTTGTCTCTGTCGAGCTGGCCGAGAAAAAAAGTAATTCTAGACCTTTACAGTGAAGCAAGTCTCCAGTGAGATGGTTTATAGAATCTTGAATAATTTATCGGCAGCATTGAGTGTTTAGTCATTTAAACAGGAGGATAGTAAAGGCACTGTTTTAAACAGCACAGTTGAAAGTAAACAGCAGAGCTCACAAACCCAGAAACTTCAATTTACTTTTGTTTGTGTGTAAACCCCATGGGTTATACAATTTTTTGCAAAGATATTTCCATAATGCTGCTATTGCTCCAATCAAATTCAAATAAATAGTCTGAGACTGAGTGGAGCTGGGTCCGGGGCTGGAGATTGAGCAGGAAGTGTGACCAGCGCAAGAGACTGAGTGGAGCTGGGACAGGGTGTGGATTTTCAGATAATAAAGAGACTTTTCCATTAAAACTGAAAAGTTAAGGAGTGATTGAGATGGGTCTTCAAGATCATGAAAAGGGCTTTGACAGGGTAAATAGAACTTCATTTCCACTGGAGTAAGAGTCAGTAACGAAAGGGCACAAATAAGATAATCACAAAACAATTACGGGGAGGTTAGAAAACTTGTGGAATTCTCTTCCACAAACCAATGATGAAGCAGAGTCCATAAACTATTTAAAATGGTAATAAGTTAGATGCTTAGAGAGGAAAATAATACGGGGTTGGGGAGAGGGTGGGATTTTATGATTCTAAAAAGAATGATTAGACAAGAGTAGCAACATCTCTCAGTGTTTCACTGTCAGAAAATCGGTAAAATAACGACCTTATATTTTCAACACTGCATTGCCTTTGGATGTCCTCCCGATGTGAAAGGTGCTATGCAAGTGTTATTTGTTGTTAGTTGTTGTCGTAACCTAGAATAACACCAGTATTTTTTACCTTTGTCATTCCTGCTCTGTCATTGCTCACAATCCCATTTTAACACAGCACATTAATATAATCCAATCACATATGTATGTCATATTTCATTGATGAAAAATGTGTCTGTGATGTGATAATTATCAGGGATAAACCCCCTCCTCCCCCAACACACAAACACACACACAAACAACCATGCGCGCGCGCGCACACACACACACACACACACAGACACACACGTCTTTAAAATGATTTTGCCCGACAGTTGTTTGATTTAAGGATGCATATCTCCCGAGCCGCCACTGATGTGTTGTGATCTGTCCAGTGGCCGGACAACTCAATAGCGTCAGAAAACAACTTGTGGACAAAACCACTTGAATAAAGTCAGGGGTCTTCTCCATAGCGGTCAATGACTGGGCCATCTCCAGGAATAGAATGTCATCACAGTTTCTCCACCCCTATCTATCACTCTAGCTAGCGATTTTTTTTCCCCTGAGCAAAGGGCAGTAAAGAGAATCACTCACTTGGATTTATTTATGGCTCGTTTTAATTTCTTCTCCAGTTGCTTCATCCTGCCCATTGCAGCGTTGTACTTGATGGCTGTTTCTTTGTGCAACAGCTCACTTCTGGTCTTTGTCTGTTCTGCTTCCATAACCTTGGAAACAAAGAGAATCCGACACGTCTGGTTTACTTGTTCTCCATGTATTTTTAATAAAGGCCTTTAAAATATTTAATTGAAAAAGAAACTTGGAAAAATATCTACTGCAACAATTAATGAGGCACAGGGCACAGAAAGCAGTCTGGCTCGTGTGGCCTGACCTACTTCAATCCAGTATTCACAGATGACTTGCCGCAGCTGTCTTAAAGTTGCCATAGAGTTAGTTGAACACAAGTTTAACCACCCCAAAACCAGCAGCAATGACACAATCTATAGGGAATAACAATTCAGAAATGGGAAACGCCTATTGTGGGAAAACACAGTAATCCAAGTCTCATTCCAACAGAGCACCAACCCTTGGGGCTGGCCATCTGGAAGGAAATAAATCGTGATTAACCCCTCCCCCCACTGTAAACCCCATTGCCAGTTGCTAACATTCACCCACAAAATATCCAGTCAATTCACTTTACAGTATATTCTGTGAAGCGCTTTGAGATGTCTGGAAGACGTGATAAGGCACTATATCAAATGCAAGGGTTGTTATTATTGTCCCCTAATGTTGTCAGCTTGGCTCAATTAGAAGCACTATCACCACTGAATCATAAATTTATGGGTTCAAGCCCTCACACCGGGACTTGGAACTCCTAGGCTTGGTAGGTGCTAAGTATGCAAGGGGAGAATAATAATCCTTGCAATTGATATAGCACTTTTTTCACATCTTCTAGATGTTTCAAAGCACTTCACAGAATATACTGTAAAGTGAATTGACTGTTTATTTGTGGGAAAAATGCGGCAGCCAATTGCGCAAGATACCAGTTTAACTCCAATTTGTTTCCTGTTGAGTTTAGGCAGAGTTCCAGAAACTAGCACACAAATACGGCACTCCATAGTGTGGAATTCCAATCACAATTGACTAGCAGATTCAAGCCCGACTCTTGTATCATGTAAAGGGAGGCTCGAGGTGCCTTGGGACATCCTCCTGATGTGAAAGGCACTGTATAAATATAAATTTGTATTGTATTGTTGAGTCAAGTCAACTGGCCTTGATGGCAATTTGTTCGCACATCAACCGTCACAATTTTCCGCTTCACGCTGAAACTTTTGTATTATTATTTAATATTACATTTTAGCCACTCAAATGGTCCTTCCTGTTTATTTTTCTATTCGTTTCACTTTTTAGTTCTTTGGTATCATGGAGTTTTTTTTGAATATAGTTGAATCTTATTGAAACATAACCATTCGGAGCTCAGGTTAAATATCTTGCAATTGCCGGGCAATTCACTTTACAGTATATCCTGTGAAGCTCTGCGAGATGTCTCGAAGACGCGATATGGCGCTATACCAAATGCAAGGATTATTATTATTATTAAGCTTGGAACCAGAGACCAGATCCTCAGCGAGATCATTGACTTTTGTGATGCTGAATTACAAATAGACCTGGGACTGAAGCAATTTCACACACACATATAGGCTGTGAGAGAAGTCTCCCCACTCTGCTGCTGCTGACTATTGTGCTGGAATCACAATCCCTTTTAAAGCCAGACTCGAAAGGGGTTTGGGTTTCGAAAACGTGATAAAGCTCCATATCAAATTCAAGGATTATTATTATTAGTAGTTTTGAAGTCTCCTTCCTTACTAAAGGAGGAGCCACCACCTAAGGGAATGTTTGGTTTACAATTTGACATACCCGTTGTGTGGCATGGTTAAGCATCTCCTGCCACGCTGAATCAAACTGACGTTCCTCATCTTCCAGCAGCCTCTGTTCAGCCAAAGCGATCGTCTCTTTGGCTGCCCGTAGCACCTCAGTGGCCCTTTGGAAATCCTGCGTGGCTTTCTGAGCCTCGAGCTGTGCCTATTGAAGAGCAATAAATAACAGTGGAACCATTTATTTTACAACACACCAAAAAATTGTTTTATCCCTATCCCTAAACACAAGGACCTTTGACTCTGGGGTGTAGTGAGCACCGTTCACTAATTATAGTCAATGTTTTGTTCTGCGCTTATAACTGGAAGTCCCAATGTCATGAAAATTCACTAGCCTTGGTGAACAATGCATTGCCAAACACCTATGTGGTCCTATAATAGGAAAACCACTGCAAGTGAACCTTGTCAAAGAAACCACAGAGCGGCAATTTCTCATCCAAAGTTTCTCTTTATGAAAACAACCTTGAGTAAGAACTACAACGACACAACTTTGCTTCATGTAGAATAATGTCTCAACGCACTTTGCAAAGATGGGATCAGATGCCAAGCAATGGTGAGGTGGGTGGGAAGTGACCATAGGTGCAATCAAAAAGAAGGCAGGGTTTTAAAGACTGTGATGAACTATGATGAACTTAGGCGGTAAAAGGCATAAAAGTTAACAAGGAGGTGGAGGGTGGGTGTCCTGGGAGGCAAGGCTTAGCAATGAAATACCATGTTGCTAAGCCTCTTTCTATATTCACTGAGACTGCACTATGTGGCTGATGGCAGTCCTTCATTCAGAAGCAAAATAATACCAGGCAGCTCAACTTTACACTCCAGGGCCAACTAGAATCAGCCTGGCTCAACAACAACAACAAAATTAAATTTATAGAGCACTTTCACATTGGGAGGACATCCCAAGGTGCTGGACAGTCATGGGTCAGGACCCGAGCATGGGGGAGGGGTAGGGGAGGGGTGAGGGAAGGCAGAGAAGTGAGAGGGCGACTGAAGGCACGATCGAAGAGGAGGGTCTTGAGACCGGTCTTGAAGGAGGCAAGGGAGGAAGTGAGGTGAAGCGACTGTGGGATGGAGTTCTAGAGTGTGGGGGCAGAGAGACTGAAAGCCCGGCCACCTATGGTACAACAACAACAACAAAAAGATTGCATTTATAGAGCGCCTTTCACATCGGGAGGATGTCCCAAGGCGCTGGACAGTTGGGTTGGGACCCGAGCAGGGGATCAGGATGAGGGGAGGGAAGGGAAGGAGCGAGGAGGGGATAGAGATTCGAGAGGGGAGGTGAAGGCACAGTTGAAGAGAAGGGCGGACTGGGCAGGAGACATGGAGCAAGCCGGAACCCGCTGAATGGATGGAGCGGGCAGGTTGATAGGGAGTCAGCAGGTCAGAGAGGTAGGAGGGGGCAAGGCCATGCTGGCCTTGAAAGTGAGGACAAGGATCTTGAATTCGATCCTCTGAAGCCAGTGGAATCGATAAGTAAGTAACACACCTTCTTCTGAGTATAAAATCATTTGATTTCCAAATTTAAGATCGTACAGAATTGCGGAACATTCTTGAATTCAGTCTTGATTTGGAAGCTGCTTTTCTGCAGTTCAAAAAAAATCACAAGAATGGTTTGCATGACGAAGGACCTTCAACCCATCTGATCTCATCTCCAGAATACCAACTCTAACATCCTCCAACCACAGCATGAAGCTACTTCATAAGCGAGTCCAGTGTTCTGCCCTCAACCAACCTTCCTGGCAAAATTAAATGTATAAAATCCCCTATTAGTCATCTTCTTTCAGGACTGGAGTGCCCTACCTTATCTAATTGTTGCTCATAGTTCAATCTTGTAACACTGGGGATCATTCTCATTGCTCTCCACCGCACTGAATCCAGGGCCTGGCAGCTCACCAATGTTACAATGACCAGAATTGTATAAAGTACTCTAGGTGCCACCTGACCTGAGCACTATATAGTTTGAGTGCGCTCTTAAAAAGAAAATATTTTTCCAATTAAGATTGAGTTTAAAAAATCATGAAATCATAAACATAGCAAAATACACTGACATCTAACCAACTGCAGAAATACGTTGTTTCCCATGGCCACTTTTACTATTAACATGATAGCTTATTTTACTGTGACGCATTTACCTCCCTCCTCTGGTCAGCCAGGAATGTCACAAACACTTTAATTATAGGATCAAGGAAACTTAAATTATACCCCAATCTATTTTAGTATTGCTTAGGAACAAGCACCGGAGTTGGCTCAGTGACCAATCTATAACTATTCTGAATTAGATTACATTACTTGGTGTCAAAAAATATAATAAAACATGAACAGGAAGCACAACTCCACATTGGGCTGGCCCAGAAAAGGCTGGAATTTTTAGAATACTTGAGAATAATGTTTGTGGTACTGTGCTCATTTTGAAACTCCAACCCTAGGATCCGAGTTTGAAATCTGACAGACAGACACAACTTTATCTTCTTGACTACCCAGGTCTTATCTGAAATACGTTTTCAATAGGTTTAGCTCCGTTCTTAAACGACACGAGTCCACCTCACATACAGTTCTGCGCTTCATTGGAAATCTCGCTCGGTCAAAATGAAAAACTTCACAATGCAGGTTCTTTACTGTGGTTGGGATAATAGAGAACTGATATAAAACTCATTGCATTTGAGGATGCTTGCATGCTCTCTATCATGTTGTCGAGACGTCTTAAAGTGCTTCACAGGATATATCGTGAAGTTGAGTGACTGTGTCGTTTGTGGGTAAATGCAGCAGTCAATTTGGACAGAGTAATGTCTCACAAACAGCCAAGGAGGGAGTGACCAATTTTATTTGGGGTGTTGTTATCCAGGACACGTAGTATGGAGGGAATGTTATTTGGCTATGCTGTACTACACTTCCTGGTAGGGCAGTTGCAGTTAAGGCTCCAAAAGTGTTACATTCTGCATGACTGACAGACATAAAGCGCTCTGGGATCCTTCCTCTCTTAAACACAAGTTGTTGTCATACGAATTTAAAATTCTAATTAATACTTTAAGCATTTAAAGCTTACAGGAAGTCATCTTTTGCAGATGATATAACAAAATGAATGTATGCACTTAAAGGTTTAAAAACATACAGTGCAATATTGATTTAAAACATTATTAATATTTTAATCAATGCTACTGGAAAAATAACATTATATTAGGGCTAGAAAAAAAAGCAAATTTTTAAGTGTCTGAATCTTCAAATGACACCCATACCAGATAGATGTGGGCATGTGGAGATGGTGCAATGTGAGATTGAAGCTAAAAAGAGCTAGACTGCAGCTGAAAAAAAACATACAGCATCAAAATCTAGGGAGAAGGGAGCTGGAGAAACTGCTGAATTCAAAGGCAAAATCTTTGCTTCAAACCCAATCCACAATAAACGCAAAACTCTCCTCAACATTAACGACTGGCGAATAAAGGGCAAAAAAAGGGATCAATTATCTTCCATGCACATGAAAAAGACAGCAAGAGACCGCATTATAGGAGCTAGTTCTCTAAGGTCAAGCTTCCTCCTGATATTAGCCCAGCGATGTATTTAAAATTTAATAATCCCTGCTACTTCAGAAGGAATTTCAGGCAACATTACACACAGCAGGTAATGAAAGTCAGCTCTTTAGCTTTCCCAGTGCTTGTGCACATTTAGAAGTTAACTAGTTTAAATTACCTTACCAGTTACTTCCTAACAAGTATCCCTGCTCTCACAAATATTCCACATGTTCATGAGGGATTTTTCTCTCCCCTACTCTCAAATATGTGTGCTAAAGAAGTAATAAACAGCAGGTGGTTTGTAAAAGCAGAAATAGAAATATATGGATCAAATATAAAAGTGGTATATTTGTTCCAAGTAAATATTAGGAGGACATCTCAAAGTGCTTCACAGGATTTACTGTAAAGTGTGGTGACTGTGTATTCTGTAGGCAACATGGTAGCCAATTTGCAGACCGCAATGTCCCACAAACAGCCATGAAGCGATTCTTTTATCAAGGGGATTGTTGGCCAGGACGCCAGGTGAAACTCCCTTCTCTCTTCAATTTGTGCCATGGAATCTTAAATGAACAGGCAGTCAGTTTAACATCTTATCCAGACAGCCCTTCCACCAACACAGCGCTCGCTCCCTCAAAATTGCTCTGGAATGTCAGCCTAGATAGTGAGTTCAAAATCCCAACACAGGGCTTGATCCCACAATCTTCTGACTCAGAGATGAAAGTGCTAACAACTGAGCCAGGCTGACGCTTGTAAAGACACTGTGTAAACACACAGATGTAAATATATAGTGGGAAGTGCCATACGCAGCTAGAGACCTCAGGACAAATTTATCATATCAGAATCTACACGCGGAATAATAACAAAATGACAAAAACTGGCACCACAGGCCGTCAACGGCAGCAGATGCTCTGCTCTGCATTAATGGGCATGGCTGGAAAGTGAAAACTAGCACATTAACAATATGCCAGCTTCGTCAAATACAATCTTATTATTTCCGTTCCCTCCGTTCCTCTGGCTCCGGTCTGCTCCACATCCCCCGCCCCAACCGCCCTACCATCGGTGGCCGGGCCTTCAGCCTCTCAGCCCCGAGGCTCTGGAACTCCATCCCCCAGTGCCTTCGCCGCCTCCTCCCTTTCCTCCTTCAAGGCCGGTCTCAAGACCTTTCTCTTCGACCGTGCCTTCAGCTCCCCTCTCGACTCTCTACCCCCTCCTCGCTCCCTCCTTTCCCTCCCCTCACCCTGACCATTTCCCCCCTGCTCGGGTCCTGACCCAACGCCTTGGGACGGCCTCCCGACGTGAAAGGCGCTCAATAAATGGAATCTTGTTGTTGTTGTTGTTCATTTTTTGGGGGAAATTTAACAAGATGCAGGAGAGGTGAATGGGAGAGGTATAGGAGAGGGGAATAGTAGGGTCGGAAGCTCACATGGAGTATAAACACCTATACAGGCTAGTTAGATTAAATGGCCTCTTTCCGTGCTGTATCACGCTATGTAACTCTACGTAAATTAGACTTCACTGTCAACTGGAGTCTAGAGTTAGTGGATTTCCTATTATTAGCATGGAAACCAAAGTATGTTCTGGAGCAGTGTGTGCCAAAGCAAAAATAACTTGTACTTACAAAGCACCTTCCACACAGAAAACATATCTGGAAGTGTTTGAGATGCACCACAAACTGTTACATTCTGGTGAGTACTGGCCAGTGCTATCTGAAAGAGGCTCTTTTGACACATGATATATTGTCATCCTCTTTATAGCATTCCTTGACCTCTGTATAATTCCTATTGCTTTACTGCACTGGATTCATACCTTAGTCTATCTCTCTCTCTACTAATCATACAAATGACATTTTTGCAAACTATTTCCTCGTCAGATGGCTACAATGTTGAATGCGGTCTTTGTGCTGAGAAACAGCACGAAGGCCGATAAAAGTTTGAGCGTCAGGTTGAAACCGAACATAGCTGAAATGATGTTAATTCAACATTAATTATTTTCTCCCGCTGTATGTTTCAAATGATCTGCCATGGATAGTCTGACAGATTAATTACTTTAAATAATGAAGTGTGTCATAAAGCTAACTGTAAACCCAAACCAATGTCATGCTGCATCAATGTCAGCTGAGAAACTACTGGAAAGGACATAAGCATTTCAAAACCAGACACTGATTCGGCAATAGTTAATGCAAACCCCCAGACAAATCTGACATGAATATCTCTGAATTAAATTAGTCAAAACCCAACCCTAGAAATGCACCCAATGCAAAATTAATACATAACATTTCACCTATAAATACAGTCATTATATAATAATCCTTGCATTTGATATAGCACTTTTATCACCTCGTCGAGATGTCGCAAAGTGCTTCTCAGAATATACTGTAAAATGGATTGACTGTATTTTGTGGGTGAAAGGTGGCAGTCAATTGCACACAGCAATGTCCCACAAACAGTTGTAGAATGATTGACCAAATTATTATTATTTTTGTGGGATTACTACCCCCGGTAAACAATCCACCAATTGACTAACAAACAAATTCCTATTTATTGCTAGGTAAACATTGTATGTTATTGCACTGCACCGAAACACTGCAAAGTGCTTTGAGACGTTCTTGATACTTTGAAACTATTTTATATGCAAGAATTATTATTATTAAGAATAAGCAATGTAAAGAAAAAAATAAACACATTGTCCCACAGTAAGAATAGAATTGTTTCAAATCTTAGCTGCTTTTTGTTTACGATACATAAATTTAACTGTATTTAATTGAAGAACATAAGCATTGCTGTCCAGGAGTATGTGACTAAACTGATAGCTCCACAAAAAACACACGGATGCTAATGACAAAGTCATGGCTGATGGAGATGTTTCTTTGCACTGTCTGATGATGCCATCTGTAACTAATAAAACAAGCTCAGCTGCACAGCTGGCTGCTGTTATTAAAGTCCCAGCATGAGGTAATGGCACAACACTCATCAACTCTGTCTACTCAAGGACAAAAATGTTATGGTAAGAAAGCCACCAACCATTTATCTGCACACAGTTTTCAAGGAAAGACAGACACAAATGTTCATAGAATCATACAGGACAGAAGGAGGCCATTCGGCCCATCGTGTCTGTGTCGGCTCTTTGAAAAGAACTTCCAAATCAACCCCACTCCCCCGCTCTCTCCCCATAGCCCTGGAAAACTTGTCCTCCCCAAATGTTGTAGCCACTAATAATAATCCCTGCATTGGATATAGTACCTTTCACACCAGAACAACATCTCAAAGCACTTCACAGGATTTTACTACAAAGTGTAGTGACTGGCTATGTGCAGGTAAATGCAGTAGCCAATTTCCATATATAACGTTCCACAAACAGCCATGAAGTAAAGCACCACTAGCAATTTAAGCCACATACATTTTTTTCATGATTACCACATAGTAACTGAAGATACAGTGGATGTATCATACAAAGAGCTTTTATGTTTAACACAGGATAGGGTGGGGGCACCACACATACATACTGTTCAATACAGTTTAGAATTTGCTGAATAGTATTAGATCTCTAAACTGGACTAGAGCACAGGACTCCCAGCTTTTAATCATTCACCAAAAATGCTCCCATGTAGCTTTACACACTCTCCTGTGTGCTGATAAAAACAAACCTAAGGAAAGTATGAGCATATTGCAATTGGACCATTTGATCTCATCCTTCTGAATACCCAGCCAGGGTCTTCCCATGACAACAATGAACTGTTTCTTAAACCAGTCCAGTGTCCTGGCCTCCCCCAGCTTTCCTGGTAAACTGTTCCAGCTGTTGATATCCTAAAATCACTCACTGCCTGAGTTCTTCCAGGAAGAATTGGCCAAATGACCCAGATACTGGAGGGCAACTTGCAAAAAATAAAGCATTTGTCAAAACGTATGATTTCCAATTCCGTTAAAAATATTAGTTTCTTGTGTTGAAATCCAAAACCCAGGTAATCTAAAACACCTGACGGGTCGTCATGTTCCAAAGGGGGAGTTAATGCGATTCTTCTATGGAGGATAATGCAGCTGTTTATCAGTAATCTAAAACCTACACGTTTAATCCATGCATTTGATATGGTGCCTTTCACTCAAAGCGATCCACAGGATATACTGTAAAGTGTCATGACTGTAGTTTGTAGATGAATACCTAAAAAAACATTCTTGACAGTGAAATACGTTAGGTGTCAGCCTGGTTCAGTTGGTAGCACTCTCGTTTCTGAGTTGGAAAGCTGTGGGTTCAAGCTCCATGTCAAGATTTTGAATTTACAGTCTTGGTTAACACTCCAAATCAGTACTGAGGCTGTGCTGAATTATTTGAGGTGCTGTCCTTCGGATGTTAAACTGAGGTCCCATCTGCCTGTTCAGATAGATAGATGCTAAAGATCCCATGGCACTACTTGATAAGGGAAGGGCATTTCCCCCAGTGTCTTGGCCAACAATGCCCCAGTTAAAATTGGACATTAACTTCATGGTGGTTTGTGGAACATCGTTGGGAGCAAATAGGCTGCTATGTTTGCATTCAAATAGAAAGTCACTGCACTTTACAGTAAATGCTGTGAATCACTTTGAAATGTTTTGATATGATAAGGCACTACAACAAATGCAAGGATTATCATTATAATTCTTCTACTTCCCCAAATTGAACCATTTCTCTTTTCAAAATAATGAACACTGCATTGCAGTCTGCCTCCAAACCATGGTTGCTAGAAGCCTTTGCCAAGTAACCAAAGCCCTGTGTATTTCAGACTCGGATCAGAAGTGGCCATTGCAAACAGCACAAACTGTGGAGTGTTTATCTCTGAGGACAGTTAACAGAAGCCAGGTAGGGAAGTGAAACATCTGTAGTAAAGTGTGGAGTACTGCCTTCCAGCCAACCACTGCACAATGATCGAAAAGAAAGGCCCTAACAGAAATCAATTTGTTTCAAATGAACTGTGGAGGATCCTAAGAGCTGAGACAAGTAGCCACAAAAATACTGTAACAGAAGGCCTGACAATTCTTTGCGTTTTTTGTAGAAAAGGAAGTTAATGCATTTTAAGTTTGATGGAGGGGTGTATTTTCGGATGATCACTTAAGGATAAGCCCACCTTAGTATATTCTTTTAAGTCTTTTCCACAGACGTCATTTAACAAATTTAGCTGCATTTTAAGGGGGAGAAATGTGTGCCCTGTTAGGAAGTAGACCACATTTGTTGTATTTGAAAAATTTTGTGTTCATGTAAAACTAAAAGATGCCAATTGTTTAGATCAAATATTTTTTGTCTGAGACTCCTTCCCTGCTGCAACACACGCAATGACTCAGTTTAAGCTTTTAATGTTCAGTAAAACATACGTCTGCTTTGTAACATAGCCTCCAACTGTACATCAACAATGTTTCATCATTAAAATCATCAACAGAAACCCTATTTTAAGCCTCCAACCTTTTTTATACAGATTCAATTATGGCACATCTACTCCACAGTGCATTGAGTCAACCAAGATGAAACAGCACAGATAATTACCATGATTTGGTAAAACAGCACAATTGTGCACAACCCTGAGATTTGAGTTTTAAATTTACATCCGCAACTCCAAAGCGCTTTAACAGTAACACAGACACCTTGATAGCACAATTGACAGGGCTTGGAAAGAAAGGAGTTGCTTTGTTAACAAGATCCCCGTTCAGAAAATCAAAACGTTTTATCCGACTGCCTTTTGCACGGCTCAGTCACAATCGACACTCCCACATAATTAACAAGCAAAACAATATTTGCTGGCTGATTGTTGCACGCGCTATTCGCAATGGCAAAGCATCAATAGGCACTGGATTTGAGGAAGGAGAAAAAGTCTGAGTACATTATTTGCAACCAGTTATGTTCTTCCCTTTTACGTTTTATTAAAAAAATCTTTAATACACTTGTGCTAAATTGGATGGAATTGAATGGACAGTCCGTTCCTTACCTGTCGTGCTACTCTTCTGGCTTCCCAGTAAGGCTTGGAATCATCGACAGCTTTTCCTAGCTTCTTAACAAGCTCCTCAAGTTTAACAGTGGCTTCAACTAAAACGGTTCGAAATTTCTGACGAGCGTCCTGTGGAACAGAATCGATCAGGGTTATTAACCAAAAATCTTGCATCAAACACAACACGGCTAACATACAGTTCCAGTAGCTTCACAACCCCATTAAATCCCTTGAAACACTTAACTGACCCAACCAAGTAATTGATTGTCATTAAAGAATGCTCCATTGCTTTTGTCAGTCAGGTTTACACAGGGATGCTCTCAATTCCTCTAGAATACCGCTGAGTTTTGTAGAATAGAATAGAATTAGAATACCGCTACCATTTTGTGTCGAGACTCATGTTGCAATTTGGGGTTTGTACCTGTTATACTGAGGTCAACACCGACCCCTCTATTCCAATGCTGGTTTCAGTAGAAGTAGAACAGCCACTTTGAAATGCAATTGAGCTTCTGTGCAGCATTGGATACTGGATTTGCAATACTACAAATGTAAGTTCAGCAGACATTCCTAACTTAGCACAGGTACGTGTTTACTATCTGAAAGCATGATCAAAAGGATAGGTCTTAAAGCACGTCTTGAAGGCCCGAAGGGGATGAGGCGGGTCTGGAGATTGCTGCAGAATGGGTGAAAGCTCACCCACCAATGGTGGGAGGATTGGGCAGGGGACTTGAAGCAGACCTGTGTTTGCTGAGCAAAGGGAGGCCTGGGTAGCAGGGTCGCAGAAAGTGGGACAAGGTTGTGGAAGGTTTGGAAAGTGGTGAATTAAGCCTTTCAGAGAGGACATATCTGTGCAATGGTGAAGCAGTTAATACCACCACTATTGCAATTTCAAGTCCTGTAAATCTCTGAAGGCCAGTCATGCCGTCAGATTGAAAATTTGATTGTAAGAGTCAAAAAGGAAAAAGCTGCAAACTAAGACAGACTAAATCTAAGTAATCACATTCTGCTAGAATATGCTTCCATGGGGAAAAAATGGGATTCAATTTAGTGAAGTGCAGAGATATGTTCTGGTGAGTGCGGACCCAGGGGGAATGAGCTCCATGTCTGCTGCAATCAAAGCTCCAATTTCCAATATAATCTGCATGAATAGTAATTCAGCCCCATGGTTCAGGCATCAGCCAGTGGAGGTGAACTTTATGTGATGAAAGGTTACGGTTGAAATGTTAACCTATTTTTCTATCAGAAGCTAATCAATTTGCTGTGGATTTCCAGCATTCAGTGGGTTAACTTTCTTCCCGTGTAACCCGGTAAAATCACTTGAAATTGATTTTAGTCCACTGATTCTCGCTCCCTGCCGCAGGGTGAAGTTATAACAAGATGTACCCAAATGTTTTGTGTTAAGTTGCCTCGGAAAGCATACAGGGTAACCGACAATCTTCACTTATCCTCTCCTGTATGTGCTATTCATTGATCTCAGAATACAGCACCAGGTCTCAGTGAAACCTGGACATGAGAGAAAGGATTTACTGCTGATCTAGACATCACATCAAATGAATGAGTGGAAGGGTCAAATTCAACTCAAGTAAACTCCACTTTTATTATCAAAGTAACTCTAGTCACTGCCACAAAATGCCTCACGCTCTTAACCTTAAGATTTTTGACTTAATATTCAAGATTGTCCAGAATTTTGAAACATTCTTGAGTTCAGCTTTTATCTGAAAGCTGATTTACACAGCTTATACAAAGCACATCACAGTGGCATTATCACAGTGCTTAAAAAAACTGGAAAACTGGCTGTTAAATTAAGGAGCAATTTAAAGTATTTTCCCCCAAATTCTGCATAATCCTAGATTTTAAGAATATTGTCCATAGCAACCATAAACTGAGACCATGATGGATTTCAGCCCTCTGCAGGGGTTCAGCGCTCAGAAATCCTCATGATCAAAGCCTTTGTGTCACAGCAATTCCTAACCAAGGATCATACGACAACAGCAGCACATGAACAAGGATTAAAATTCCACCACAAAACTGTCAGAAATATTTAATGGAGTTAATCAGTGAGTATGAGAAGCTAAATGGGCTACAGTAAATATACTCAGAGCAATACTTTCAGATATGCCAAGCCAGTATAATAAGAGGTTAAGAATCTGTAAAGAGCAATTTTAGGATAGGCAGGAGGAAAGCAATTGTTCACAAAGAGGATGATTAAGAACTGGGACAAGTTACAAGAAAGGGTGGTAGAGGCCAATTCACTGGACTCGGAGCTTAAATAGAATGGGAGGATTGTGAGGTTAATTTTCTGAATGGGTGAAATCAAATGGGTCTTCTCCACCTTAATCTCTCTTGTGTTGTGCTTCTTCAACCAGAATGACTTATTGTCCATCGTGAATGTTTTCAAAGTGAACTAAATTGGAATGTCCCAGCGCTGTGGACGTCCTCCTAACGTGAAAGGCGCTATACAAATGCAATCTGTTGTAATTTGTTGTTGTAAATGGCAACGGGGGTTGAAAATGTTCTATTCTTTGTAACATTGTGATCTTCATTGGCTAATATTTGGCCTTGAGTGACTTTTGAGTTGAAATAGCAGCTCCTGACGGTAACTGGAAGATCATCAGGTGGTCATTGTGAATTTTGTTCTGACTCGGTCTACTTTCAGAGCAGAGATCCTGACCCAGTTCTGGTTAACATGAGGAATTGCTATCAGTAATTCAGCAGCACTATGAACAAATTTTGGTCCTGAATGGGCATTTTCAACCCCACTTATGCCTAATAAATGAGCATTGCAAACAGAGAATAGACTGAAAAAAAATCGGTCAACTGCTTTTGAATCATATCATAGCTTTGAGTGTCCAAAGATGAGTGTCGCCATCAGCACCTCAAAGTCGAACAATTATAAAGCAACAAAATTGTGATCAGCCTTTTATCTTATTTCTAACCATGAATTTTAATCTGTCAGAATTTATATTGAATGACATTGAGGTGACCCAGTTAAGTGGCAGCATGGATAATCCGAGTCAAGGATAGGACTCAGCAAGAAACAAGGACTAAGGAGAAAAATCATTCCGATTCATAAATGTCCAATTGATTGGTTGGTCTGAACATCACAACATCAACAACAACAAATCATGTTTGTAATGTGCCTTTCATGTCAGGAGGACGTCCCAAGGCGCTAGACAGTCAGGGATTTGGACCCGAGCTGGGGTTGGGATCAGGAGGGGTGGAGGGCAGGGAGGGTAGGGGTAGGAGGGTGACCGAAGGCACAGTCAAAGACGAGTGTCTTTAGACGTGCCTTGAAGGAGACAAGGGAGGGAATGAGGTGAAAGGACTGTGGGATGGAGTTCCAAAGGGTGGGGACAGAGAGGCTGAAGGCCCGACTGCCGATGATGGGGTAGGCCATGGCAGGGATGTGGAGCAGGCCGGAGTCTGCTGGGCGGAGGGAGCAGATAGGTTAATATCGCATTAGCAGGTCACTGAGGTAGCAAGGAGCAAGGCCGTGGAGGGCTTTGAAGGCATGGACAAGAATTCTGAACTCTATTCTCTGGGGGATGGGAAGCCAGTAGAGCCAGACGATGGTGGGGGTGATAGGGTCACGGAGCCTGATACGGGAGAGGACACGAGCTACAGAGTTCTGGATGATGTGGAGGGAGAGGTTGTGAAAGGAAAGGAGGGAGAAGAAGTCAGCAGAGATAGAGCCTCCCAACATGAAAGACGCTATACAAATGTCATTTGTTGTTGCTGTACACACTGAATCCTGGGCACTGACTGTCTGTTTCACAGTCTGATTGTACACACCGGGTCCCAGTCACTGACTTGCTTTTTCAAATGTAAAGAAAACAATCTTTACCTCTAGTTCAGTTTCCCATCGATTAATATCATCTGTGGACTGATTCAGCTTTTCCAGCTCACCCTAAAATACAAATAGGAAATGTATCACAAACTGAAAACAGACAATCAAATCGCTTCAAAGAATCAAAATATCAATAGGCGACATTTTCAGGAAACACTTTAAACACTCTGCCAAAAGTCCACCCACATTGCTGAGATTCCTCTCCGCTTAATGTTTAACCCAAAAATGCAAACTTAAATAAACAAATGAGTGAAATTTGCTTTCGCAGCAGCCATAATGAACAGTAAAACAAAAGCAGTTTGTCTCCTGGATTTTTTTAGAAAAATCAATACCATTTATTTTGTTGAATTGCCATTGAACAGCTGAATCCCTCCATTAAACAACTGCCTTATCATAACTCCTGGACATTGATATTTAATTGTTGTCCTAGGATTTAGATGTGCTGCTGGAGGTGCCGTCTTTTGGATGAAACATTAAACTGAGGACCGAATTGCCTGTTGAGATAGAAATTAACGATCTCATAGAACTATTCCAAAAGAGTTAGGGTGGGAGGTTCTCACATTGTCCTGGCCATCAATCTCCCAGATAAAATTGATCATTCACTTCATAGTTGTTTATGGGACGTTATTGTGTGCAAATTGCCTGCCACGTTCACCTATAAACATTCACAGCCACTATACTTTACATTGAATCCTGTGAAGCACTTTGAGACATCCTCCCAACATGAAAGGCACTATATAAAATGCAAGTATTACTATTAATACTGATACCATTAATAGATACAATAAAACTCTGATCAATTTGTGTTTTGTGTGATATCCAAATACTAGCAGTGATTGTTTATCTCCAGAATAAAACTGTTCCCCAGTGAAGGGCGCTGTGTAAATGCAAGTTGTTGTTGTTATCTGCAATGGGATCAATCCCAATTAGTGCACATCATCAGCTCTTTACTGGACAGTAGAAGACACTGTGGCAGTATGGTACCTACCAACGCCAATGAGCAGCATATTATCTATTTTGCAATATTGGTTCAATGCAACTGAGCTGTCTCTCTAGGCTACGGGAGTTGCATAGCAGGTCAAACATTTCTGGGCTGGGAAAAGAAGCCATTTCCTGTCCATTCGGGTCCCGACCCAACTGTCCAGTGCTTTGGGACGTCCTCCCGACGTGAAAGGCGCTCTATAAGTGCAATCTTGTTGTTGTTGTTGTTGTAGGTGACAGAATAGAGAACTGGTTCATCCTCAATTACTAGGTTTATCCTCAATTACTAGGATCAGCGAGTGTCTCAACTGCATGAGCTGGACAATGGATTGGTTTTAGTTTCAAGGGAAGGGTTCACGAGCCTTTTTACTGGTGAACGCTTTGCACAACTCTGGCATGGATAATTGACAAATAAAAGAAACCATGTTCAGATTAGGATCTTCACTTCAGTTTAGACCACAAGTGTGGACAAGAACCCACATTATCATCCATTCTCTGAAAGAGGAACTTTCAGATCACAAGTCAGAGGCTGCAACCAATAAAGCAAGTCTGCTCTTCCGTTCCTTTCACAATCAATCAGTTTATTGAAGTGTGCGATACACCCCAGTTCTCACAACACCTCCACTTACAGTTTTTGAGAAAAATACTTCAGTTAAAATACTGGGGTTTAATTGATGTATTTCTTAATGAGATTCCTTTGTAAAAATTCGAAGCCATGCAAACATGTCTCCTTTCTACAACCAGAACAGCAAGTTAGCCTCTAGGTTTACCATAAAAATGATCCAAATGTAAAACTCCAATAATACCCAACATTAATTACATTACATATAATTTCAAATTGCTGGAACACTTCAAATATATCAACTTGATCCACTGTTCAACTTTCTGTGCTGATAGGAAAATGTCTTGGCAAATATAATGATCCTTGTAATCCTTGCATTTGATATACCGCCTTATCACATCATTGAGACATCTCAAAGTGCTTCACAGAACATACTAGAGTGAATTAACAGTATACTTTGTGGGCGAAATACGTGGATTGAGTGACCACATTTTTTTTAAAGGGATTATTACCACCAGAAAGCCATTCACTTATCGACTAACAACCAGGTTCTTACTTACTACTATGTAAACAGAAGTGTGTGGAGTAAGGAAACTTGCCTAAGTTTAAACAAAATGCAAAATACTGCAGATGCTGGAAATCTGAAACAAAACAGAAGTCGCTGGGAAAACTCAGCAGGTCAGGCAGCATCTACGGAGAAAGGAAAGTGAGCCAACATTTCGGGTCCGCAACCCTTGATGAAGGGTCCTGGACCCGAAACACTGACTCACTTTCCATTCTCCATAGATGCTGCCTGACCTGCTGAGTGTTCCCAGCAACTTCTGTTTTTGTTGCCTAAGGTTTTGCCTTGCCAAGGAGTCGAACCCGGATCCTCTCGCTTGCAACAACAACTTGCATTTATATAGCGCCCTTCACGCAGGGTAGCATCCAGATCGTTCGACAGTGGCAGAGCACAGGACGCTGAGCTGGGGTGGGGGGAGGTGACCGCAGGCATGGTCGCGACCTGAAGATGGGGAAGGAAGTGACAAGGTGGAGGCATAGAGGAAGAGTGTTTCAGACTTTCGGGGCGCAGTGGTTGAAAGCTCAGCCACCAATGGAGGGCATGAGAGACATGCAGAAGGCCGGAGTTAGTCAAGCGAAGGCAGCTGGCTGTGCGTTTTCAGGTACGTTGGAGAGGTAGGGGGTGCCAGGACATGATGGAGTTTGAAAATGAGTGCGATGATCTTGAAATCGATCTGTTCGGTGATAGGGAGCCAGTGGAGCCTGGCTAGAACAGGTGTGATGGGGGTACCGAGTTTAGTGTAGGTGAGTATGCGGGTGCCGGAGTTTTGGATCAGCTGGATCCTGTGCACGGTGGAGCTGGGGAGACCGGCAAAGAGGGCATTTTGAAGTCGAGTCGGGAGGTGATGAATGCATGAATGAGTGTTTCAGCTGCGTTTGGGGTAAGGTACTGTTGGAAGTGGGAAATGTGGCAGAGGTGGAGATAGGCGGTCATGGTCAGGGACCGGATGTGGGGAAGGAAGGACAGCTGTGGGTCGAACCTGATGCCTAGGTTGTGCACTGGTTCAGTAAGGTAAGTCTGAGGTTGGGCCGGGGAATTTGAGGAGCTTGCAATGAAAATTCGTGCCAATATGCTACAGCACTCAGGGGACACGGAGGAGGCCGGACGCTCTACTGGGTCTGGCCTCCTCCATGTCCCCCGAATCCTCTGCTCCACCATCGGCAGCCGTGCCTTCTGCCACTACGTCCTGAAACTTTGGAACTCCTTCCCTCAACCCCTTTGCCTCGCCCCCTCTGTTCCCATTTTCAGGTTGCGCCTGAAGACCTTCCTCTTCGACCTTCCCCCTGGCTCAGCCTCGGGTTCTGCCACTGTTAAGGCTCTGACACACTGCCCGGCGTGGAGGGCGCTATATAAATGCAAATTGTTGTTGTTGACTCCACAAAGAATATATTTAGCACAAAAAAAACTACAACTGTACGCAACCAAAATGGAAACAAGAATTAAATCCAAAATACAAGTTAACAGGTGCATATATTGAATGGCTCAGTGCCCCCTATTCTAGGTCAGAATCAACAATGAACACAAGTCCCGATGTGGAGCTTGAACACACAACCTTCTGACCAGTGGTAAGAAGGCTACCACTTGAGCCAAGATAAAAATTTAAATCCTCCAATACCTGCCTAGGGGAAAAACATTCATGTCACCAAAACAGGGACACAACTTAGCCCCTATTTATTCTAATATATGTCTTGCAGACATCACCAGGATCAACTGGTGTTTCACAACAGTCGTTGCCCTCGTAATTCTTCCTGTCCAGATCGGGAGCAGGAATTGATTCTCTTTTTTCCACGTGTCTTTTTTACAGTCTACGTAGAAAGGATTACATTTTAATGTGTATTTACATATTGAATTATTGAGCTAAAATTTCACAGTAACTCTGGAATTCATTCTCAATGCAACTAGTATTCTAAAATGGGATAAGCACGTCAATTTAACATTTAATCTTCATGTGCTCTTGGATTTTCAAAATAAAAGCCACTCGTATCTCGGGACAGCAGAAAGTTCTCATGGCAGAAGACTGCATATGGGTGTGTAGAGAGAGGAGGGAGGGGGAAAGGAGGATATCATTAAACAACTCATGCTTACAATAACAGTTAAGTCTCTTTCTGACAACACTCATACATAATACCCAGATCATACAACGCAAATCTGTGGAATTCCCATTTTATTCCTTTTTAAGAAGATGCACCTTCTTCTCACTCCTGGAACACATCAGTTATTCCAGTGCTCACCAACATGCAATCCCTGCAGTCACTTGGTGTAGAGTGTGATATTAATGTGGTGTTATAATAGGTGTCAGGAAGTAAATTAATACAAAGCTGTCATGTCATAAGATTTGAGATAACTGGTGAGGTGAGAGGCTCGTGACTGTGAATACTTCTATCCTGTTTGGTGCATTTATTTAAATAACACAGCCATGACTGTAAACCTTATCAGAATCAACACAAGGCCAATGCTAAACACTGTGTAACCTGGAACATTCCACCATTCTCCTGCGACCTGCTATGATAATAATTTGGTCACTCAATCCACCCAACTGCTTGTGGGACACTGCTGTGCGCAATTGGCTGCCACGGTTCGCCCACAAAATATGCAGTCAATTCACTTTACAGTCGAAGGCACAGTCAAAGAGGAAGACGGTCTTTAGAAGGGATTTGAGGAGGCAACAGAGAGAGTGAGGCAGAGGAAATGTGGGATAGAGTTACAGTGAGTGTGGTAGAGATGCTGAATGCCTGACCACCAATGGTGGGGTTGGAAGTGCAGGGGACCTGAAGCAGGTTGGAGGCCTACAGAGTTCCGGATGATCTGCAGCTTGCGGAGGGAAGAGTAGTTGAGCAGTGCTCTCACAAATTTCATGCTGTGTTGTGGTGCTCAGCAAGAGGCTTACTGGGAATTCCCATTACCTGCCATCCACCTGGTGCAGGCTCAAATTTACACTTGTCAACTAATGACTAT